ATGGCGGCCAGCGCCTCGACCTTACGGCGTGCTACTGTATGTAGTGTACAGTACTCCGTAGTCCTCTCTTGGGCTCTCAAGCGTGACGTCCTACGGTATGGCCTTGGTGTGTTCGTTGTGGTCGTCCGGGAGGTACCCGACGCCTGTTTTTCACCACCGGGGGGTCACTCCGGTTTCTCGACGAATTTTGTGCATCGCACCATGCAGGAAAATCAGATGGGGGGACTTGCGGTTCCATGGAAGGGATCGTTGGCTGCACTTGGCCCTAAAAGTTGCACACAATTGACGGGTTCAATCTGCAAGGACGACATCAAATGATATATCTTCAACATTTTGCTGTAGTTTCCTGTGGCCAAGGTATTTTCGGGTGGGGTTTTCTCCCACTGTAAGGAGTACCGGAGAGAAGTATTGTTTTTTCGAGCTGGCAATTTTCGGGGCGCTGCGTAAACCGGTTGATCCTCGTCGCGATCGAACACGTTAAGTCAACAAGACCATGCATATCCGGCCTCTTACGTGTGGAACACGCAAATAGACGTCCTGGTGTCGCAGGAAGAATCAGAGATACCGCCTTAAGAATGGAAAAGAGGGGAGGGTTGTCCGATGCCCCGGCCAGTAGACTAAGACAATGGACTGAAGTACACCAATAGATATGTATGTCTGGGTGTACAACAAACGGCTGGAAGGGCTGCACGAAAAGGGCACGAAGTTGACGTGCAATAAATCTGCGCGGGAAGGAGGTGCACGAATGCGCGCAACAGCACGGCGAGGTGGGAGCTTTACATAAGAAATGTGACAGGAGCTTCTCCGCCGCACAGCGCACACATTTTTCGATTTAGGAAATATAGCAGCATAGCACGGCGAGAGGGTTTACGGATGAGTTCAGCGGCGCGACGGCGTGGTGGAGTGGAGGGTCGGCTAAGGGGACGGGCCGATGGCAAAGGGTGGGGGCAGCGAGAAGCAACGATGTGGGAGCAACAACACGGCTGGAATGGAGTGGGCATCGGGGGAAGGAAAGGGTGAAGAACCATGGGTGGACGCGAGATTGGATGATGGGAGAATGGTCGGACAAGGTACTGGAATGCTAGGAACGGAGCCACACTGAGGCGTGGGTTGGGAGGCAAGGAATCGATTCCACCGGGACCTCGACGAGACACGAGATGGCATGGCGGGAGAAGGGTTTGGGAGGGGGTTCGAATGGCGAGGACGGATTGATTGCCGTTGAGATGAGTGTGAGTGAACATGACACGAATTTTGAGGCAAGGAATAGGTTTAGCCATGCGTTTAGTGGCACACGACATACCATGGTGGGGGGAGAGTCTACTGGTAGGAAGAGGTTGGTAGCGGTAGGGGCGATTCAACGCAGGAACGTGTGAGGGAATGTATGTTGAGTTGGTTGGAGGTCAACGAATTGTTTTGCCATGCGTTTCGCCGGACGTGATACGAGATCGGGGGAGTACCGTCGGGGAAGGGTTTTGTTTTGGCTTTCGGCGATCGATCCGACGCAGGAACGAGTGGTTGAACAAGCCGTGGGTTGGACCAGGAATCGATGAAGCCTGGGGCTTGACCAGACGTTAGATGACGTGGCGGGAGAAGGGTCGAGGCAGGGGTTAGATACTGGAAGAATGACGCCATAAAGGGATGCGTGAGTGAATACCGCGCTGCTTGGGAGCGAGACATCGACAATACATCCATTTGCGAGAGCCTTGAATGAATCCCAGGTGTCAAGGTAGAAAAGTGGTTGGAAAAGGGGGTTGCTTTGGGGAAGAGTGACGCCAGGGAAAGTGACAATAAGTGAACACAGCGTGGGTTGGAAGGCAAGGAATCGATGAGCGACGAGCTCGGATGAACGCGAGATGGCATGGCGGGAGAAGATCGGAGGGGGGCTCGCGGTCGACAACCGGTGCTACGAAGGTGAGAGTGAGTGAACAATAGGTGGCTGAGAGGCACGGGTTGGGATTGTGTAGGAGCTCGGGTGGTCGCGAGATAGCGTGGCGGTAGCATGGTGGGGGGAAATGGATGCCTACGGGACGAACCCCCCAGGCAGAAAATCAGGGGTGAATGCTGCATTGGTTGGGATGAACGGAATTGGTCAAGTACGGCGGTAGAATGGTAGGGGAACGGGTTCATTTCGAACGGCCATTGCCAGGCGGGAAAGTTTGAGTGAATACTACGTTGGTTGGGAATCAAGGAACCGGCCAAGAATGGACGAGAGATGGTGTTACAAGAACAGCGTTAAGAATGGGCTGCATTGGTGAACACGGGTGTCACAGAAATGCGAGTGAGTGAGCAATACGTGTGGTGGAAGTAAAGGTGTCGTTCAACCCTGAAGCTCCGCTGGACGTGAGATGGCATGGTGGGAGAAGGGTAGTGGACGGCAGTGGCTATGGGACGAGCGATGCCACGCAGGAACGTGTGAGTGACTGTCGTGTTGGTTAGGCGACACGGAAGTTGTTTAGCCAGGGCCTTGAGTGGACGTGAGATTGCAAGGCTGGCGAAGGGCGCGGGCAGGGGTTGACTACGGGACGAGCGATGCCGCGCAAATATGTGGAAGTGTATACCCCGTTGGTTGTGAGGCAAGGAGTAGGTGTAGAGCAGTAGTGTGGCGGGAATCGAGATGGGATGTATAGGTGAAAGTGTGAATGAAGATCGCGTTGGTTGGGACATAATGTCGCCAGGAGCCAAGTAGTTTGATTGGACGGGAAACACTCGCCGAATTGTGGGAGAGGGATCGGGGAACGGATTGGTCTGGTGACGAGTGATGCCAGGCAGGAAAGCGTGAGTGTACTACGAGTGGGTTGGGAGGCACGGAAACGATTAAGCCAACGCCTAGGCCAGATCCGAAATGGCACGGTGGGGCAAGGGTCGGGGTTGGTTACAGGAGAAGTGATCCAGGAAAGTGAGAGTGAATGCGGCGTTGGTTGTGGAGGCATGGAAACGGTGAAGCCAGCAATGCGGCGGGGTCGAGAGACCGTGACAGGAGGTGCACGGGGCACGATTGCAGTATCGAGGATGAATGCCCACGAGAGGTCGTTGTCTCCCTAGGGTTCGGCCTGACTTTCAAGATTGCAGTAGCACGAAATTGCGCCCGTGTAGATCGAGAGCCTTCGGGCAGACGCGGCGCTGCCTGACTCTGTCGTAAGAACCCCTACCCTTGCTTGATGGCGGGTGCGGTCGCCCTTGGAATTGTACCTTGGAATTGTAGCACAGATGTGGAGGCAAGGACTGTAGACTAAGGTGTCAAGGCCTCGAATGGACACAATATGGCCAGATGGGAGAAGGGGAAGGAGATGCTTAGGGGAGGGGTGGTGCCGCGGAGGTCGCAGTGAGTGAACATGGCGGTTGGGAGGAAGTGAAACGGTGGGGGCTTTTGGATGCCCGCGAGATGACATGGCGAGAGAACGATCGGAGAAGGTAATGAATTGGAGAGGACGGATGACACTCAAACAAGAGTTCGTGAACAAGGTCTAAGTTGGAATGCAAGGAGTCTGTGGAGTCGAGAGCTCGGGCAACGCGAGATAGCATGGCTGGAGACGAGTCGGAGAAGGGGCTTCCCCGACACTTCTCCCGCCATGCCATTCGCGTCCGGCCACACTCCTGGCTACTCCAATTCCTTGCCTCAACACCAACCAACGCGGCCTTACTCGCACTTCCTTGGGTGGCATCGGTCGGCCCGTAACCAACACCTAACCTCGACCCGTTTTCAACCCTTCAAAGCTACTGGGTGCACCGATTCTTGCCTCCCAGAGCCCACCCATCGTTCACGAAGTCTCACGTCCGTGTTGGCCAATAGAGCCACTTCTTCAGAGTAGGTGAACACAGCGTTCGTTGAGAGGCAAGGTATCGGTGAAACCTGGAGCTCGTATTTGCGCGAAATGACACGGCGGGAGAAATGTCAGGGAAAGGAAATGAAGAAATCAAATGGGGGAAACGAACGCCACGGAGGTGGCAACGAGTGAATAGTGGGGGCTGGGAGCTCGGCTGTTCGCGAGATGGATTTGCATGAGAATGATCGGGGAAGGTACTGAATTCCCAAAGACCGATGACACTCACATGATGAGCTGCTCAAACTCGGGGAGGCGTCATCACTGGCGATACCCTACCGAGCGATGCCTCCGTCTTTGTACGCCGTGCGCTGTAGCTTGAGATCGGCTTTTGAGACCCGATCGGTCAAGGGGTCGGGCCATGTGAATAATAATGACACGAATAAAACGCCACGAAAAAAAAAGACATTTGGTCTGGAGAGACCCAAGCAAGAGCTTGGGAAAACATCGGGTTGGGAACCCAAGGTCTGTTTGGGGTCTGTTAGTGACTCTTTTGGTCTAACCAGATGTTGAACCTGCAGGCTTCTGTAGGTTCCGTACATGTTTCACTCACCGTGGCCGACCCAACCCAACCCAACCCTTACCCTTTTACCCTAACGCATGATCAAACGCCGGCCTAGAAGCCGCGAACAGAGTGAAAACACGGCTGGGCGGCTTTGTCGTCGGAGTGCGGAGCAAAGAGAGGGCGCTGGAGATTAATTGACCGCCGAATCAACGCTTGACCGATCAGAGGGAGTAAAAGCCCGTCGGTGGGAAAAGGCAGTAACAGATGTCAGACCGTAAACTACGGCGCGGATAACAACATTTACCCTTCGGAACGGTCGATCCGTCGCCCGTCTTCTGCAGTTTCTGAGGCCATGTCGCTTCACCCGGCGTCACCACCCACACTGACGGGCAGAGCACACTCGCTGGGCTGCGGTGAGGCAGATACAGGATAAGAAGATACGGTGGTGGTATTTGTGGTGTGGTAATATAGTGGAACCTCGTGTTTTGGGGAAAGAATGGAACGCAATTCTGTGAGACTGAAACAGTATTTCGAGTGCACACACCAATCCATCGGTTCGGAACGGCAGCAGCACGCCCTCCTTCCCACAATCTTGCGAAGTAACAAGCAGATCTCGCTGGTTCCGAACTTGTCCGAATGAAGTGAAACAAGCCCGCTCGTGCTCCACACCACGTTGGATCGAGAAATTATGCATGCGATTGTGAAGGAATCTTACCGTCGGCAATCGTGGGTCGGTAGGCAAGGAATCGATGAAGCCAGGAGTTTTGGCTAGACCCGTCCTGTTGAAGAAGGGTCGGGGCAGCCGCACGATTGTTCTCTCTTTCTATCCTTGTGCTGGTATCTCTCCCACCCGTCATAACTGACATCACCGCCTACCGACTTACAGCTTCCTGCCCCAATACGCGCCTCGTCCGGGTAACCTTAGCTCCCCCTCTCCCCCCACGGCGCACTGTTCTCGGGAAAATAATAGTGACAGTATTACCAGAACCTGGAATCGTTCGCCCTCCCCCTCCTCAACACACAAAAACAGCAATAATGTATCTATGTACCCTCTTGTTTCTTATCCTCAACGAAACCGAACCAAGATTTAAGAAAAGACAAAACATGAATGAAACCGCCGCCGTTGTCTGCACACCTCTTCGAGAAAAAGAAGAAAAAAAACACTGATCGGACGCTGGAATGCTTGACGGTTTCGAGAAACATCAACACCAGTAGGCTCTTTCGGCCGACCTCCCAACAGAGGGACGGGTGGTGGGTGGATTGGGGTAAGGTGCCGGCTAGAGTCCCCTGTTCTATGATACGACAAACGCGGTGATCGTCTGCAAAATCAACCCAGTTGTAAAATTAGGCCCACCATACGCCGAAACCCCAACTAGACGGAATTATACCCGGGTACCTGTTTATCCCCCTACATACCAACGCGAAGGAGGTGCCCCGGATGCAAAACCTGCACTAGACACATTTATACACCGGTGTACCTCTCCCGTTCCTCCGACATACCGGCACGAAGGCAATCATGCCCACAGCAGTCGACTGAACCACAGAAAGAGAAAACCCCGCGGCGCACTCGATACCATGCTGAAACAAATCCAAGGGAGCTACAATATCGTATCACCACAAATCCACTCCCGACTTTGCCGGCACACAAAAAAAAACGAGAATCGTAGCATGTCCCACACGCGTCTTCGTCGTAGTGATTTCCTACTTTGGTCCGAGCAAGGTGCGGTCTAAAAAAAAAAAAACTCTCATCGCGGCCTTCACTCCGAAATCTCGAAGAACATGAAGAACACTCCCTACCAAAAAGTCTCACCGCGGCCTCACTCACAAACCTCGAAGATGAATAACACTCCCTGCCCAAAGCCACACCCTGAAAACGACCAACATTCCGAGTGAAGCCCCCCAAGAAGCAGGACGCTCCGTATGATACTGCAGCACCAAACAACACAAAAAAAAATGTACCATTATGTCATGTCAGCGGGCACATCGGCTCGACGGCAGCATCACCGGAAATGGTGCGATCATCTTTCATCGTGTCTGTCATCTTGAAACCGTCAGATCTCGCTTCTCTTCCAATACTGCACAAGCACTACCGTCTTGCTGATACTGCTTTCCGATGTTGCCGTCGCTGCTGCTATCTCCCGTACACTTCGTGCGAGAAACCCTCTCAAATGCCTACCAAGGTATGTATGGACCTCCCATGATCGCTCTAGACAAAAAATACTCCGCTGCTGGGCTGCTAACATCACAAACAGCTTAAGAAATTGAAGCAGTCTGAAAAGAGACGGCGGTAGGCTCCGAAACGAGGAAAAGCCTCAAAAGCGAATTCGGTTAGCCGTTCGATTGCGATACATCCGCTGCCGCACGAGAAAAAGAAAAAGGGTGGCACTGAGTGCAAACGCCACGATTCGCCAAATGGTGTAGAGGTACCCTGAAGCCATCCCGCCGACAGTTCGTGCGACTCCAAGGAATGCAGGGGGGGGGGAGGGCTTCGTCCGGGTTCGGTCTTGCGATAACCAAGCCAAGACACCAGACTCACTGCCCGTAACGTCACTCAAGACAGAGAAAATCGCCCGCACCACCACAGCGACAGTGAACATGCTTCCCCCGTCATTCTTGGCCACGTTTGACCGAATTTCGGCCGTCAACCATCGATCAGAGCCCACCGCCATCAGCTAAAATACCAACCCAAACCACCGCCGCCAAGACCACAGGAAACCCAACCCCCGCTCCTCAAGATACGACTACGAAGCCCTCCCCCCCACCCCCGCTGCCTCCCTCCGCTTGCCCCTTTTTTCTTCTCGCCGCCATCATCTGTTCACGGATGGACGGCCGCGCCGCCACCCCACCCCCCCTCCCCGTCCCCGCACCACCCCGTCGCCCCTGCAGGATTGGTGCTCGGCCAGGCCCGGCCTTCCCTGCCCCTGCCGCGGCGCCTGTTCGGTTGGGCGTCGCCAATACGGTGAGGAGGGATGTCGCCTCTGCCTTCTCCAGGGATGACTTAACGGCTGCCTCGAAAGGACCGAGGCCCATGGCCTTGCGACACCTGTGGACAAAAATTAGCAGCAGCGATGGCCGCCGCCGCAGCAAGCAGCAGCAGCAGCAGCGACACCAATGACAGCAAGGAGACGCATGAGACGAAACAGGCACAAGAAACGCGGGCGACGATGCATAACTTACACACAGGTTAGCTGAGAGGTGTAGGGTTGAGTACGTCCACTACAACCCCCCATGACAAACCACACAGACAGAATGGCAGTAGTCCCAGCTCTAAGGATACCCCAGGTCCAGCGGCATGGCGCGCAAGAGATTTTCATGGATTGGGACTATGAAGTCGCTTGTGCAGTGAGGCCCGAGCAATGTCAAAAGAGTGTACACGGCACGCCTCCGGAGTGGGGTCATCAGAGCAAACAATTGTAGTACGTGGTAGTGTCATCAAGGCGTGATGCAAGATCAAAGCAAAGCAGGACGATTCAGTTGCCAGCAGCCATCAGTGAAGTTTCCCAAGCTCGAACAGCTCACAGCTGGCGAGTTTTTGACTCGAAGAGCCCAGCGAACCTCAACAAACCGAAAAGAATAAAAATATATCTGTACAGTACGTCATATCTAACCTGTACATAACCCTAACCCTACACCTCCTCAAAAACATATATGCACAGCAGTCTAAATGGATTGTGAAATTGTTCTTGTTATCATACGTGTTCGCTGATTGTGTAATCATCACCTCAACAGCGCCCGTCTGGCCGACGCCCTTCCCTCCGCCACTTTCCCATTCAACGCCCGCGACATGCCGGGCAACATGCTACGGAACTCTAGGGCCTCGGGCAAGCCCACTCCCGCCTTGCTCCCAACGCCCAGAGCAGCCAGGCACTGCTCCGCGTAAAAGGCCGACTGCAAGGGGGGGCGCGCAGACAGGGAGTCCGGACGAACAACGGAGGGGGGTGGGGGGTGGGGGGTACTCAACTGCAAGTGTCACGAGGATTGCGTCAAGACGCAAAGTGTCGAAAGGATAGAAAAACGCAACTCAGAGAGGGAGGGTTCTGGCTAAAACGCATAGATATAGACCGAGACTTATCTTCTTTTGTCAGCCGGTTAGCGCGGGCGATGCCAACAACACGGACGCACACACACACGCCTTCAGGAACAGATGTAGTGATTTCAACGGCACTGAAACTGGCGTATTTTCAGTAGTCAGCCGGTCACAGAGCGCGGTAGGTGCCAATAACCAAAAAACGCACACACACCTTCGCGGCGACTTCAGCGTTCCGGTCGTCCAAGGACGGAAGAATCGCATGCAACACGTCCGCACCGGGCCCGTTGCGTGCCGCCGCTTCCATCGCCTGTTTCGACGTTGCCAGAGGGAGTTCCAGTCAAACGAGATTGTTCTTGTACTGCTGTTCTCTCAAGCCGCTGCGCGAGCCATGTCAGTGTGGCCAAACCGGCAGTCAACTACACGCACCTTTGCAGGACACCAGGCCCCCATCGCGTGCTTGTGAACATGCACAAAATATCACAGAGCAAGTGGTTGGAAACTGCTGTGCCGGCATCTTTCGCGTGCTTGTCTGCGTGCGTGCAAACACCCCGAAAACGTGACTCTCCCTTTCTCTTCTTGTACCGCAGGCTTGCCTGCATGCAACGCACAAGGCCCTCCTACGTACAAAAGCACACCTGAGCCGCCGTTTGGCAAATGAAGCGCTTGTCTCCCGCGAGGCGCTGCAGCGTGCCCGCTATCATGGGGCTGATGTCCACCCTCCCAACGTCGTGCTTCAAGAACCTGATCGACCGTGAGTCGGCGCACCACGAAAGAGAGAGAGAGAGAGAGAGAGAGAGCGAGAGAGAGAGAGGAAGAGAGAGAGAGAGAGAGAGAGAACAAGCCGGACCCGACGCACCCGCGACATAGCCAGACGCACGGGATGGCAGCAAGAAACAGTGGTGTGAGCGTCGAGCTTGCTAGATCGGTTTGGCGTATCGGGTGCATGTTCGTACCTTCTAACGCAACGCTCTTCCGCAAAAAGGTTCGGGGTTGTGCCGGATTCGACTGCCACTCCTGCAGGAGAAACGACAAAGGGACAATATACACTCCTCTCCTACCTGACTCACCAAGCCGACAGCGCGAAAGCCTTGCCTTGTTCGTTGCGGGGGCTAGGCAACAAGCACACGTTCACCGCATTAGGCCGTAAACGACGACACCCACACAAAATGCACCAAAGTTCCCTACCACCGCCCCCTGGATTTCGCCAAAAACTGAGAGGTGGTTTTTGGTGGTCTTGCTACCGCCGTTGCTGAAAGTGTATCTGCCTTGGCTTTCTCTCAACAGATGCCTCATGGAAAGCACCCCCTTTGGTCACAAGGCAAAAAACCCATCGGCCATATCAAACTCTCCACACTCGCCTGAAAATGTCCCCCACCCCGAGCAGGGCGTTCCGTACCATCGACGACCGAAGGTTCCCCACCGCCGCCGCCAGCAACCCCACCACCCCCTCCAGATTACCGTCCGCGTCCCCCCCGTCGCCGCTGCCGCCGGCTCCCCCGCCCCCCTGCCCCCCGGGGACGAGGAGCTTCTGCGCGTGGAAGATGCAGAGCCTGCGGGCCGAATCGACGGCACTGTACAGATCCGCCCAATCCCCGTCGCCCGCCGAGGCCGCGCGTACGGCCTGCATCTCCTCGTCCGGGTTGGGGGACGGCTCGAAGTCCCCCGTCTCGAGCACCGCCACCTGGTACACGGGTCCCTGCGGGGCGCCCGCCATGGCGGTCTCCTCTTCTGAAAGCTGGTTTGGTTTTTCGGGAGGTCGTTGGGGGTGGAGACAGCAGGAATGAGCGAAATGGAGGGAAGAAAGAGAGAAAATGATAGAAACACATCGAGAAAAGGGAGGGAAGGAGGGAGAGCGAGAGAATGAGAGAGGGGGAGGAAGAGGGAGAGAGGGAGAGAGAGGGGGGGGAAGAGAGACGAATTACGAGCACGCAGGCGCACCGAGAGGGAGGAGCGGGGAGGAGGAGCAAGGAATCGGCGACCCTCACCAACAACAGAGCGCGCCTCCATGAAACGAACAGCAACAACGGCAGCCACGAAGAGAACACGGCCCACCAACAAACACCGACAACAAACTATCTAGGGAAATACGTACGAGAGAGGTGGGCCCGTGGAATTGATTCAACAATACACAAACCAACGCTCACCTTTAGCTCCCGTCGGTTGCGCTTCTGCATGGGGCTGACACCGGTGCTCCCCTTGGCCAGCACAGACTTGCCGTTCAGGCGCGACCCGAGCCCCGCGCCTCCACCGGACCCTCCACCCTCCGCCTCCGCCGCCGGGGGCTTCACCCCCCTCTCGGGCGACCCATCCATGTCTCCGCCGCCTTCCCCTCCCCCCGCGGCGGCTGCGCAGCTCCTGCCTCTAACGGCTCCGCCAGAAGAACTCCTGTCTCGTCTGTCAGCAACCGCTCTTGCTACCCCCGCCGCCGTCGCGCTGGGACCCCGGGCGGGAGGGGGGATCGGGAGCACTCCCCCGTGATTAGGACTATCGGCGTCGCCGTCGACAGCAGCGCCGTCTGCACCATCGCCGCTCAAAGCAGCCGGCAGCGGCACTGCTCCCGCGGTAGTGCTTCCGCCCAAGAGCCGCGGTCCGCCAATCGCGGGGCGGCCACCGTCCTCCCGGTCCGATTGCGACGACGGTCGTGGTGGTTCGTGATGGCTGCTTGGGGCGGTGCTGGCGACGCTGCTGCCCCCTTCCTTGCCATCCGCCCCGGCATCGACCCCGCCGCTGCTGCTGCTGCCTGATGAGAAGTCTTTGGCGTTCAGAACGCTGGGGTTAACCTCTTCCAGCGGTTGTGACGAAGAAGAAGAAGAAGAAGAGCGCGGGGCACCCGGAAACGCCGCCGCCACCGATGACGATGCCACGCCGTCGTCGCCGTCGGCGTCCACGCCTTGGTCCCCCAGCCCACACGTGGCTTCCGCGACGGCCACCTTGCTGCCGCCGCCGTCGCCCCCGCCGCCGCCCCCTCCCAATCCCTTTGTTATTTCCACCTCTGCCTCTACGCTAGGGTTGCGGCGGCCTCCACCCCTCCTCCAGCGGCTCGCGGTATTACCCACGGTTGCAGTAGATTCCTGCAGGGGGGGGGCGGGTAGTACACAGGTAAACGCACACCGTAGTCGTTAGACCATTGACCTCGCTCGCATCCCTACAATAACGAGACAGACCGATGCGCAGGGTTTTCGCCGGCCCAGGCTACAGTACGTTTCACAAGGATGAACCAGAAGCATGTCGTCATACTTGCGTTTGCTGCGTCAGACCAGACATATCATGGGTTAATCGGCCATCGCGGGGGTAAAAAAGGGTGACAAAAACGAGGGGGTAGACGGGCGCATTGTGGGAACATTTGGCAACATTCGCCCGCTGCGCACCGTGCTTGCTATTCAAGAAACAGACCGACGGCGACAACGATGGATACACAAGCACGAACTCCGTGACAACAGGATTTATCGACAGATTGTAGCACTCGAACACTACTCCCCAGCGTACACCGGTACATACTACGCGGCAACGACACGCCGGACTGCAAAACCAAACCTAATCGTGTGTCCGAAAGGCAAATGATCCTGCATCATCCACAAGACACGGTGCTACACAGCAACCAAAAAAAACTCTCACTTTAAGGACACCAACCAATCCCCTTCGACTTGGTTATATCTCGAACGGGAAGTCTCTCTTTGCTCGTATGCATATTCTAAAAGTACCATGCGAGTGTAACATATGTAGCACCCGCTCCTTACCGACCGAGTGCCGGCCGTGCGTGACGACGAAAAAGAACCTGGGCTCCCCCCGCTCGCGACCCTCTCGCTCCTTCCTCCGTCGGACTCCTCTGCTCCTCCTCCTGTTCCGCCGGCGCCGGCACCGTTCGGCAAGCTCTCCGACGCGCCCTGCTCCTGCTCACGGCGACGCACGCGACCGCCGCTGCTTCTGCTGCTGCTCCTACTCCCTTGCGCCTGGCGTGCTTGCCCCTGCTGTTCCGGCTGCTCTCGCTGACTCCTTTGGGCGGCCTGCCCGAGAATTATCGCCCGGGCTCTTTGGCGGGTGACGGGCGGCGAATAGGCTCGCATGCTGCCGTGGCAATATTCGTAGGAGATAGCAGTAGTGGTGGCGGAGGGGGGAGCGGGGGGGGGGGGGGGGTCAGAAGCAAATTGGTCGTGATGATTGCCTTGCTCGCAACCGGTGCAACATGTGTCATGCCCCAACCATAGCGTCAAATCATTTTTTCGTGGTATGCTACTGATTTAGATAGCGGTGTACGTCCTGCGGGTGTGATGCAAATGTCTTGCTGCCGGTGTCCTCTTGGGCAAGACTAAGTGGGAGGCGTCCGAACTACAGGCTAGGGCGTCAACAGCTGCCGACAACCGGTTGCGTAACTGCTCAAGCCCGTCAGTTGATTCAATCGATAAGATAATGAGTCGCCGCGTGGTTCAGTTGTCAATCACAGCACATTACTGTTGTGACTCTACATGTTGCGGGTTCCCATCTCACTGGAGTGAAGAAACCATGGTGAACACCGCAATCTAGAGATGGAGAGGGCGTAGCCGTAAGCACACACAGAGAAAGAGGAAACGAACGAACGAACGAACGGATGAACGGCTCAAAGGCTCTGCCGCTCTGCCGCTCTGCCTCCGCGCTACAAACAGCAGGCACGCACCCTGCAGGGTAGTGGTGAAACTGCATATGTGTGTGACCTCGTGGTGCGTCCAGCACACCAAAGGTATAGATACGCAAAGCACATGGGTGTGGCGAGAAACATCAGAAGGGACTGAAGGGTGGACATTGCCATCCGTAGGGCAGCGGTCGGGACCGGGGCTAGCGACGTCAAGACCGCACGCCTCCATCAAAATGTTGTGATCGCGGGTCCGTACTTTTTTTTTCCGCCGACGGCAGGCACCTGCGCAATCCTCCCTTCGGCGATGCATACAGCAGTCAGCCCGCGGCACACTTGTGTCAAGTTCGAACGGCTAAATTGGCGGAGTTTGAACAAAGACGACCAGGGTTTGGGAAGTGGAGAGCTTGTCACCCGCGTTATATTTCCTGCTGCGTTTACAGTTGGAAGTATGCTATGTTCATGTTGATTTAGTCTACGGACTAATTCTGTAGCGGCAGCACACCCCAAGATGGATAGTCTTGACGAGGAAACAAATATGACAGCAAGAGCCCAATGTTCTTGCCGTTGTGCACAAGCTGCAGACTTGTGCCATATGCGTCGGCAATCTCCTGCTTCAACTTCCATCACCGCGTGCGATGGTTAACGACAGCGCCAAGCGCACGAAACAGGCAATTCACCAATCTTCGTGCAGAGCCGGTGCCAACTTTGCCAGAGGGCCGGGGCCGGCGCGATGTGAGCTGTGGGTGAGCCGCCGCCGATCCACAGACGAGATCTCATGGAAATACTTTTCGGATGACAAAAGGCCCACAACGCATTCCCTTGAAGAGAGACTTGGTCACACATCAAGCTCGCAAGTTCTTCACACAAGACTGCCGGTAAGCATCGGCAAAGGGAGGTGTTTCCCTGAGATGGTGCTTACTCCTCTGGCGCCGGTGTCGGCGACCCCACTCTGTCGTTGTAGATAGATAGCGGGGCTGGATCGAATATGGTGTGAATGTGTGAATGTGTTTTTCCTTCTCTCTCTTCGCAAAACCGAACCCGGCGCGCGTAAAACGGCGCTGACACACGATCCTAAAAGCAAGCGAGAAGTGACTACAACACCAAGAAACAGGATCGATACAGAGAGAACACAGACACACTCACAAGCGATTTCGTAGCAGCCTCTCTGCCTGGGGGGGCTGAGACTTGAACGAGGTGTGCTCCTGCTGTATTGGCTGCTGGCCCTCTCTCTTCCCCGAGATGATGAAGAGAAGTTGTTGTTCGCCGTTAGACACAAAAAATACCACAGGCCCGTCGTTCCACCGAATACGCTTGCCGCCTCTCCTCTCCCCCCTCGCGTGATCAACCCTGCGCAGCTCTTTCCCAGCTCAAGTTGCGTCTCTATGGATGTATGGCTCGCCGCACGAATCACTTGCCGCCTTCTGCCGGTGAAGTGTGCGTTCAGGGTCGTTCACAACCCTCTTTTCTCCCGTGTTTTCCGGAATGCGCGTGCAGGTTTCCTCTACTAATGACACCCTAGAAAAATAATGCCTCCACGACCTTGAACAATTCCGTAGATAGGGTGTATGTTCTTGGTTGTTGTGCCCCCACGAGGGCGCCAACAACGCGTCACCAGCTGAGCTTCCGTGGCACTCCTGCTACCCCGTGGCGCCTCTCTTCTTGGGGCTGCACCGAGTGCGATTTGCGTCAAGAAACCGCTTATCAATCGTTGGCTCACCATCGTTGCGACCCGGTTGGTGGTTGGTTGTTGAAACGCAAATCAAGGCGCAAATAGCAGCAGCAGACAGCACACAGCCGTTTGTTGGCAGCAGCAGCAGACGGCGAAAAACAATGGCGGACAGCAAGAAGAAGTCTCGGAAGGAGCGGCAGCGCGAGCTCCGAATGCTGGAGAAGGACATCTCCGGCGGAAAGTCGGTGATAGACTACGGCAAAGTCAACGAGGTGGGTGGGCGATTGTTGTTTTTTTGCTTGTTTTTGTTTCTTCAGGCACCGACAGCCTTTTGGGAACTTAATTTTTTGAATTGACAGGGGCAGCGAGCGTGGCGCTTCGTCTGGCTCGCTTGCACCATATGGCGGGCGAACAGCATCGCCTCTTGCGGCCTCTGTCACCACATTCCATCGTGTCTTTCCAACCGATCGAGTCTCGACTGGAACGTCTCTCAGTAGGCCTTCTCCCCGCATCACACGTATTCACAATCCATATAGTTGAAAGGAGAGCATGGCCCCTACTACTCAACACAAGCACTCCCGGAGACACAGACTGCAGTGGGCAGTACGGCCCGCCGACACCGTCGTCGTTGGAATATGCGGTACTGTATGCTAAAGAGCGAGGGCAGACAAGAGTTGTTCGTGAGCTTCCAGCACTATCGATCAATACCGGCTTGGTGTCGCGAGGCGGTTGATGAAGTGCCTTATCACCTGATTTTGACCTGATAATTCCCCTCGTCCTGCGGCACGTTGGGTGGGTTCTCCTATAATAGAGTACGGTACTCACAACAAGCTCTCAACGCCCCCTTCCAAGTGGAAACCCGACACCGACCCCTTTTGTGCCTGCCCCGCTCTCCCGAACGACAGAGACATATGGACGACAAGCGGTTCGAGCGAGAGCTCAAGCACAAGGAGGTGCTGCAGAAGCAGGCGGATCAGGGCGCGAGCAAGGAGTCGGAGCAGGCCCCGAGCGCGACATACGACGCCTTTATGCGGATGCAGACCGGGCAGGAGACCCGCACCATTGCCGACAAGATCAATGACCCCAACAGAGTGTCGTGGGAGCAATTCCGGAAGGTGAGTGGTAGGCAGGCCAGAGGCGTACGGAGCGGTTACAAAAGTGGATGACGACCAGTCGGGTTCAAACCCCGACGCTCCCGGAACGGCTGCCGTGGGTTGTATGTAGACCACAGCCGCGCAAAGCGCCGATTGTTTTTTACGTGCCAGGAAGAGAGCATGACGACGACAAGTCGACTTCGAAACCCGGGCGACTGTGTCTGCGACAAGCTTGGAAAACGATCCCCATGCTTGGGATATGACGGTCTTGGGTGTGTATATACCCGTCCTGATGTAATATGGTTGGGCCGAAAGAAGCACGTTTTCTGTGGCGGCCCAGCGTCAGCACCACCACCACCCCCCTCCTCCCGTTTGATTGTCTTCAATTGATCCGTTAACAACTCCTTCGCTTACCGCCCAATCGCAGGACAACGCCGACAAGCTCGATATCCCCGGGGCCGACCGCAAGAAGATGGTGGAGTACCGCGCGCAGCTGGACAAGGAGCGGGAGTCGGCGCTGGCGAAGGGCAGGAACAGGCCCAAGCGGAAGGTGGGCTGCGGCTTGAGGGCTGTGTGACTGGTTCTGTGTAAAGGTTTTTCTATTGTAACTCGTATGAACCACACTCTGGCCATTCAGGTCATCTTCTTGCGAGAAGAGGGCAGACGAAGTCCCCCTTGTCTTGCAAACGAGTCGCGGTTTGCTGTGACGGCGATCGCGGATATGTAGCCTGTTGTCGATGCCCACCTTTGCTCTGTCAGCCAAGTTCGCACACTCGGCGGTGTTTTGTCACACGCCACGAGACTGGCGTTTTGTTCATTCGTCCGCCACACCCGCACGCTCCCGTGTTGTTTGTCATGTTTTAAGACTGACGTCGTTTCATGGGCTACCCGGTTAGCTCGCGGTCGATGCCAGCTAAGAAAACACACACACGCTAATCGCACGTTTTTGACCTTTGTTTTTCCCGCTGTACGACTGGCGTTCTTTCATTGGCCAGTCGTTTGGCACGGTGGGTGCCAGTTGTGCGTGCATCTCGGCACTGGAAACCTGCCTAGACCGAACGAAAGTCGTCCATAAAATTTGAGCACGAGTACCGTAAGACCGGCTGCAGAAGATAACGAAAAACTAGTAGTACACGATATGCCGCCGTGGGTATGATTTGGGTAGCGGCAAGGAGTAGTCTCATCGCTCTGGGCATGGGTGGAGGCATCCTCGAATGTTTTGTGTTACCCGCGTACGTTCATTCCGCTCTCCCCACCCCCTTTGAGACGGAACACCGTTTGTACCGCTGTTTCCGACCCGGGTTAAAGGGGTTCCGATCCCTGCTAGTAAGAAAAATTACGGTCAAAAGAGAGACTATCATACCCGTTCGAGATATAGCGGTAGTCGGAGGTGATGGGATGAGGAGAAAAAAACGGCTGGGTTGTACCGGGCTCACTTTTCTCGCGGGAAGGGCACCCCCACCGCGCATGGTCTTGTTTTCCTTACCTCCGTGCCTTCGCCTGACGCGCGCGCCCGGCGTTTGTGGCAGCTCGGGGTCAGCTCTTCCGAGAGCGAGGGGGAGGGGGACGACAGGAACGGCGGCGGCGGCAGTGACAGCGAGGACGGCGGCGGGTCTAGCTCGAGGCGAAAAAAGCACAAGAGCAAGAAGGACAAGAAGAGCAAGAAGAGCAGCAAGCACAAGAGCAGGCGCAAGGGGAGCAGCAGCAAGAAGTCTTCGAAGAAGTCATCGAAGAGAAGGTGCGGGGGAAGCGACCTAGAGGAGTTGAGTATACGCGTGAGACACAAGTCTTGTGTGAGTTTTTCCCTAGTCAAAGCGTTTGGACCTTGCCCCCCCCCCCCTCTTTCCGACCCACTTTGAAAAGATTGTGCAAAGAAATAGGCGACAGTAGATAGGGAACCGATGGTGAAGTCCGAGCGCCGAAGATGATGACGGGAAAAATCAGACCCGGAACACGCAGACATTTTTGTCACGTGTATGGTAGCCTTGCCCTCAATTGTTGCACCTGCCAGTGGTCGTAGCGTTCGGGGTTGTCGTCGACCCCCTTTAGTATTTCCTTGTCCCACACCACGTTACCGTCCACGGAGTTGGTGTTCCAGATGTCGACCAATGCCAGGTGACGTGCTCTTGGCGTGTGTTTGTGTACGCATTTCCTGTTAAGGGCAGACCGTGCTCCTAGCACGTAGCTGCGGTGATGCTGTCGTGGATCCCGTTTTCCGGCTTTGGTACGGCATGCCTGGGGGGCCTTTGCCTGTATCCTCTCCTGTGCTTCCCGCCTTTTTGGGTCATTTTCTGAATTTGTCGTCATGGGTGTTGTGGCCCCGTGTGTGTGTGCGTGTGCTTGCTTGCGGGGTTTCCAGGAAGGGCGGCGGCGGGGACAGCGGAGACAGCTCCGACAGCGATACAGACGCCGAGTCCGAGGAGAGCAGGAAGCGCCGCAGAAAGGACAAGAAGAGCAAGAAGAAAGAGGAAAAGGTATGAACGCCACACTGCATTTACTTTTGCCAAGCCGCTTGAATTGCTCGTCTTGCTCTTGTTCTCCCCTCTCTCAGCCCGCCACACTTTGACACCAACTTGGTTGGGGGAGCTACTATGCATGTTGGCTCCGTGCTCCTCTTCGTACCCGCAAAGGAAACAAGTCAACCACCGGTTGTCGCTAGCGAGGCCAGGGTTGGCCTTTTCACACGAAAGCAAGCATTACGATCTAGAGACTGGTCGCGCGTGGGGTCTGTACATGGCGTTTTCATCCTCAACCCTCTGTGCTGTGTGCCCGTGTCTTTCTTATTGCCTGTTTTATCCCTTCCCTCATCCCTTGCCCCTACCCTCGTATCTTCATCCTCGACCGGGCCCAGCCAAAGTTCGCAACGTTCTAACTTTCACAGCAATTCCTTTGTCTCGTTCCTCTCTTCTTTAAAACTCTGTCTCTCCTTGACCCCCCCCTCCCCCCTCTCTCTCTTTCTCTCTCTTCCGTCGTTTTCTGTGGCAAGGAGCCCGAGGCGAAGGGCGCGGACCCTCGGCGGCTGTCGGCGTTTCTCCAGGGATCCTCCGGCAGCGACAGCGACTAAATTTGTTGCGGGTGTTTGCCAGTGTGCGCTCCGCCGCCTAATGGCGCCGTTCCCAGTACCAATCCGCGTGGGGCCCCTCTCCTCTTCTACCGGCCTCGCTGGCCTGACTTTCACCTCGGCGGGCGTTGCGCCAGGATTTGCTTGGGTGAATGGGGGAACATTTATTGGCCATGGCGTATGGGTCGCGCTTGCTTTCGCCGCGTGAGGCATGCGTTTCGTTCGAGACGCCAACAGGCCCACGAGAGCACGATTCCAATTTCGTCTAGGTCGGTCGGGGGAGGGAGGTTGTACTGGCGCTGTTCGCCCGGCTTTGGTTGCCAGAGCTGCGGCTGTTGCGCGTTTTTTTCGAACAACGAAACGTGCACTGAAGCATATTACCAATACTTGAGTAAAGGCGGTCCTTCTGTCTTGGCAAGATGTTCCCTTTTGAGCTCCCTGGCGCCTCAAGAGTGTGCGACGACAAGACCGGTGTACAAGCACTGCTTGTGTCGGCTTGAGATTTTTGGTCGTTGATTCGGTTGCCCTCCGGAACGAAATGCAGATGCGAGTGCAGTGCAGGAGCTCTTTGAACCGACGATGCCTGACCAGAGTTGGGTGGTCCCTGTGCACAACCTTTTCGTTGTCTTGTCTCTCGTGCAACTCTTGAGGGGGAGTGTAGAGAGAGAGCCACAAGCGTTTCAAAGGCAGCACATGTCGGGTTGTAGAGAGACTGCCGGAAGCAGTCATCAGCAGTTTCATGCGGGTAACGAGTGTGGCCTGAGTTTGCGCCCCATTCTCAGTATCTGTGTGCACTGCGGTCTCCAAGAGATAAGCTTGTCTGCCTAGGGACAAGCGCGCACGTCAAGTGCCCATGGTGTGGTAATGTATCCCCCATGTAGTTTAGGTGGTGAGTGCACACACCCGACTGTTGAGTGTTATTGGTGTAAAGGTTAGCGATTAGTCATCCGCTGTCGTCACGCTCAGCGTTGGCCGTAGTACCATGTTCGACCGTCACAAATATATGGTGTTCGTTGACAAATTAAATCCCAGCGTAGCAATGTGTTTTGATGCATCAGACCACGCCGCCCATCTCCGATCCTCACGAAGACCGTTAACTTTCGAGCGTCACAAAGCTATGATATGGGCAAATTCGAAACCCCACGGTAACCATGTTGTTGCCATGTGTTTGGAAGCAAGCATCAGCCAAGCTGCCGATGACCGCTCCCTCTACGCAAACCAACCTTTCTTCGAGACGCCCAGGACATCAACTGAGAGGTTACCCCGGAAAACACTGCCTTTGCCGGGCGTATTCGGTGTTGGCTGGTGCGCCATCTAATCGGTTGTTTCTTCTTTCGGTTTTTGAGCTGTTGTGTGTATGGAGAAGGTCTCGGCGCGAAGCACGAAAAGGGCCGTGGTCATGCCGGATCTTCCACCCGTCAGCGTTACACAAGGATCGCCTGCGTTCGAAGAACCTTTCACGCAGCGAGTCCACGAGAATGCAAGAGCGAATCAAGAATCTTCACCCTCGCTGCCGAACATTTTGGAGTCCGAAAATAGGCCGCTAGTGGAGCAATATCTAATAGGAATGTCTTGCGCAGCAATGGACGGACCTGTGCAAAAAATCATGTCCATTTCACCACAGTTTTAGGGCCTTTTTCTGTCGTGTGGGGTGTCTCTCTATGTTCGCCGGTCCAAAAGGTATGTTCCCTCGGAATTTATGCGGTTCGCGTCACGAAAGATGCACGTATATGCAGTCTAACTCACGCACGTCCATTTTCTTCCCCACCCGACGAAATCTCGTTGATCTTTGCGAAAGAAACAATTGTCGTCGTGGGTAGAGCCTTCTCGGTCTCGATAGACGTGCATCAAAATAGGTTTCACAACCCGTGGAGGTATGCTGCGTCGGAACGGGCGTGTGAACGTTTCGTTTCCACCTCCGCAAGAAAACGCCAGTTTGAAAAACCTCCAAAAAACATGACTCAAGCAAGCTAGACAGGTCACTTCTGTCCCTCCGAGCTAGGCGACTCCGGGGATGAATCTCTGTCGTCCCCTCCCTTTGGAGGCGTGTCTTTCCGCCGGGTTGTCTTGCCGGCGATATCGACGAGGTTGAGCTCCATGACATTGTCCTCGTTCACGACATGGCAGTCGCTCTCTCCGATGCGGTTGGTGATCTTCTCGATGTCCCACCCATCGGCGCCGTCTCCTGCCTCCTCGAACCACCTTACAAAAAAAAAAAATGACGGGGTTTACACACACACAAATCATCACTTGGTGACAGAGGCGAAAGAGGGCAGACGCACACCTTCATCAACGCGGCAGCCGCAACAGAAGCTGCACGCCAGGCTCTCAGCACTGCAAAGAAATCTGGCCCCATGCCAACAACAACCGCTTCACAACGCGCCTGGCGACCTCTGTGGGTGCAGAGAGGGACCGGGGCGACGTGGGGGGCACGCTAGCATGCGGCGTGAAAATGTATCGATAACTAGATCATCGCGGTCCAACCTGTGTGTACGGATACATTTCGAGCGCCTCCCCACACAATCACCAGAAGCGGGTGGCGGCTGTGTCTTGATGGGTGCATGTCTATCTCTTCCTGAAACGTTTTACGAGAAAATACACGTACAGGCAAAGAGATTCTCTCGGGATGAAGCATCATAACCACAGCAGTCTTTGTAGCAAAGCTCGACTCACCCTAATCGGTCGGCGATGAGGTGTATGTTGTGGCAGCCGGGGCATCGGGCCAAGACGACCCCCTTCTCGTAGGACAGCTTGGCGAAGGTCTTGGCTGTCCTCGTCTCGCACACCTGATTTGGGAGCACATCGTAAAAGTTTAGGTTTCGAAAAAATGAGATGCAGTCCTTCAAAAGCTGGTTATTCTCGCAGACGTTCAAGGTGGAGAGTCGGTGTCGCCGGTTCCCCCTTAGTCTGTCTAAGGACGTCCAGCAAGACCAATGCTGTACTTGTTCCGGTGTCATTCAGCCCTCATCGTAAAATATCAAGATTTCAACACATGCCCCCTGCGAATAATCTTCCAAGTGATCTTGAAAGGGTAAAGAGTATTTTTTTGTGCCACTTGGACATGCCTTACACATGAAGCACCAGAGCAGCGCCTTGGCGGCCCACAGTGCCAAAGGAGAGACGACGACGTACTTACAGTAGTTCGACAGCTAGTGTGAGCCAAGCATCCCTTTTTTTTTCAACTTATGTAGTCGTTCGACAGCGGCAAGGTGTTGCCGTCGCCGCAATGGCATGGGTCCGAAGATCTCGTTCGACTGCTTTTTCACTGAACGTACGCTACGCATCGCGACATTAGATATCACACCCCTGGACCGATTTCCAAAGGTCGATTGCTCCACAACCAAGCTCGTGTCTACACCTCCAAATGTGGTTTTGCAAGCATGTCGCCGAGGGCTTCTAGACGCATCGGGCTCTTTCTGCACCCCCTCGGTTGTGGAGAAATCAAGCGGTTCAGGGCGTGTGGTATCTGCGGTGTCACCTACAGGTAGGTTCGGCAGCAGTGGCGTGTTCTCATTGGCGAGAAAGGAACACAACACCACTGCTGTCGTACCTCCCTTATGTAGCTCTTTATCCACGCCTCACCGTGCAAGTGAAGACGATGGTCATCTTCTCCTCCCGGGTCTGCTCCGACCCCGGAACGTCTAGAAACCTCACGACGTTTGGCTTGTCCTCGCTACCTTGCGCCGTCGACCCGGCCCCCACCGGCACCCGGTCCTCCTCGGGCATCATCTCGCGGTCATCCTCCGCCTTGTTGGCGGCGGCCGCAGCAGCATCAATGTGGGTAACGTGGACGTCAAGCTTTCCGGTGCTGCTGCTGCTGCTGCTGCTGCTGCTGCTGCTGCTGCTGCTGCTGCTGTTGGTACAGAATGCGGGTTGTTGTTGTGCATGGCGGCGTAGCCCTCGTGCGGTGGTGGTGGTCGTGGACAGCAAGGAGGACGGCCTGGCTGCTACCAACGGCGGGATTGACGACGACCAGCTGGAGCTTGCAGGACAGCTGCTGCTGATCGAAGAGTAGCCGCGGTGCTGCTGTTGGCGTCGAGGCAGCAGCAGCAACGACGGCGCCGTTCTGCGGTGACCTGCTGGGCACGAGCTCGAGAAGACTCCGCTGCTGCTCTTGCTGTTGATGTTGCTGCCTTGGAGGGCCGTCGGTTTGGTGCAACTGAGCTCGCGCCTGCTGCCCGACAAAACTACACCACGAACTCGCGACCTAACAGAAGCTGATACTCTTGATGTCATGGGGATTTAACGTGTGTGCGTGTTGGGAGAGACAGCGGAGGCACGAGGTTGTGCTGGGCTGCTGAGCAGAGCCTTTAGGGACTTCGCAGTTGGTAGAGTGCGGGAAATGTAGGTATCCGGTTGGTCCTGAGACAGAAGCATGCATAATACGGCCCCCCTAAGAGAGAACGCCAAACACAACACAGCCTGTTCACCAAACACAAGCAGTGAGTGGGACTACACGACACTCTTTGGGTGCTAGACTTCACAGGTGGTTCTCTCTCGTCCCTTTGTGCACGCTACTATGCTTAGAAGAATCGCGCTCCGGGCTTTTGTGGCATAGACGGAAAGACGCACGCATGCTCGTTCCCGCCAAAAATCGCGGCGGCTTCAGGGCCGTTGTCCACTCCACATCAGTATGTAACCCTGTAGAAGCATCCGCACCAGAAGCCGTCACGTTCGGATCCAGTACAAAGCTCCGCTTTGACTGCTGTCTTAAAAACAAATCTGTTTGGTGTGTTTGCTTCCTGTCGTCTGCCACAGCCTAGCGCGAGAAGAGAGAGAAAAAATGGCACAGCAGGAGTCGAAAGCCGCCGTTGGCGGTATCAGGGGTATCACCAACGGCCACGGTGGGGCAGGAGCCAAAGCAGGAGCAGGGGCGACTGCTGTGCCGCGTAGCCCATCCCCCGCCAAGCAGCGGAAGAGCGCGGTGATCCCCATGTCGCCGCCGCCCCGCACCCCGGAGAGCGTGAGCAGCACCGCTGTCGTGGAGTCTCCGTCTGCTGGTGGTGGAATGGTTGATCGGCGCCAACTCTTCGGCGGTGAGCGATGATACGTACATGTACACGTAGCTTGGACTGAGAGCGATCCGGCCCGGGTGTACTGCTGCCAGTCATAAGGATGAGCTGGTGAACTCCACCTCTTGCTTTGCTCTACGCCTCCGGAGTAGACCATCGATCTATGGTGTCTGATCCATCCAATCTATCTCACGTACGGCGATGGCGGTGTTGTTGTGCTCCCGACTCTGGCAAGCGCAAAACCAGTTATCCCGCAAGGGACAGGCGTTGTTGTGGGACATGAGATGTACACCACCGTCACCCCCACCACCAGCGGAGCCAGCAGAAGAGGCACGATGTTGAGGCTTGGCTCGGCGATAACCGAACGCTTGCAGTGTGTCGCTCCTCTGTGCCTTTCGAGGAGAAGGATCCCACGAACAACGCGAAGTAGGTACATTGGGCTCAACCACCTGCATTTTCCGCTATTGTTTCGCCTGAGCGCCAAAATAGAACAAAAGCCGCGCCGTCAAGCATTATCCAAAAAATGCTGAGATCTGCACACCACAGGCCAGACGAGATCTTGGCAAATGGACACGTATGTTCTGGCCATGGTGATCCTGAGTTTCATCGGTTGCAGCTGTCCTCAGGGTATTGGATCTGTTGGTGAGGACCTCAGATTTTTCGCGCCAAAACCAACGGAAAAAATCACGCCACGTGCACTCGGGGGGGCCACACAAAAAAAAACTTGGGACCGATCCTTCCGTGCGCCAACGAACAGCGCGTGTTCAGCGGCCCAGCGCGAAGATTTTCGAACCCACACGACGGTTGCCCCGACCGATGCCTAGCTGCACCCGCGTATCCGCCATCCGGAAGTATACGTTATCTTGGGAAAACATGGCATGAGTAATATATGTGTGCATGCATTTTACACGACGTAAATTTTACACCGGAATCTAGGTGACGCAAACGTTAACGTTGGTGGTGTAACGCACACAGAGCTAGTTAACACCTCAGCGCTTCTATATATTATTTCTCCCATGTTTGCTTGTTGTGCTGGCTGTACAGAAGTGATTCTGTTGATTTCTTCGCCTTGTTCGTGCGTGGTGCTAGCTTCCGTGGTGTGTGGAGCTCCTCTTTATCGTTGTTGTGTGGATCAGCCTTCTTCATAGACGTTGCTCTGGGTGTGTGTGTTGTTTTGCCGAGACTTTTCCATGCCCAAAAAACGCTTTCAGAAAACTCTTGACCATCATTCGGGGTGGTGTTGAACTCTCTCTAGTCTAGGCCGTGTGTTGATCATGGTTCCTTTTGATCAAGTCACGATCACAGATTGGACACGTTTGTTGGTAGCGGAATTGGCAGCTACACCAGCGGCAAGACAAGCGGCAGTTCAAGCTCTATCGGCCATTAAGTTACAAAAGAATGAGGCTTGGGCTTCCGCGTCTGCAAGGCTGGTTTTACACTTCAGAGCGGCGAATGTCGATGACCATAAACCATACACATCTAAATACCTATTACACTGGAGCTTCATGCCTGACGATGCTTTGTTAGGACACGACGCCTCTTTTTACCGGTCCAAGCTGATTTCATGTCGCTTGAATCCCATATGGTATCTACAGCAGTACGTCACATCAAGGATCACTTGTCTTCGATGCCGATAGATGTAACCAATCCTCTATCTCAGGCAATGGTGTACAGGGGGGAAACAGTCAAGCACATCCACACGCAGTTCGTCAGTGGCTTAACCAACAGAGGCTCCACGTTTTATTCACAAGATGAGATCATTCGTCGTCAACGCAACAACTCCTCTTTGGTAGCCAATACAGATTTAGTCAGCCACAAACGATCGTTGGACCCCTCAGATGATGTAATACCGAAGATAAAACCTTTTTCGAGGACAGAACTCCTAGGAGCCCTTAAAGAGATTTTTTCCTCGGAGCAGGACAGTGGGCGCAAAGACGGTCAGCAGGATAACGATTCTTCTTCAGATGTGGTAGAACTCTATTCAGCCGACAGTGTTGCCGCATTATTGGCTGCCTTTGTCAATCTCCCCGGCCTCACCATGTTAAAACAGCTAAAAAGACGCTCACACAAAACGCTCATACATTTCTCACCTTCGTAGCTGAGTACGGTATGTGCGTGGACCTTCGTAGCTGAGCGCAGTTCGTGCGTAGACCGTTTCCTCGGGGTTGGGTAGAGACTGAGGCAAGCACCGGAGAAGGAAGGCAACGAAAGAACAAGCTTCGTTGCGGACTTCCTCCTGTGTAACCCCGGATAGTGCACCCAGGATGCACCGAATGGTGCGAGCACCGACGTCCAGAATGAATACATGTATAGTTATGGCATGAACCGTCACCGATCAAGGTATGTTTCTGTTTCCGGTCGGGTTCACTGCTGTGGTCTGCAGACATGTACGCTCTCATCCTTGCCCTGGTTTGGATTCCGAATGAACCCGTCATCGGTCTTTTTGCTTCTTTGGTAACGACAGGCGCCGGCAGTGGCAGCGGCAGCGGCAGCATGCCGCCGCCCCCGAGCACGCCCAAGTCTAGAGGACGTGGTGGTCGAAGGGCGCAGTCCAAGACTCCAGCGAAGCGCGGGACTCCGAAGGACGTGAAGGTCATGCGGCAGGGGGGGGACGGGGAAGGAGAGGGAGAGGAAGAGGGGGGGGAGAGCGCTACGCCAAGCAAGAAGAAGAAGACCGAGGCAGCACTGGAGGGGCCAGTGCGTACTCTCTCGATGGTGAGGACAGAAAATGTTAAGTCACCCCCCCAAAAGAGGAGGTCTGCGTACTGGATAGCAAGCAGAGCCCACCACGGCACTTCGTTACTTAGTCCTCGCCTCACAGAGACCTGTCCCTTATCAAACCACCGAGACTGTACAGTCCACTGCTGTGAGCTTTGCGGAGCCAAGTTTGGCCAGTTAGAATGGAGTGTGCACAGAGTAGCCTCGGATATGAAAGCAAATTCACGATTCCCAGATTGGAATTTCAACCAATTCCAGTTTGGAATCCATGAGGAATTCCCACGCAGGATCGTCCACTATTCCCAGATTGGAATCTTATTTTTCTAAGCATCATGAACACACACTCCAGCTCCCCAAACTTGGCTCCGAGAGGCTCACAGCAATGTAGCCTACAACCTCGAAGGTTTGATCGCAAACGTGTTTCTGTGAGGCGAGTACTGATTGACAAAGCGCTTCGGTGTGCTTTTCCCACCAAGTGCGCAGAACTCCTGCTGGCGCACAGGGGTTTGGATGTAAAAGGCGTAATATCGGGATTCCCAGTTGGGAATTATTTCCATAACAACTGTCCTGAGAGCTGGGTTACCAGTAGATTGATTTTTTTGCGGTGGTTTCTCTTTTTGCCACGGTTGCGGATTGCATGCTTGGGGTTGCTCATGTCGTGGGATTTATCGAGTGTTCCTTCATGTTTCGCTACACACTATGGCGTTGAGGGGGGTAGACAAACTTCGTGCTCGACTGCGTTCAACGCCTTGCAACACCGAATAGATGTGTTGCCGTTGAAGTGAGATGATGGAATACGAAATATATCAATTGTAGCCAAACAGCGGCCGGTGAGGAGGGCGGTGGCGAATGCTTTACTGCGCTCTTGAATTGAGTTTTGCCTGACTGTCCACGTTCTAGGTTGCGAGGACGGAAGAAAGATTGGAGGCCTGATAGTCTAAGTCAGGCCAGGCCACCCACGAATTTTGGGGTTCCCCCTACATTCAGAGAGAGAAAGAAAGGAGCGTAACCCCGGGAATAGTACGAAATTTCTTGGTGGGGTCGAGGGCGCTGCTAGAGTGTCCACAGTACACACATCGCGACCTGGGCGTTGCTCAAGATTTCCGATGCTTCATCCCGCAGTTGAAGAACAAACCCGTCGCGACCTGGCCCTGCTCACAACTGTTCGATGCTAAACCCACAAAACGTAGAACAAACCCATCGCCGCCTGGCCTTGCTCAAAAGTGTTCGATGTTTAAATCTCCCGTAACTGGTACACCCATCGCGACCTGACCTTGCTCGACAAATCAATGTTATTTTTATTTATACACACATCCCACAAACGTTCGTTGCAGACGCCAACCAAGAAGAAGAGAGGGGCCTTCGGGCGAAAGGACGGCACGCCCATGAAGGCGAGGGTGGACGTGCCTGAGGAGGTTTCCAGGGTCTACGCTATCGTCGCCAAGGCCACGGGGAACATCGGGGGGAACGGTGAGAGGAGGATGGGAGCGAGAGACGGGCCGGCCTACGTGTGTGCGGTTTTTTTCTGTTGGCATGTTGGCATCGACCACGGTATATTTTACCGGCTGCAGGCAATGAAAAGACGCCCGTCTTGTAGCTTTTGTGTGTGTGTGTGTGTGTGTGTTTTAGCACCGGCTGCGCTATCTGGTCGACCCATTAAATGAAAGTCGTGTGTGTGGAGGTAAATGTATGCGACTTCTGCGATAGACCGAGGGCACGCTCCCCGCCAGCCAGCATCCACACGAACAGGCTGTTTGCAGGTGGGGGCGTTGGGTGATGCGGCTTCGTTGGCTGTGGCTGCCCCAAGATTCTCTGATCGAGCCCCTCTCTGTTTGAATACGCCCCTCTCTGTTGATGCGTAGCTTTTTTCTCGTGCACCGGTTCTTGTTCGTTTCGAACGTTTGAAGAACAGGAAGTTGCCGTTCTCTCCGTCGCTGTGGCTGTTTTTGGTCAACGACATGACATGTTGTGCTTTTTTTCCCCGTAGATTGTTGTACTCAGCCCCCTTTGTTGACGGACGTGTTGATGATTCTTACGCTCCGCCTGTAGTCTCCGTGTAGCACTGAACACCACTCCTTACGGTCAGAGAGATGCAACACAGCAGAATCCACACAGCCAACTGCTGTCGTTAACAGCCATCGGCTATTTGCTCTACCCGCGCGGGCACGGCTGTGTTCTTCTGGCCTCTGTTCTCTGTTGTTTTTTGCGGTTCTATTTTAGGGAGCGACGGTGCGATCTACGGAGAGCTCACGGTTGGTGGTATGCAGAAGGTCGTCAACGTGCTCAAGGTGCGGAGGTTTTGCTTTCTTCGTTCGCCCTCCCGGAATGCTCGTTGTTGATGTTGTTGTCGGTGTCCTTTGCGGTGAAGACTATTGGTTTGTTCCAAGCTTTTTAGCAGGCGGGAAAAGGTTCCAGCCTCCCTCGCGCTGGAAATTCCCTCTTTTCCTCAACGGTAAAAAAGCGACGCAATAGGGCGCCAAGGAACAGACAAAAACACAGATCACCACCACCGTACGATCGGTAAAGCTTCTACTGCTGTAAGGCTCTTGTCAGGAGCGTGGTAAGATTCCGTCACGAATCGAGCGGACGAAGCGTCGACAGTTCGATCAACAGGCAAAGAATAGTGACACGTCCGCCAACGCTGCTGCAATCGTGACAAAGCAGGCTCCATCCGGTGTATTCTGTGATGTTCGCTCTGCTTGGACTCTACGCTGTCTGTCGCGTTGCGTCGAATTCAGACGACACTCGCTGTGATAACTCGTATTTCCGCGCGCATTGCCATTAAGCTCTCATCTATGTCGTTTCGTTGTCCTTGGTACTTTCTACGTGCATGACACCAGCTCCACTGCTCATTTATGGACCTATATCTCTCGTTGATCGTTGTTCGCATGCGTACGCATTTTTCTTGTTTCTTGTAACAGGAGCATACGGGTTTCGACGAGATGTCGAGCTTCATCGATGTAGGGGCGGGCCTCGGCAAGCCCAACTTCCACGTGGCTCAAGACCCCGGCGTGGAAATCTCGTACGGTCTGGAGCTGGAGGTGGTGCGGTGGGAACTCAGCATCGCTAACCACAGGATGTAAGAAGGTTAAGAAGGTTTACGTCCATCATTCGAAGATAAAGAAGTAGCTCCGTGCAGTGGCGTTGCGTGCCCGCCATGGCTGTGCGCGGCGGATCTTTGGTCTACGACAAACGCACAACTTTAGTACATGGCATTTCGAACCGTGGGGGGGCTCCGTTGATCGATTTGTTGTACTGTACGCCTTGCGTTTATTTTTGTGCTCGGGGTGTGTGCCAGTGACAACCGTTAGTGTCACGGTGTCTGTTCTGTCTCTCTCTCTCTCGGCCTGCCTGCCTCTCTACTTCGTCGACCTTGTCCCTACCTCCCTCCCTCTCTGCCTTTCGTTCTCTCTGCCTGCCTGCCTGCCTGTCTGCCTGCCTGTCTTTCCGTGTTTCTGTTCTTTTGTCTGTCTCGCTGTTTCTCTGTCTCTCTTTTGTCTCCACCTCTCTCTCTCGCTCTCTCCCTCTCTCTCTGGGTCGGGGGTGTGTCGTGATTTCAGGGTGCTCCAGGACGAAGGCGACAACGGCGTCCACGTCGCCAAGCACAACCTCTTCTTCGCCAGGGGAGACATCCTCGGCTGCGAGACGTTTGACCCCTTCACCCACGTCTACATGTTCGACATCGGTGCGCACACGGCTACGAACGTGCCCCACGTTGTGTTGACTTGTCTGATTCTTTCCTTCTTTTTGCGACGGTTTCGTTTCCCCTGGCGGTTATCCGCGTTCTAGTATACACTTCTTTTTTTTTCCCTTCTTTTTCCGATGATGTCTTTTGTCGCGCCCGGAAGCGAATTAGTCACGGTGGGCTCCCCGTGAGTGACTGGTTTCGCATACCTCCTTGTTGTATTCATTCTGTTTCTGCCCCTCGGTGTGGTGTGGCGTGCCGCTCGCAGGTTTCCCTCCGGCAACACTCCACGAGATCGCCAAGAAGTTCAATAACTCCAAGGTATGGTTCGTTTTTTCTCAAATCTATTTTTGCGTCGACATGGTGGTGTTGCGCTTTGCCCTCGTGCCGGTGTCCGTACTCAAGGGTGGGTTCGGGGCTCCGCGGTTAGCGACGGTACCCCCCTCTGTGTTGTTCTGCTCGCCGAGAGTCTCGTTGCTCCTAACGTCTCTCTCCCTGCTTCCGACGGCGTTAAACCCAAAATCATTCTTGTGAAAGGCGCGACATCTGGTGAGCTACCAGGTCCCCAAGAAGGTTATCGACGTCTATGGCTTCGACGTCGACCTAGTCCTTCAGCAGCCGCTTAGCCTCACAGGTACCCGTCTTTCAAAATATGGAACATGGGTTTCATTCATGGTGGTCCTGTGCATTGCGCCGACGCGTGACACTGTTTTGGCAGGGACAACTCGCGCGTTGCGTTGGTACCTGTGGCCTTTGCTAGCTCACAGATAGATACGCAGATATGTACAGACACGCACCCCCGCTCAATGGTTGGACAATGCGCTCTATCCTCATGGCGTTGCGTCTTTTCTTGGGGCTTGCTTCGCGACATGTTCGGGGTTTGAGATTATTATTATTTTCACGATTGTGGCCCACAACCTAGATCCGTCGCGAGGAATCGAGTTTTCTCAGCTAGTGGGAGCAAATTGCGACGGTTAGCACCAAAACCCCTTTTGTCTCGCTGCCCAAACATGTGTTCGCTGAATGAATGGCGTTGGGTGGTTGCCCGTCTTGACCTCTGGTTTCATCGTGTTTTTGTTGCGCTTGGGGTCAACACCGCAGGGTCCGGGGAGGGTCACACGATGTACCTCTTCAGGCGAAAGAACGTCGAGCCCGGCCTCAAGATCGAGCGCATCGACGAGGTAACACCAGCATCTGATTTCTCCCCCTGTGGGGCTTGTGAACTTCATCTGCGAAATCATGCCAAATGAAAGATCCCGATAGACCTCTTTTCTCCCCAAGAACCTTGATTGATTGTTTGAGTGGTGGTCGTCGGTGGTTGGCGTGGCGTGGCGTGGCAGGTGGATCCGTTCTTCGCCGAGGGCGTGAAGCTGTGCAGGAATCGGGGAGAGGGCGGCGGTTCCGAGCTTACCGCGCACGTCGAGGGCGCCTTCGAAAGGAACACATCTGGAGGAGTGTGAGTGGCTGTCCTAACGAAAACACGCGATGTATTATGTATACTGCTTGCTGCAGCTATTTAGCTATCGATGCAGAATTAGAGCCTGATTGCCTGTTTTCACACGAGATCTATGCAGACGCGAAGCCTGTTTCCCTGTTTTCGCGCGTGAGAGACGCACACTGAAGTGGCTTTCGAACGAACTCATGCAAGCAGTTCGTGGGGTGGGTGTGTGGGCAACTTCACGATCGCCGGCCGGAACACTTTTTTTTTTTTATCCACGATGTCGTGATTCTAGGGGTACCCAACCCCGTCTTCTCTTATTCCGCGAGGCTCCGCAGCTAGTGGATCGTCATACCGATGATGCGCTTTGGTTCTAACTTAGGTTGTGATTGTCATCATCATCCCAAACAGCATTCGTTGTCTGTAGTTGGCTGGTTTGTCGCCCCTCCAACAAAGCTTGCACTTTTCGCGTTCACCTTGCACTGCACATGGCGCTATGGAGGCACGCTGACTTCTGCGGTGATTGTCAGAGAGAATTGATAGCATCCTCAGGAGGGTCTAAACAGTCCCATAGCGCACCAATTTGTCCTATTTTTGTGTGTCGGTTGTTGCTGACTCCACGGTCAACGAACTCTGTGTGTCTGATTCCTTTCGCCATAAATTTACAACAAGTACTTTCTATGTTTCTCGCTTTTTTATCCATGTTAGTCGTGTTTCCTTCTCTTTTCTCACTCGTTCGTTCACTCCGCCCTGTTCTCACCCTCTTTTCTCCCTTTCTCCGCTCCTCTCGTGTGTGTGTGTGTTTGTTTATCTTTTCTCGCAGACGAACGCGCAGGTCGCGACGAGCGAACGCGTAAATTCTCCCCGCCCGCCTCCTCATTTCGCGGGAATGGGTGTGCCTCGCCTACCCATTTTTTAGCAATCATGTACTTTGGGCGGCATGACGTTCACCTGCACGGTACGGGGGGCACGGGGAGTGGGGCCTCAGGCCGACATGTGCCGCCTGGCGAAACGACCGGCGGTATTCAAAGTACAGGATGGCTTGGTGATTCAGTCCGTGCCCAGCGATTTCGCCGGCGCTATGCAGGGCCGCTGGCGCTATGCAACCGGCGTTCTTGAGGGCCCGCTACCACCGTACTTTGTCACCCCAAGGCTCAACTAAGGAGGGGGTTTCATGGAAGACTGAGCGAGAGAGAGGAAGGTTCCCTGAGTATGGCCGGACGGCGACGGCTGGTTGTAGAGGCTTCCGCACCTCGTGGAGACGACCATCTCGTCCGGAAGTGATTGAGGAAGGTCGGAGAGAGACCGCAAGGAAATGGTTCCGAGCTTCTAAAGTACTTTCTGAAGGATGTGGTCTCGGCAAGACACTTTGTGGGACTTCCATGCTGCGCACGCTAACATAGGGCGTCTTATTTATTTGGCGTGTGAGTTTCTGCCCCTCGACGGTGTGTTTACTAGTTGCCGGAGAGAGAGAGAGGGGGGGGGGGGGGGTCCGCAAGCGAGAAGGATAACTAAGACCGCCGGGGGGATAGCTAGAGCACGTTTTTATCCGCCGACGCCCCCTCCTCTTGCGCGCTCGCACGGATGGTCGTCGGGGTCTGCTATCGCACGTAACGTCGAGAGAGTTTGTTGTGGCGAAGCGGGGGCGGCGCTGTTATTGGGACAAGGATTCTTCGCAGGGCTGCCGCAGGCAAGGACATGCGGTGTCCTCAGAACCATCCGAAAGTGGGCCCGTAGTTGTGTGCTCCAATAAGAGGTAGGTAGGTCCCTCTGTCCTGTCACTCCTGAAAGACAATCATCGGTTGCTGCTACTGAGGTTCGCTGGCGTCTACAGGACGATGGGAGGCATTTTTGGGTTGAATCCGGCGACGTAATCGTAAACCGGGGTGACGGCTTGGGTCGAGTGGGGGGAGGGAGGCTGATGCTGGTGCGCTTTACCCACGACGCGATAGGCTCGCGTGGTGTTGGAATAGATTCGTAGAACCAGCCTGGCAGCAAGCATGTACTATTTTGTAGCAACGCATATACATACCTTACGCACCTCGTTTCGCATTGAAAGACCTGCTATTTACAGTATTTGTTATTTATTTCAAAGCACGAGGTCTTTGTGTGCTATTAGATCAGTATTTCCAGAGTATGGGTGTGTGTTTCTCGTTTTGCTGGGGAAAGGCTAGGGGGGCAGCGCGGGTGGATGGTAGCTTAAGCCCGATAACACAGCAGCTCTCAGGTGTTGGGTGCTTCCACAATATAATAGTGTGTTGCTGCTCTGGATAGCCTCGTATTTTCTTGTATTTTTAGGCATCATGTGTCCAGAGCGGCCAGAGGCAGTAGACAGACAGACAGACAGACAGACGACTTGTTCGGTTGTTTTGTTGGTGTTGTGCGGTGGGCTTTGTTTGGCGTCCGCCTAGTATTTTTGGGCATCTGTTCGGTATGTAGACGGAATAGTTGCGGTATTTGTACTCGGGCGTGGGTCGTATTTGCCGAGGTTTGTTACGAGTCGCTAACCAAGCAGGTCGGTATTTGTCCTATTGGTATTTGTCGGTAGCGGTAACAGCAGCGACAGGGACAGCAACAACAACAATGGCGTGAAAGGGGTGGGGGAGGGAAGAGATAACAAACAGGGGGCATGGAAGCCAGTCGCAGACAAAGCAGCTAGTTAGCCAAATACAAAAGGAACATGGATGGGCGAATGAAAGACGGCGTGCAAAACCTTTAAATTCCATCGCATTGAAAGGAACTTTCACCTTGAATGGCCGCGCACAAGCGGGGGCGGTTCTCGGCGTGCTTAAAGAGTGAACGCCAGCAATTTTTAGTGTTTTTTTTTAATCTTATGCTGAAAACGTGGACCGGCCGGAGCGCAAGAAGATTCAGTGCGTGTCATACACGAACCTCCACAAGTGAAAGAGTGCAGTCGAGGACTCGACTGACTTGTTTCGCAAAACTCTGATCGCATGCGTGTGCCACCGAATTGACCTGGAGACGGAGGCGACGATGATACGCAACGCTGGCCGAGTTTCGAACTTTTCTGTGCCAAACGCCTGGCGGGTGGTCCAATACAACGGGAAATGCAGGTCCCGCATTACAGGACGGTAGTCTCTGGTACAGCGTACGTACGCGTACGCATAGAGGCGGTTAGTTGCGAACACGACGGCTGCAGGGGACGGCGAAAGTGCTCATACCTGGTATGTTCTTGGCTTCGGCAACGGCGTGGTGTCTCTCGGTAAAAAAAGGGTGATCGGAAAATGATGGTGATAGAAACGGAGCTAGACAACCCACAGGTCGCTGTTGAAAGGGATCCATGCCACAGTACAATAGGTCGGCCTACATAAGACAGACAATGTTGATTTTGAGGAAATGTCGTTGACGCCTCGGACGGTCGTAAGGGTGTGTGTACTCTTGGGGTGCAGGAAACATCGATGAAGCTCTATCTTGCTGGGCAGGGCGTGTGTAGCCATGCCAGAAGCGATGCGGTAGTAAGCGCTCGCGCCGCGGACATTGGGCTCAAACTCGTCTGTGTACCTAGTTAGGAGCTTTTGGATGTCATGATGACCCGGACAGAAGAACATGTTTACTTTAGGGCACGACGGCGAAACCTCAGAACCCCGGGCGGAACTTGTTTCGAGATCCATTCGATTCGACACACCACGAACACTCCTGCGGTGGGCAGATGTCTCTCGCGGGAACCCGGATTTCCCGCCGAAAACCTGGGTTTCTCGCGGCAACCCTGAATGAATTTCGTTCCATCGACAAAGTACATCCACACCGAACCGGTGGTAACAGCAAGCTTGTTCCCGCCGGGGAAACTCAAGGGAATAGCGTAGAACGCGTATCGCCCGTTCGCAATCAAACCTCTCTGAAGCTTTTGGCTCCCATGTTGTTTGGGGACCAACTCCAGTGTTGGCGTTGTTAGCTGCTTCAAGCTTCAATTTCTATCCTACAGTCAATAGGATCAATCCAACGCGGACACCACACGCGCAAACTGCAAACACGGCACATCACGCGGAAACTGCAAACACGGCACATCACGAGATAAAAGGTCGTAAAATCACCGATCCATGCGTATCACTTAAGAGCAACATGATCCTCCGAAGGTTGTAACCACCTACTGCTGGAAAGAGAAGCAACTTACATACGTAAGGCTTAAAGACAACGCCGACACGCAATAGGCCATTTTGCTTTTTGAGCATATAATCGAATAGTCAACCTTCTCCGAGCTGACTCTGTTCGACAAGAGCATCTACTTGTCGACGAAACCGAAAATGGTAAAAACCTTGGGCTAAACAATAAATATCGACAACGGCAGAGAGGACGGGTGGGGCACGAGGCATTTCGCGTAGCACCCTACGCCCCCTGGTTTGTTGCGGTGGCTCATGCAACTTATTAACATCATCACGACACCCCCTCCCCCCGCCGCCCTAAACTAAACTGATGATGGTTTCTCGTCCTCAGGTACTCTGGCTGACAAGCCTATTGCTCGCACTGTTCAACCCTCGCCCCGCCCCAATGATAGTTTCTACAGTAATCCTGGGGTGCACTGGCGGACAAGCCTATTGCTCACTACCCTTCGTGCTTCGCCCCTGCTCTTACTGGGGTTCCTCCCTGTCGTCCAGGGCGGCCTCCTCCATGCTGTGTGCCGCGGCTTCCTCCATGTCGCTAACGGCAGCATCGGTGCCGTGTGGGGCGGTCTCCTCCATGCCGGGTAGTCCCCCCCCCATGCCGTTGAAGGCAGCACCGATAGGGTCGGTGAGCCAGGTAAACCACCCAGCATTTTGGGGCCCAGCGGGCGCGGGAGCTTGAACGCCGGCCTCCTGCATGCCGTTCCCGGCCGCACCGATGGGCCGAGCATTTTGGGGCCCACGGGGCCCACCGGGTGGGTGGGCCGACTCCATTCCACCCGGTCCCTGTGCGTTCAGCTGGTTTGCTTCATGAGAGGCCCTTATCGCAGCGACATCGATCGACATCTTCTTCAGGAGGCGCACCACCTGTCACGAATAGACGTTGGGGTTGTTTGGAGGCGGGCATAGTACGCGATAAAAGAAAAAGAAGAGGCTGACGGGCCAACACAACATAATGCATGTCATACTACAGTTAGCGGCCGCACGTAAAGGCACCCCTAGTTTCGGCCGGGGCAGTGGATGTTACTGTATTCGTAGGGTCATGCTACGAATGGTCGCGATATATATATATAGGTTTTAGTGTAGGGTTTCTTATCCGGCGCAAAAATGGTGCTCAAGTTCCTTGGTTGTGAGATTTTTCGAGGATCTCAAATTCGGTTTGTTACTGCCAAGTTATTCAGTGCGACCGTAAACTGCTGTAGAATGGGAGTGCAAACGATCCGAGTCGAAGTGTTGCAACTCGAACATGACGCTTTGGTGCTCACCACGATCTGGAACAATGTCGAACGGAGTGTCGATATCCCCCACTCCCAGGTGCCGGTGGATCCCACTCCCCATCCACTCCAACCTGCTGGCAACATGCAGTAGCATCCGACAGAGGAAGACATGAATCTGGTGTCCAAACTTGTCTATTTTTCAGACAAGTCGTCCGTCTATGACTCCACCCTGCACATCACCCAGGCGGACTGAGTGCGGTGTTCCCGAAAGCAGACAGACGCAGTCGAGTTCATGGCGCATACAGATGGCGCCCGCACTTAAGAACATCTTAATTTGCGTGAGGCTGGGGTTCTTAGTTGCCTGTTGAGGCTGCGAATGGCCATTATATAGGTTTTAGTGTGAGGTTCTTAACGGGGACCACTAAAATGCGCTAATGTTCATGAGTTTTGGATTTTTTGAGCCTCATGTTCTTAACAGGTAGGTTCTTAAGTGCGGGCGCCATCTGTAGCTGCGTGGCGCGGACTCTTGTCGCCCAATGCTCAACTTGTCGGAGGTGGTCTAGAATGCGTCCCAGCGTGAGACAGGTGACGCCTGCCTGCGAATTCCAAAAGGGCGCCCATGATTTCAACAAGAAGAGGGCTGGCGGAAGCAATGCCCCGCACGTAGCCGACAGCGTTGCGCGCGCATGACGAGCGGCGAACTCATCCTGACCATCGCCTTGTCATGAAATACTCCGACTTTGAAGCAGATGCCGTGCCGTGGATACAGACTGACGCATCCGAGTGGCACCGTGTTGTAGACGATGGACCCAAGATATCCATGGCGAGAAAAAGGTCCACCACGTTTATCGACGCGTCCTTGAGGGTTGTCTGTTGCTCTGCCAACAATTTTTCCTTCGCGCCGATTCGCTCAAAGACTATTATTACGTACTTCTTCTCCTACCATTAGTTGTCTCTCTGTGAAGAGTTGTTTGTGTGGTATTCTCTCATCACACGGGGCCTACTTCCTCACACCGACCAAACTGGGGGGATCTCTGCCCGCCTTTCTTTTGTTGATCTCTCGCGCACGTTGCGTCATTTTAATTATCGGGTCTTAGAATCCATATAATTCTGCTTCATGCAACGGATCGCACGTTGCGCGGACGAACCCTTCCTTGCGGAGTCGTACTACGTTGTAGAGGAGTCAGGGACCGCGAAAAACTTACCAAATCATCGTACAATTGCGGAAAAACCAAAAGGGTGTTGGGGTGTGATTTGGTTTTGGTTTCGGGCAAGTTGGTTTTGGGTATTATTGTTTTATCTTCATGTTTCGGGGATGCACTAGGAACAACGGGGAGAAACGCGACGGGGCTCACCCGAGCTGGAAGCCGCAGACACGGCCGGGATCATGATCAAAACCCCCGCCGCTGCTCCTGGCACCATCATCGTGCTCTGCAGGGAAGGACGAAGAGAGGGGACAAGGGCAAACAAACGTTGAGCATGTTTGGACGACAAAAAGTAAGAGTAATACTAAAACGAGCTTGGGGCCCGCACAAAACGGAGGCAAATCCGCAGCATTCACCATTCGTTGGGTTCCAGCATCCACAGAGTAGTGGTGATTACTTGCGAGTCGAAAGTTCTGACCCACTGGCGCACCCGATTGGCAGCAGCTGAGGGCAAAGCCCGTCCATCCCTCCCTGTATCTAGTGAAGAAATACAATAATATACCGATTTTTCCGAGTGCCGCAAGCAGGCGTCTTCTGCCGAAGAACGTACTCGACCGACATGCTGAATGGGAGGTGGTAATCAATCGCGGAAGTAATAAGTAAACTCATCAATCTCGCTTTCCGCGAAGCGACGCACGTAGGCCGCGTCAGCAGAAAACCTTTTTGCCCCGCAGGAGGCGGTGGACAATAAATAGACGCAACCACAATACTCGGGTCCCACCTTTGGTCGGATGGGTTTAGACTGCTGAATCTCTCACGGAGAGGGCTTTCGTTGTAAGGACTACAAGACAGACCATACTCTTTATATGAGCCCGTTTGGTTCATCTTGAAAATAAACCTCACGTTCAAGATAAACGTTTCTACAAGTAAGTATAACAAACGAGGCTGGCTGTGTACCTTTTCGAGTTGAGGCACCTTCCCCAGATTTCCATCATCCCGACAAAATTATCTACCGCCGTACATACAACATCACTGTCGTGTAGTCCACACCGACACAAGGTATCTACAATCCACCACCGGCAGTATTGTGCCTCAAGTGATCGGAGAGAGAGAGAGGGAGAGAGAAATAATAAACGGGTTAGTCTATGACTGTAGGACCGAGGCTGGCTGTGGTTTTTGTCTCGAGGAACCACTGCTTGTTGTACTGTCGGATTGTCGGATATATTTTCGGATTTTCAAAAATAGGAAGGTTTGTTCGAAGAGCAGATAGAATTAACTGGTGTTTATTTTGTAACAGTCGAATTAGGCTTGAGTTTGCTGTATGCTGCTGCTGCTGTTGTACAACTTGTGTACTCTGCTGTTCGGTGGAGGTACGCTCTCGTATGCACTGCTGTAGGTGGCCTCACAAGCGAGAATCTCTTTGCGGCTTCATAGGCCAGCTGTGTGCGCGGACTGCAAACAAACAGCATTGCATGCAAAGATACGCCGTATGCTTAGATGGGTGCGTCCTTGCTCTCTGGGTACTTGTTGTCCGCTGAGCCTTGCTCTTGAAATGATCGCGACGGGTCCACAGCAGTTCAAAATGCAAGAGGAGACAGATTGTATCCCGCTGTTGATATTCCATACAATGTACCAGTTCCATACCCAGCGAGCGACGCACGGACGCCACACAGATAGACACGGCAGTAGGCCTGCCTGCGGACGTGAGACGATGGGTAAACAAACCCGAACAGAATCAGACATGTACACCCACGATGTTCTATTCCTTGGCGTAGATCGTGACACCCGCGCGCGCGCGGCGGAGATGTTATGGACGGTGTGGAAGTTGCAGCCGCCGTCTCCACCGGATTCAACTTCGTTGCTGCGGGTTTGTGATGCGGCTTGCCGTTGGAAAGCACGACAACAAGGTTGTGTGCACCCTCGGTCTGCTCCTTCTCGCTTGGTCTATGTTCCTTTTCTCTGTCGCTGTGGCTATGCCTGATGCATACCAGCATACCAGCACGCTGGAGCGATGTCTGCAAACAAACGATGTTGGTTGCATACCGCAATCCACTTCGCAGGTGTTCTCACAAGGATACAAGGATGCAGCGCAGTCTATCTCCGCACCTGTTTGTTTCCCATCTGTTCGTCACACGAACCGGCGCGGTAGGTCCTCCTGTGTCACGGTACAAGAAAGTTTACACGTCAGCTGCGCAGGTCCGGCTCTCGGCTGCTGCTGCAAGCGGGTGCGCTGGTTAAATTTTTTTTGTGACGCTCCATTTTGAATGGGTGTCATGTGTCATGTTATGCGCGGTCCTACAAACACGGAGCCCCCTGGTTATTGCTGATTGCTCCGCACATGTGTACACACCTGCCCCCCAATCGTCAACGCCGCAACACGAAGCGGTCCAGACTCCGGGTGAGCATGTCCGTTTTTGATACCTTCATTTCAAACGTTTTGGGGGTAGTGAGAGTGTGTCTCACCCTCCCTCGCTGTGTTGGCGAAACATCTCGGTCAACAATTTCGGAGGTAGACGCCGTCCCAACTCCAAAACGCTATATGTATGCGTCTGCTGCTGCTGTAAAGTGGTCAACGCTCTCACCCAGAGCAGCCTGTGTTCTGACTATTATGACGGGATGCATCTCCCGCCAATATATCTCACCTGTGCTCTTGGATAACCCTATGCAGAAATATGCATAATAGGCAAGTAGGGCAGGATCGGCCTCCTGTCCACCAACGGGCGAGTGAAAATTGCAACGCCTTGGACATCAATGTAAATGCGTTGATTACTGGTCATGGATCAATCATGCTAGGCCTTGGTGGTAGGTAGCAAGCCCCGGTGTGGCCAGCCCTCCACGTCGGGTGGTGGCAAGCCCATGGCTGCTTTGTGCTGGTGCGCTTGTGGGAAGAGCAGGAGCTCTTGAGTAAGGCGAGTACAGCTGTGCGTTCTCGAGTTCTGGAAGTCTGCACGTAAGGGTTATTATTAACGCAACGTCGAAATCGTTCTTTTTAAAACGGAAGGGTTAAAAGAAAACCCGAGTTTTTTTTGCTTGTTCTTTTCGTGATGTCATCGCAAAAAGTACGTTTCCTTCCCTGAATACACGCTTTGCTCGGCACACAACAGGTTGACATGGTATTGCTCACCATAGAGCAGCGATAAAAGCGCAATAAGCAGCACCCGGCACAGAGGACAACACACTTAGAAAGATCCCGTCCATCCGGCCTGCTGTTTTCAGTTTTCAGCAACAACAGGCGCACGGCAGAGTGTCGCAACCTGGGTGTTGCTTGCGATTTCTTCAGTTTGCCAGCTCATTTTTCACGGTTGCGACTCGCATCTTTGACCACCACCTACCCAAAGGTAGACGAGCTCAACAATCATAGGGCGGCAGCCGCGCTGACGGCCAGCATCATATAGATGGCCAATCCGAAAGAATTAGCGTGTTGGAGGCCCTGTTGCTCTACTGCTGCGTGGCGCCGTGGATTGATGTTGATGTGTCCGACCAAAAACAGATCATCTCGCCGCAATTTTTCCAACGGCATTTTGGTGAGGTGGCACACGTCTCTCACACACCTTATTGAGCAGCACCCAAGCACCCAATACCCACGAAGCAGCACGGCGCCGGGAGATGGTATCATATTGACAGCCGAACCGAAGGAATCAGCGCTTTGGAGGTCTTGGTGGTGCTGCTGTACTCGTTCTACTGTTTCCGTGTTTGCTATGTGTGATCGAAAAAAATTCCCCAGCACCAACAGCAGCAGTTGAAGACGAGAGCACCACGCAATGTCTAGTTTTGGACCAAGAACGGACTGAACGCCGCTTTTGCCGCTTGTCCATCTCCACAACAGACCTGGACGTGAGTCTGGCAGGTCTTTCTAGCGTTCTCAGTGATGTTACAGCGCCCGCGGTGCGCTTGTCCGATGTTTCTGTCAAAAAAACGAAAACGTTGAAAGAGCAAGCCCCAAAAAAACCCGACTCCTTCTTTTCACGCTTTCGGGGAAAAACGCCTCCATATATGTTCAAGAAAACACGGTTTCGTTTTTTTTTTCGTGTTTTATTGGTCGATAACAATAGCCCTAACCCGCTCTACCTGCTTCACCGTCACCTCCCCACATAGCGAATTCGGCAGATTGGGTGTCGGTGATGTGTGCGAGGTGCGGTGCTCACATCGTGGCACGAACAACGAAACCAAGGCTCCCGCAGAAGTAGCTGAGCTTGGGTCACGCTACACTGCTGCTATTGTTTGGCGTCCGAGATGTGCCCAAATGATCCGTTTCGTGCAAACCACTTCCCAGCACTCACTCCACCGGAAATATCGAAAACGAATGTGGTCATGTGCGGCAGCGGGAGCTTTCGTGCCACCTGCCAGTCATCCCGAACATATGTTTGAGGAACTTGCAGTGTTGCATTGTGTTAACCGATCACCTGTTTCCCTCCAATGCTTGTGTTTGCCGCAAGCCCTCCTTGTTCAAAAGGGGACGGGAGGTGGCGCTGAATGCGGGAATGTCTACGGTCGGCGGCGAGCCCGTCCTTCTCCACAAACTGCGACTCATAGCTCGGGGGCTTGTTTCAAAGGACTACAGAGGTCTATATGTCGAGACCAGAACCCCAAACGCCCAAAAGCCACCAGCCCGGCTATCGAGGTACGCAGCCAAACGGTTTGGAAGGGGAAAACGTACAGGGGGACTTTTCTTTTCGCCTGGCCGTGAAGCAGAGTTGCCATTCTCTCTTCAGACCGGGCAGCCATAGCCGTGTTACGAGCCGACCAACATTACTTCTGTCGGCACTGCAAACTTGCCCTTCTGCCGACAACACACCCCGTGACTGGCGGCGCACAGCCGCGCCTCGGTAAGGCAGCATACAATGCCTCTTTGCGATCGCGCGACTCGGTGTCATACAGAGCAATGTCGTCTCGTCTCTATCCGCACTGCGAACGGGATTTGAGTCCTTTTGTTCAAGGGCCTCAAGGTACTCAAGCGAATTATATGCCCGTTTTTTTTCATTTCCCCCAGATCTCGGGTAACAACGATGGACGGTGCATGATCTGCTATTTGGTGCAACCCATCATTGCTTGGGGGCTCTGTGCGCGTACCAGTAACATTAGCGCGTTGCCAATGTATCCGCAATGCGACGCAGTCAATGACAAACTTCGGACGACGCCCCTTTCGCGAACGTGTGCCAGGGGATCGCCAAGGTGGAGCCGAATCATCGTCTTGACGCTTGTCGTCTCAGCCATCCACACGAGCCTCGCGGAAAACAACAGTAAGTAACCCCGTGCACCACAGAGTTGGAAGCATCGATACGAGCCCGAATGTTCGTAGTGGAAGCAGCAGCCCTGCACCCTGGTCTTCCAGATATACACGAGCTTGGTCACGTGACTAGCAGTAAGCCTGTTCGTCATGAATGCATGCGTTCGCTTGCCGAAAGCCTTTGGACCAAGTGCGTGGCGGCGGCAAAGATGAGTTAGGCATATTACCGTTTCATTTTTGTCACATCGCGTGGCGTTGTTGTTTCATGCTATGCAGAAACTTCGGAGGCTTCGGAATTGACGTGCGCGTCCAGCGAGCCGCACTTCGTTGTCAAGGTTGCGATAGTTGTCCTGGTGAGTGTTACTTAAGTTTGTCTGCCATTGTCCTGCTTGGTTTCCATTACTATGGCTCTTAATGTAACGTTTTTCTGCTACCGTGGCACCTCTGCTTGTCCCAAAGCAGCGAACCGATGTGGAAAGCACAGTCGTTTGCTTCAACTATAGTATTTAGCCCAAGCCTTGAAGGCTAAACGTGCGTCATCCATCAAGCCCCGCCTGCGTTTTATTCGGATTCCCCGCAGATGCTGGGGCTTTTCTATTGGGCCAACCGGATTTTCGACAAGCTCGATGAAGCCAGCTACGCCAGACTTTCCCGTGCCCTTTCGCGCCGGGCACACGCGCGACAGAGAGCTGGTTGGGCAAGAAGACGTTGAACGCGTGACAACAACGGGCTCGCCCTACAGTGCCTGTTCTAGACTCTTTTCCGTTGATTCGCTTTTTGTCGTGCTGGGTTGGCCGGCCCTGCATTTCCTTGAAGGAGCCTTTTGCGTACGAAAAAATCGTTGTTATGGCCGTGACACAAGTTCGAGGGGGGACTACATGCTGGCGTAGGGGTTGGGAGGACCCCCCACTGTTCTGGGACATCACGGGGCCATGCGTTTTTTCGCTTTGGTGAGATGCCAACCCGCCACATTTTGGGGGCTGGGCAGGACCCGAAATCAGAGCGTGATCGGGTAGAGGAGGGTCACGACCAGGCGAAGAAGCCAAAGCACCGACAACAGTTGGACACAATTCCCGAACGAGCCATACTCCCGAAGGGGTTGTACTGCCGTACGAGCAGTGACACCGACACATGGGCCATGCTATCGGGAATCAGTGAATATCGGCGGAAGACGGAGTATCCCACCCGAGACGGAGCCCGGGACAGATGAGATGAGCCCACCAAAAGCCAACAAATACTGGCATGTGTCCAGAAGTCGCAAGATCACAAGAGCGGCCGTTGGAGTCAAACGAAGGCGGCCACCGCGGCCACGCTCGGTTACCTCTGTCGGTAATCGAGGGAGGAATTCCACGTTACCGTTCGCTGAGCCCTGGCGACACTCGAGAGAATCGATGCGGCTAAATACCCCACTGGTGGGGTAGATCACCTTTATTTTTCCTCCACCGCCTGGACCGCGCCCTACAAGACTTGTCTACACGGAATATAAAAAGAGCGTGTTCTTGCCTTGCAGGGCAGTCCTGGGACCCATCATAAAGTCGAAACGGTTCACACAAAGGTGCTGCCACGGCCGGTGGGGGAGACAACGCAATCTACCCCATTAGTGGGCTAGAGATAGCCTTACCTTACCCCACCACTGGATCTCGCCCTGCATGACTAGAATCGATACACAAACACCTGTGTGGTTCATGCAAACAGAGCATCGGGCAGCAGCTAAGGACGATCAAGCACGAAATCCCCTCCGCACATCCCCGAGCACTGCCTGCTATATTCCTGCTCACAACAAGCGGGAAGCGTACCTCGCAGCACCTTCTTACCCCGGGCACGAAACCGCCTACCCAACGACATAACACCGGCGGCGAGATGCATGGCGACCCCTCACGTTCGAGAGGTGGGATCCTGTCTATTTTCTATTAGGTTAGTCCTTGCGGGCTACTATACATGTGAACGTAGGGTCCTTCTCTCCAATCTTTCTCTCACACACACACCACGTCCTGCCCGCTCCATCCAACCTAGTCCCAAACCCAGCAGTCGCCGTCCTTGGACAGGATCGCGTAGGAATTCAGTTGCACGATAAGATCGTCCCCGCTTTCCTGACAACAAACACCGGTTGGGGTGAAAAGCGAAGGGGGCATTGTTTCGGCAAGCACAGTGACCGATGGGATCAAGGCTGCCCGAACTACGCCATGAACTGGTATTCTTTCTCTCTCGCTCGCTCTCTCTCTCTCTCTCAGGGGTTCTTCGTTCATGTTCGAGCTCCTCCTGACATTCATAGCCCGTTCACAACCCAGCACCGAATACGATCAGACGTCATCATGGCACGTGATAACAGATCCCAAACAAAACTGGGGCACGACAGGCCATGTTTTGTGGTCGTCGTGACAATTGAAACTTCCCTAAAGGTAAGGTGATTTCGCGCCATGCAACATGCAAAACACTCAACCCTGGTGAATATGTATCACGCTGTGCCTTTCGACAAACGTGAGGGCTACCCCAGGCAGTTTGTTGTCACCTTGGGGTCCAGCACATGATTCCAGAGTACACAACACTTCGTCACGTGGGGAAGCGTTTCCAAAACGAAAGGAATAAGCAAACATTGCCGAGCGCGGTTGACGGATGGAACGCAGAAAGCTGATTTGAACGTGCTCTTCGTTAGTTGGATTCTGGGTAGGTTCCTGTATCGCCTTGCACCAGCCCGACGCAAGTCGGTCGCTAGCAGTGGCCGCCAGTTTTATGCATGATTCGCGACCTTTTCTACGAATGTTGCTTGGGAACGTGGGCGGGGTTCCCCTGATATCCACCAACCCATACATACCAAGAACGCGAGGAGGGTAGAGGCGCAACAATATACTTCCAGTAGTCGTTTTCGTGCTACAATAACCCACGGGTCGCTCCGTCACCGTCAGCGTTGGCGGCGAGCTAGCCCTGCTCGGTGCACACCCATCGACTGCTCTGTTTCAGGGGTGAGCCTTTCTCACCGGTGGGACGTCTATGATGCAGTCGCCGCTCTCGGCTGCTTCGTACCCCAGGATGTTGTCCAGGGTGAGGGGTTCCGTCGATTCCATCAGGACAGGCGCTGATCGGGGCAACGCGGTGGAGTACAACAAAGTTCGGCATGAAACAGGCCGGGGTCAGGGATGCTTGATACAAGCACTGCCATCATCACCATAACTTCGCACGCTGGGAGGATTCGTCAAAGACAAAGCCGCTCGGCTCGAACGGCTTCGTCCAAATACGCGGCTCTACCAGCCATGCAATACGAGTTTCGGGCAACTTTCAGCAAAGGATCCCGTCGTTTCTTCCCAATCCACGGCACCAACTACCATTTTGAAAACAAAGAGCAAAGCCATGCCCGTGTTTTTCCCTTGCCCCCACCCAAAACAGACGTCAATTCAGGTTATCTTCAACGGGTACTGAAGCACACACCGGTGTCACCGCCAGCGTAGATCGAGCAGTCTTGGAAAACTATCCCGGACGATGCACCGGTGATCACTACGCTTGCCGCTTGATCTCCACCGGTAGGGGGCAAGAACACCGGTGTTGGGACTTCGTAGACGTTTGAAGCTCCCCCCTGGAGAACCACGTTGTTGCTGTCCTCGATTCGCAGCCCCGCGACTTCCTGCGAGAGACGATTTTGATATACGAATTGGTCGACTACGTCTTCACTATGTTGGTGTTTATGGGATGACGTTTGCTGCCATCGGGGGCGAAACCTTCGCCACCTTGCTATATTCTGGGATGAGTGTTCCGGGTGGGAACGAGGAGGGCGTGTGAAACGTAATATATTCTCCCGTCAGTGACGCCCATGGGAACGTACGGTCGAAGCCCGTTGGAACATACGGTCGACAGTTGCAATTCGGCCTTTCGATGCTGTCGCGATAACACGATATGGCATGGCATCGAAATGGACTACCCGGAAACGACGTTATCCTCGAAGAAGATTTGCTGACGTCGTCACTGTGAGATTTAACTGGGGCGAACCGGACCAGAAGCACGACACGAACAGGCGGAGGATGTCTCAGATGCTTCCCTTGCGACGCCCTTAGCATGTTTCGGAGAAATGCATTCCGGTCATTCTGAGGGAGGGAAGCTTCAGAGCAGGTGGGTGTAGATCATTCGTTGGTGTTGCGGAGGGCAGAAAGTGTTCACATTCAAACTGGAGTGAAATGAAGATTCAAAAAGCAACAACAAACAGTCGCTCACGGGAATCCCCTCGAAATGGAAGTCGTCGACACCATCGACCTCCATGAAGTTCCCCGTCTCGTACTCGCCGTCCCTGATGACGGACACCCTGGAGGGAAACGGGGAGGAGTCATAACACCTACAGTTTTCACTCCTCGGTCCGCGGTTCTGGCTGTTTTCTGGGCTGAGGCCTATAGTAGGAGGCGTACGAGACTCCTACCAAACGTTCGTGTAGCGCATTTTGTAAGTGAAAGACTACGGATTACGGCGTTAACCAATATGCAGTATGTGGTCCCACGGCATGCATGCTCTGGAGGAGGAAGGGTTTCCCGACGATGCCGCATCCAAAGAAGACAGCTTCTTAGATTTTGATTGATCATTTAAAGAACGGCAGAGGGGTACATTTCAACGTCTTACGAGATGTTCTTGGAGTCGACGAATCGCGCGGCGCCCGTGCGGGCCTGGTGGCAGTCGATTTCAGCAAGCTTGAGGTCCTGTACGCGATTAGGCAAGAGCACAGGAACAGATCGAATTCAGTCATTAACAACACAACGGCGGCAGGAAAACCGTTACGATACATCGTTCGTTCAGGAAAAGCCAGAAACCCTGAAAGAATGTAGACACCGTTGCCTAGGGTCCATGGGCTCCTCTTCGCTACTTGTCATCCAACCGCCGTCGTCGTTTGAAGACATTCTGCGGTGCGAACAGAAACAGGTACTTCTATGTGACAGACCGAGCTCGTACAACACATGGTACCGTGCCTAGACCAATATCCCGACAACTTGAAGGGCGACTGGGTGAAGATCTCGGTGAAACCTTTTCGGAGTTTGGGCGTTCAACCTCCCCGACTTCCCCGTTTATGGAGGTACGGGGCAAGGGACTCCAATTGTCCCCCCGGCGGGCGCTATCTATCATGCGAAGTACCGGAGAAAATGGCAGTCAAACTGGCCTCCTCCATCGAACCAAAGTAGTCGATAGATTTCCACGTGGTTGTCTCGCTTCGCAGCTCGGTGCAACAAGCAACTTGGGAGCCTGAATCGGAACGCTTGTGCATTGATTGGCATGCGTCGACTACAGAAGGAGTATAAACAGCAAAAAGTAGCCATAGTCGAAAATCACAAGCGCTTTGTGCTTTTGGATCTTGCCCAGTGTCCGACGCGACCTTTAGCATGTAAGGGATAAATAAGTGAGGGCAAGCCAGCCAACCACCTCGTAACGAGCGACGGATGCGTACCGCACATCACTGTCCTTGATCAAAGTGAATAGTCTCCGCCAAGATTCTGTGCTATGCATAGCACCACCAGGGAGCTCAACAAGCGATAGGAGGGTACGTGTCGTACTTGGCGTTCTCTGCTGTGGCAAACTGCCGCAGGTAAACATAGGATCAAAGAAAAATGCCAAAGGTCGCTTGTTCCCCAGATTGCTGCCACATAGGAGTGGTCGTGGAGAGCTGCTACTACTACGCCGCACCTGTGAGCCCCGGACCTCCAAGCAAAGGTTTCCTAATGTTCCAGGAGTTATATCTCCTGTCATGGGTGTCTGGTGCTCGATGTAGACGGAATCCACCTCGCCGCCGGTCACTTGTAACCAAGAAAAAATCGCCGCGACACATCGTGCACACGCAAGGGGTTCATCGGTGGGCAAGGCAGCTTGCGGGTGAATTGATTGTGTCATGAAACGCTTTCGGAACACAAGTTCAGTTAATGCTCCCACGTGGACCCGCAAATTCCTCAGAATCAGGGTGTGAGGCAAGTCCCTGCAGCACACGGGGAGGGAGCACACCGGACATGCTTTGACCACACACTGCCTTCGTGACGTGCGTGACGGACAGTGCATGAGGATTTGGAGTTTTGGCTGATTTATGGCGTTAGCGCGACAACAAGCACATTCGACGGCCACGGCGCTATTCTCCGGACGCTTCCTCTGTTGGATCACTATTTAGCACGGTAACCCGTAAGGCGTCTAGGCGAACCCTTCCAGTGACGAAGGCATAGAGATGGCACCCGATGCCACTCTGTCATGACATCGGCTCGGGTGGGCCGTACCGTACCTCCATCGATCACGATCACGGCGTCTTCCAGCCTGGTGTGGTTGTGTAGCACGAGATATGTTCTGCTAGGCTCATTGTACGAGTAGTCCCCGCCCGACAAAGTCACCCCGCTCTTCAAGAAAACAGGGCCGTCCAAAAAGTAGTGCCCGTTCTTCATGCTGATCTGATGCCGAAGGTGGGTCGGTTTGGTCGGGGTATGTAGCGGCGGGGCAACAGTGTTAAACCGTTTCGTTTGCAGCTCAACTAACAGGGGAAAAGCGCGCAGCGCACCAGGAGCTATTGCAACATCACCCGGAACTGTTTGGGCGAAGCACCTGAAACCGCTGTAAACTACAATTTCGCCACATTTTTGTCACAGAACTTCCGTGTACTGACGAAAGTCTGAAACGCTAAGATCGCAATATTTCAAAGGGATTCCGGGGTGAAGCGCTGCAAATATTTGGCGAATGGTTTCGTCCGGGTAGCCCTCGCGTTTCTTGGCGAGGGGGCGTTTCACCACCGCAAAAGGGGCAGGAGAGCGCTGTGAGCGTGCACAACTAGGCCCCGAATGGCGAGTGGTTTGCAAGGAAAGCAGTTGGAGAGGAAAGTAGGGGGGGGGGGGGTGTACTCATGTACTCATAGTCGTGCATGCCGTAGTCCTTAGACCATTGACCTCGCATCCCTACAAAGCCGGGACGCAGCACGCCGGGTTCTCACCGGACCAGGCTGTCACATCACCAAGCGCAAAGCATTGTGAGGTATTCCGCGAGTCGCATGAAGGGTGCGGTGCATCCTGCTAAGGGTGTTCGGCATCTTGTGCGTACTTCCTTGCGTACGGATGACAGCTGCGTATGACTTAGTTTGTTTTCTTGTGCTTTCACTTCCAGAGACAGTTGTATGCATTGTGTAACTGCCTCGAGGGTGCTTTACCAATTAAACACAACGTGGTGCGATATCCCCTTTGCGCGGAGTGAGGGTTCTCTGCCCCGCACAACATGATCTACTCGACCACCATTACGGTTACCGCAAAAAACAAATCAGAGGCAAAGAAAAACACGGTTATAATAACCTGGTTGCAGAGCTCACGAAGTGATCGGCTTGTTTTACAACGTCGTTGCCAAGCGACGAAACTCAACCCAAACACCGGGGGGGGAAGTACGGGGGGGGGGAGGGGGATTGATGTCGAAACGTGATGGTGTCAACAAATGTGCGAGCAACATTGAAGCACCATCCCCGAAACGCTGATTCACTTGCCGAGCACCCAAAGATGTTCAGCGAAAGGTAGGGAAAGAGGTTGGCCAGCGGCGGGTGCATACGTCGCGTGATGGCCAGCAAAGGTACAGACCTCAGGCTGATGTTTGTGGAGAGTCAATGTTTGAGAGATTTCACACCAAAGAATCAAAAATTTCGTCGCCGTCCGAGGCCCTGTCGATACTCACGATGATCTTCCATGGATCAGGCACCGAGTGCCCATCCCCCGAATACCTAAAGGAGAAACCTCTCTCGGACTGACATCTATCACTCACGTGGACCGAAGAGTCGTCCAGCTCGCCGACGCAGTCCGTGCCGTCGAAGGCGCCCCCCTTGGTCTCGCAGATGGTCGTCATGATCTCCTCCTGGTCGGAAACCCCGTCGCCGATGATGTCCGGCACTACCCTCCACACTGTCATCGTCGTCGTGACGACCTGCGTCGGATTACCCGGAAAGGTTTTCGCACGAAAGAGGAATCCCGACACCGGCGCACAACAATCAGCAACATGAACATCCGTCAAGAATAGCGAACAATAGGGAGCGGATGCCGAGGAACGTGCAGTGGATACAACACATACCGCAACCGCCAGAGCCCGAATTTTCTTGCAGCACTGCCGGGATTAACAGCGAGCATCCACCAACTGCCTTCGAACACTGGCCGATACCAAGAATCGCACCGCCCTCTCACAAACTACCTCGAAGTGGCCGGGGTCCTTTTTGATCTCGCCCACAATCTGGAAGTCGATCACCCTCAAGGTCGGGTAATCTGGTTGGCTCTCGAACGTCGGTCCGCTCACGGCCGTGATGTACACAAAACGTTCGACATCGGCTGGAGCTGACAACGTGAACGTTTCCATGGTGTCGGGTCCTCCGGCGCTGGTGAACTCCTGGATAGAGAGGCCAAAACGAGTGATGGCGCCCATCAGCAGGTAGGAGGGACGGGGGAAGATTGAGCAAAGACTAACGGTAGGTTTGTTTTCATGTCGCCGAGATATTGTACACCTACAGAATAACCTATGCACAAACGATCACTGGCAACACATATCTGGACTCTCAGAACAGCACCCCCCCCCCGTGTTTTACAGAACAACTTTCTTTGCGGAGGCAGTAGACAACGTAATATATATATTTTCGGGTATGGTAAGCTTTGATTGAGCATGCGGCGTGGACAGGAACGTATGCAAGTGCACGGTGGCATGCGTTGCCCTTTGCTGGTGCTGTTGTAGCACTCAGTCCTTCCCCATGTGGCCGGAAATGTTGCTATCCTCTGTTCTGATCCCGAAGGTGAGGCAGTCAACGAATTCTGTGATGAAAGGTCACCACGAAGGAATAGCAGTGCGTAGCGTGTACTAAGACGCCGCAACTTTTCCGCTCCGCATAGAGTAGATAACTTTGCACTTTCGCAACAAATCCAGATCCTAGGTCATCGTAGGAGTCGTCCGGCGATACGAAAGCGAGTGCATGCGTCTCGCTCTCCACCATCGTATGCCTTTTCAGCACAGAGAGAGCGAACCGCCCTCAGTGTTTACTGCCTTCTCACCTCCACGATTTCCTCGTCGGTTTCGATCTCGTCGTAGCTCACTCTGAAGACGAACTGCCTGTCGGAAGGGAACCTTAGCTTCACCGCTGTCACCGTCGAGGGGGGTACTCTGAACTGGAAGTAGTCTTCCGGCTGCAGCACCAAATGGAAACGTTTCGCACAGGCGGGGCGCAAGGAACGGCTGTCTCAAAAGCAATCTTTGCCCCAACTCGTGCGTCGGTCGTGACCTGAACGGCACACGCTGGGAACAGGATCTACAGCCAAGGTGCTCGTGGGTGACTCAGCAAGAAATATAATGGAACCTTGAAGAACGTCTGGCTCATAGTACACAACGTCGGTCCCATCAACACACGGTCGATTTCCTGCGATGCGGCTTCTAATGCACGCTTGAACGACCAATACGGGCTCAAGCGAAATGTGCCGGGTTTCACCAGTTCATTCATGAGTGTCAAGACGCTCCCCCAAACAGGTACAGAGGCGATTGTCTGCTCCTTGCTACGACCTTGTGGGAACGTGCGCACGAAATAGGGCGCCCCAACAGCCGGCATCGCTCTTGAGATGGACACGCGGCAACTGATCGAACCGCCCCACGCAGGAATTTTCAACCGCACGACGCGGTGAACGGAAAAGGTCGTGCCTCACCGACCGTATCTTGAGATTTGATGGCTGACCTTATCACAACGACATTTCGTCTGATAGGTTCGACCGTTTTACAAATTGGAACGATACCCAGAGCACGAAAGCTCTTCGTGGGCGCATATCTGGCCATGCGTAAAAGATGCCTTCGCAGCGTAACCAGGAAAGTCTCACCCTCGGCATGTGGAACTCGAACCGGGTAGGTACGTCTTCGTCCGAGTCACCGCTGCTATCGTCGTCGCCGCCGTCCCCACGTGGCTGACAACAACGCGGGCGAACGAAACGATGAAAATGCACGGCACAGGCTGTACTGAAAAAATGGTTGATGGTTGCTACCTCCACGATCGGCGTTGCTCTTGGCCCCATGGCTCCGCGAGTCCTACCAAGGCCTAGACAACTTGGCTTGCTCCGCCTCCCCACTGTGAGGCGGCCCCCTTTTGTCACATTTTACGTGTACTGGCAAGCATAGGCTGCGAAAGGAATCATAACATTCCTCGCAAATTTTGTCGCGGGCTGCACTCACGAACCAATAGCTGTAGTCGAACACCGGAAGCGTCCCGTTAATGAAGCCCATCTCCTTTGTCTCGAGGATCACCATCTGCAAGTCGTCATCATCGGAAAGCACAAAGTCGATATCCGCACGGGTCACTCTGGCGTTCCATGGGTGGAATCAACGACAATGATGGTGACCAACTGTGATGTTGGATACATTCCGCACGATCTTCACATCCAAGCCCGACACTTGAGTGCCGGATCAGCATCGTCTTGTCCTGAGCCAGTTTCCAACAACGCCTTTGAGTTCGTACGTGGAAAAGGCAACCCACGCTCTTGGAGCGCTCATCTCTCGAGACTTGACTTGGATGCATGCGCAAGAACGTACCTCCTTGATGCCGATCCACTGATCGACTCGTTGAAACACGGGCACCAGCCTGATCTCGTTGGTGTGCACTTCAATGTCGAACGTCTGATAGTCCGTGGAGTCTCCCGAGCTGATCGCAGAGGAAACGACCGTCTGGGGCGAGCATCAACAGCAGAGCAGTGACACGAAGAGCAGCAGCAGGGAAAATGGTTGGTGGGCGAAGCGTGCTTCGTGCGGCAGGAACTTTTCGGGGAAATACGGTTGTGTGGAACAGCTTGTGTTCTTTATGTCAGGATATCTTTAAAAGTATTCAGGTGAAGAGACCGTATGATCGGTATCAGTTTTGGATCCTTTGCACGCATTGGTCTTCACCGTGTGCGACGCATGATTCCAGCGTCGCACGCATGACTCCAGCGTCGCACTCGATAGCTATCGGATGGTTGAAAACGACATAGAACCGCCGAGGGTCACCACCCTGGCACGATGCGGTGAAGATGGCCCTAGAGGTGACAAACAATTCTAACCATCTCGCAACCGCTTTGTCGAGGCCTGGTCAAACCTAACTAGGTTCGACTCTGGCCGAGTTTGTGAACGAAAATAGGGGACAAAGGGAAAAAGTCCAGCCTGTCTCACGCCAGTTTCCAGCCGGCTTCCCGCACCGTCAATAGGGCACCCTTGTCCCATTGCATTCCATCAACCAACGGAATTCCGACGCATCGCGATTTCATCCCACACATGAGAGGACTTCAGAGTGCCGACTTAGTTCTTCGGAAGGCGAATGAGCACTGCCTCGTGCGGGTAGAAACATGATTCAAGATATAGTAAATGTCGATCATGCCTTACACGTCCTTTGAGGCGCACAGGTGTTTGGGATGCCTTCTGGTTGGGGAACGGAAAACAACAAATTCCCCTCAAACAGCAGTGTGCGGTGCCAGTACGCCCAAAGGGAGCTTGAAGTGATGTGAGAAGACTGTTCTTTGCTTGTCCCGGGCGGAATTCCGCCGCAGGTGTTTTGACCAATCAGGAAACTTCGTCGGCCAGGTGATTTTCCTTACCACCCAACCCTTGTCGACAGTGTTGGCCTCAATGCTGAACTCGTTGTATTGCTCGTCGCCCATGTGGAATGCTGCAGGATTCCGAATAAAAGGACAGAAATAAGGAAGGGGAGCAGGAAGGGAGATAAGAAACGTCTGGGGGGAACGAAACAGCATGGACAGTCCGCACGACAGACACAACGTGGTTGTCAGGCTTGCGCGACTGTGTGGGTGAGGACTTTTGATGCTGCTGTTCGCAAACGATGTTGCACTGCGCCATGTTCCTGCGTAGGACTTTAACTATTCCAGGCAACCTCAAGCGACTGTGAACAGCGATTCTGGAAGCCGTGACGCACCTATTCCTGACGCCTCGAGTGGTGTTCTTTCAGGGCTGTAGCAAAATTACAAATCTCACGCACTCGGGATCTCAGCATCACCTCCGCGGTAACCTGCGCATGCACCTCCCGGTCCGACAAAGTGTGCGTGTTGCTTGAATGCTTGTTCGAGCGGCAAATCAAAGTCTGCTCTAATGGTGGTAGACAGCCTGCCATCGTGGGTGGTGGTGGGAGCGGACTCACCAAACTGAATTTGGCGGACGTAACGGAAGTAGTTGAGGCTGAGCATGAGGTGGCAATCCTCGTTGTTGGAGACCAAGTTCCCCGCCGCTAGAGGGCCGCAGGTCCATCGAGAATCGTCCGACATGTCGCCGTCCTGATCGTCAAGCGTCCGACGCACGAGAATTAGCCTTGAGAATCGAAAGGCCAATCGGGTCCCAAGGAACTCGACAGTATGACGGGGAGGACAACGACGATAGTAACAATAACAATGACAACAACAACAGCAACAGCAGCTCAAGTTACCTTGATGTAATACACGTGGCATCCCTCGAAGTGGGCTGGAGAATCACAACCGCCGGCGCTGGGCTCCCTGTTGTCGAAGTTTGGGTGGCCGGAGCTGCCCGTGTCTGCCGCCAGCGGCAGCATGCCGGTGGGCTGGAGCCAGGCCTTTTCGGACACAGGGCGCACGGGAGCGTCTCCGACGCGGAGTTCCACCTGGGGTGAGGCGTTAACGATTCGAGCATGGACCGTGAAGCGAGTCCGGAAAAGCCCCGAGGGCGACGTGACCGTTCGGAGTTGAAAAAACGGATCGTCTGGGGTTTCCACCATGTTCCAGCGAGTCTCGTTGCGTGCAGAGTCTAGTGCTATAAAGTATGCGCGCGATGGCGTTGACAAAACCCACGCGGCTCTTTCATACAGTACCCGCTAGCCTAAAAAAAAACAATCTCGTGCGAACAAACGTCCTAGGCCGTCAGTCGAGCGCTCACACCTCGTACCTCGTTGATCACGATTGCTCCGCCTTCACCGGAGGGCACGGCCTCAATTCTGACGTAGCGAGCCAGGGCAAGCACGCCGCCGAAGGTCTGCAAGCCGTCGCTCCCGAGGGGCCGGCCTCCGGCCTCGAGGCCCGACCTCACGTAGGAGAACACCCCGGACTCGCCGGCGGCCAAGACGTTGAGCTTGGCGCCCGCGTCGGTGTTGGTAGAGAATGCTGGGACCGCCGCGGCGGCGGCGGTGGGGGAGGGGGAAGAACCAGCAACGAAGGCAAAGGGGGGAAGGGGTGTGATGGGCTGGCAAAGGGATAGGACCGAGGATACATTGAAAAGTATGGCAGCGTGACGAGGGAGCCGGAGTTCGCGTGCCACGGTGACCCAATGTCACCGGGGCGCTCCCCGGCCAAGACATATTCACCCCACACCCAGGCAATGACTCGGGTCGGGGTAGGTGTGCCGCAAAACTTGCTTTCATCTTGGGCTGATATACGTGGAAGTACATCGTTCTAAGCCGCCTTGCTTTCGGACTTCTTGCAGGGCGTTCTCGACAATATTTATCGCATGCATGCATCACCCGGGTGCAAACTGCGAGAGGACACACACACACACCTCCGCTGTCGATCTATACCGCGATAATGCACACAGAAGGAGTTTTTTTCGTACTGGAGTCACATGAAAATGCGTCGCCTTGACGGTATCCACTCTCTCTCACCACCAAGACGGGCATGGTGACAAGCTGCGATCACGCGTTTCTCAAATAAGAACGATCGTACACAAGACGACCGTTGAGCAAAACCTGCAACACTGGTGTGCTCGCGGGGGGTCACGAAACTGTAGGTATATGGATCATTACGCCTCACCAATACGGAGCTGCTGGAGGGATTCCACGGCCTGCAGATCGTACGTGATTTCGCACGCCCCTTCCGACGACAGGCAAGCCCACGACGACCCGTCCGTTGCGTCGCCGTCCTGTATTCGGTGAAATCGGAACCACGTAAGGAGTTGGTGTGGGGGGTTCCGGGACTGGAAAGACACGCGAGTTACCGCGAAATACACTTGCCAGGGTCCGTTTATCTGTTCTGGGATCAGTGGCGAAATTTCGCTCTGAACGTGTTTCACGCCGGGCCCCGCGACGAGTGGATCCCTATCCGCTCTTTCGCCTTGCTCGCCCGGTTGCGTTACGGTCCTGGTGGGAATGACAGTGTTGCGGCTTACCAAGGTTAGGATGGCCGAGGCATTGTTGGTGGTTGCGGTGGCGGAGATCGACGTCCGGGTGCTGGCTGACACGCCGAGAGGCTCCACCTCGTCAACAACGATGTAGATCCCCACCTGTTCAACAAGTGTGTTTTTAGTCCGGGTGGCAAAAAAGATACCATGTTTCCATTTCGTATTGTCGAGGTGACGGGATATTTCGATGAATGCATCGGTTCTTCAGCAGCCAAAGTTGTTTGAAAACAATCGGAGTTTCTGAACCTATGGAACAAGCGTGCATGGGCTTTCATCTCACCTCAAGGATGGCGAGATAATCCCCGGCGCCCTCGACGCCTTCGATGCTGAGGCGTCCGCCTTCGACACCTTCAAGGCCGGGGATTTCTTGCAGCTCCGATGACCCGGGGACGGCGTCCCACTCCTCCAGAATAGTGGCACCGTCCACGAGCACCCGGAGCTTGCTCATGCTGTCAGGGTGAAGCGCTAGACGGCCGTCAGTCGCCGAACGGAATAGGGGTCGGGTTTCAAGCGTATTTAGGTCGACGATTTTGGGAAGAACTACGAAAGCGCTCCCTGGGTGGGTCCCCTGGGTGACGACAACGGTGTCCAAGCGCAACCCGGAAGTGGTTGCTGGGCGGTGACTACGTCGTTGACCTCACTACCGAGTTCGAAGCGAAAAAATTCAAAAGACGACGAGGGGTGGTGATACGACGCACTCCCTAGTTTTCTCGGAAAGTGTTGATCGTGCCCGCTGATTGGATCGGCCGACGAACCGCAGATATGGTCGGATTCAGCTTAAAGTTCATAACACGACCACATGCTCGCTGTCGCCGCCCGCGTTGTCAGTGATTACTTGCTCGTGAAGCGACTCCGACAGCCCTCAGTTCTTGCTCTTTCGCCTGTGTAACTCCCAATGCGTCGCCACAACAATAGTTTTTCCTATCCACCACCTCCAGCTCGATTCGCTTCCCTCTTTAACCTCCACACGCCGTCCACTGCATTCACCTTTTCCATACGTTCTCGTCATGGATACAACAGTCCAGGTGTCGTCAAGTGCATGGAACTCACCAATTGTTACTCCCCCCAGAATGCTCTTGTCCACAAAGTCGGCGGAAAGGGCGAAGTCTACGCCGCAGAAGCCAGCGTAGGGTGGTGTGCAGCCGTAACGGGAGTCCAACTCAAGAGAGCCATCACGAGTCAACAGTCCCACACATCTCCCGACGGCGCAGTCCCCGTCGATAGGGTCTTCGCCCCCATAGAAATCCTCGATGGAGGACGCCGACAAGCCGGCGTGCTCTCCGGTAGCGTACGCTTCTTCGATGGGTAGAACTTCCGACAGTTCGACACTGATCGCTGACAAAGAAGGTGTGGGGCGACGGGGAGGCGGATACGAATAATGTGGCTCTGTAGCCCTTCGTTGTCTCTGACACTCGTCCCTGATGCTACTGCTGACCCCTCATCTCGGAACCGAAAGGCGCGCAGCAGCTACGTTAATATGTAATTAAATTCACGCTTTATCCCTCGCGGCCAAGCAACGCTCTTGCCTACACTCCGTACGTATTTGTTGTTGTGGTCTTCACCGAAGTTTTCCTGATTTCTGCATTTAGCCCACCCCAATGTATATTTCTCCCTACTGGTCGTGAGGCAAAGAATCGAATGCATCGACCTCGCTGACGACATGATTTGGAGTTGCAGTGTTCGTTGATCTCCGAATATGAATGTGTCGAAAAGTTCGCACTCTCAAATATCTTACTTTCTACATAAAACAGATATTAGACTAACACATGGTACATAGAGTTTATGGTCTAATCTAACGTCTAACCCTAACCCTTTCGGGATCGGGATATATTGCATTTCTTCATATTGTATAGGCAGGGTGACCTTGCACCGCAAAGTGCACCGTCGATTTTTCAGCACCGTATCATTGCGAGCGCGCCGAGGACACCCGTTGAGATAATTCTTCCGAAGTACAGTGGTTGTAGGCGCTTACCCGGTACCAGCACTAGGCTTTTTCTCGAGCAAGATGATGCCGAGCCGGCTTTTTGTAGAGAGTACGCGTCCGGCGGTGGTGGTGAAACACAAGAAGAGAGGCTGACTCTCTGCACCTACCTCAGTCTTCACTGAAGAAGAAGTGTTTCTGAACTTCTGTATCTATGTAGACTTACAATAAAAATACCAATAATCAATATCTCCTACCGTTCGTGAGGCAAATAGAAAAATGCACATCGTGCAAGCTAAAGAAGAAGACTAAACAAGCGTCGATCGCGCCGAAAGATCTTACCTGAAGTTGCAGCGTTCGTTGATCGCCGTGTAGGTCGAATAACTTTCGCAAAATCTACAGTCTACAATCAATCACAGAACGAGACACCCTTTCACGATATATTGTAGACTATATACGTTTACTTCAGATGCATTCGCAATGCGACCTTGCGCCGCCAAGTGAAACGGCGATCTACACAGTACAGCACTGCACTTTTTGCGAGCGGAGGATAGTCCCTGTTGAGCTAAAAATTCTTCCGAAAATTAGACGCAGACGCGGACGTACAGTAGAAGTACCGTAGTTCCTGTACTGCGAAGCAAGATTGTGCGAACGCGGCTTCTTTGAAGGATACACTCTGATGATCCACCGAGACTGACTCTCTGCACCTCGACTCCTTCTCACCTTCACACCCGACGATCCCGAGTAGCAGGGAGTACCCCGCAGGCGCCAAGAGCCACCGCAGCAGCGACATGTCTCTTCTAAGTGCCTACTTATACCGCCTCCCTTTTCCCCCGCCGTTGAAAAATCAAGTTCACGTCCTCTCGCGCGGAATCGTTCGACCGCGGAGTCTACAGCTGCTGTAGTGTCTGCGCCTGTGGCTGCCTCAGACAGATGCGTATCTGACCGATACGAAGGGGGAGGCACGAATCCAATTCGCAGAATGCTTGGTTGAATGATGTGTAGACTATCCCGGCACCACCACAGCACGAAGGGACTCGCTCACGAGCGATACAACATGCACCCGCGCCGCTTTTTTCCTCTCTGGCTGGGTGGTGGCGCGCCGTGGGCGGTGTTGGATATTCGGGCGGTTGCAAGACGTGTCTCGAACCCACAACTGGAGGGAAAGAAAAGGGCACCGCGAAGTAGCAGCTTGCGCCCAACCTTGGTTCGCAACAGCACACGGATCCTCGGGTATGGATAGCTTGGTCACAAGATGGCGTGAAAGGCGGCGAGATTAAGAAGAACAACCGTCGTCTCTTTGGCATAGACTATGAGACTATGCGTCCCTTTGAAGATCTCCGGAGAGTCTTGTCACCATCTCCGTAGATTGTACGTTGGAACAGTAGTCTAGAAGAATTTACATGTCGACCATGTTGTAGTCTATGTGAGAGAATCATCCCGAAAAATATCCTCGAAGAATCTTCCGTCCGCGCACAACAGCAGTAACAACCAACGTGGCAAGGTGTGCATGTATGCATAGTACCGCTGCCAAGTTCGCTTCCTCCGTGAATAAATACCGAAAATTGGGAATGAAACGCAGAAGATACGGAGGATCATATTTAGTCTATGACCAACAATCATTCCGGAAAGTGCATTGTGGCAGTAATCCAACGGCCACTTTCTGGCCGAGATATATACATACATAGCTCAACGTGTACACATAGCAGAAGCTGTAGGTGTACCGGTTGACGTGTAGGCATACGCGCCTTCCGGCCGCCCGGTTCAATTTTCACCGAGAGATCAGATGTTCTGTATTTCTCTTCTTTTTTCCCGACGCCTTTCGGGGGCAGTTGGCTTGTGACCACGGAGGAAGGCGTCCGCGCGTCCGCGTCAGTTGGACCAGTAGTATACGGACATCAGAAGGTACTGAGCGGAGACTGGAACGGTTATTAAGGTGAAGACAACAACAACATGAACTCCCTAGTTTTCGTTTGACGTCGTCGTTGCCGCTGTCCCTGTGGGCCACCACCTTTCACCCACGGGATTTTCGAGACCAACCCGGTATGTATCTCCTCCAAGACTGACTAACCAACAGTCAATGAACAACGCCAACCAAAGTAGTAGTGTCACATCCGCTATTTATCAGATCAACCACAACGGTTACTGTGGCTGCCTCGACGCTCGCTAAGAAGTTAGTCACTGAGTGTTCGTACAGATGAGTTGACAAGAGCAAAGGCAACGACCTCCTGTAGCCATTCGTGCGACAGGCACATCGTTTGGTTATTTGTGCTTGGCCGTAAGCCCTGGCCGATCAGGCATCCCGCAACATGTAAGGGGTTCGCCTGACGTGCAATTCCATAATGCCTGATATTCGCCTGGAATTTTGCCTGAAACAAAACCTACCAGTACATTTTCAAGTAATATTCTCTCAAGCATGGCGACAGGTCATACGGGGCTGATCGTGGTGGCTGCTCTCTGCGTGTTGCCAGGCCTAGTGCAGGATAATGCAGGATCAGTCGGCAAGTAAGGGACGTTTTAAACAGAGCACTTTTCCCCCAACACTTTTTGGGGATGTTTCCAAAGCAGCGAACATTGAAAAGTGAGTTCCGGAAGGCCAATTGCTATTACGAGCTACTGTTCAAACTTTCTGGGCCCTTCTCACTTTCGGATTTTTGAAAAAATAGCCAAATTTTTCGATGACATCCAACGCTGTGGAAGTCGAAATCAGACATATGATAGAAACGCCCTCTCAGCAACAAGTCAGGCATGCCGGATCGGCCAGGGCTTTCTTGGCCCTCCTCTCTCATCCCGTGTTTGAACCGTGCAAGAGCGACGTTCGAATGATGGGGTTAGCGGCTGGCTTTCCGTGCGTTTAGCCGAGTTACAACACCGCACAACATCTCTGCGTTCTGCATCCACCGGCGCACGAGATCCACGAACACGTGGGAACGGGCCTGCTAACATCGAATACGCCGTCGTCCGATCACAGCTTGAGCGGTGGATTCGCAGATCAGTCGAAGAAGCTCTACGGTCGCCTGGAGAGAAAGAAGGTACTCCTTAACCGCGACGCGCAACGCGACCATCGGCATCTGCGATGCGCATTAGCTTTCATCCACGTCACACCAGAATGATGAAAGTGGACGGGGAAACAAGGAGGAAACAACAGCGCTCCAATTTACGCCTTCACCTCGGCGACAGATCAGCATTGCCGCGACAACAGGACATACGTACCACACACACACATGTTCAACACCTCGTCCGGAGTTGTTCTTTCAACCCGAAATCTTCTTTCCTTCGTTGGTATTTCTTGTCATTTCCCACCCCTTTCACCCACCTCACGCGCGTTCTTGTCAATGCATCCTTACTGCCTCTTCGGTATTGACTGAATGTGCCTGTGTAATACTTACCCGCACGGAAGAATTATCATTACTCCATTTGTGCTGGGTCTGATTGCGCGGGGAGACTTTACGACCCCAACGTGACGTCGGTGTAGGTGCGAAGAAGCACGTTTACCGGGCCGGCCGGCATGGAAGAGGCCATGCCATAGATCGCCGCGGTGCTGTTTTCGTCCCCCTGCGACGACCAAGCGATTCGCGGCGGCGTTACGGAGAATTTATTTATGTCTGTGGTTCAAAGCAAGTCCGGTGACGGATACGAGATACATCGGCAGGGATATCATCACATGCTTGACAGTCATACACTCTACTGTAGGCGGTGTGACCCCAGTGGCGATGTGAGGTAGGGGAGGGCCAAGACTCGAGGTAAGGACTGCAAAAGAAGCGGCGACACTTTGAACTGCCCCAACGAGACGGTGGTAACCAGCACGGCATCACGAGAAATGTCACATCTCTGGATACTCGTGGAAAACCGGAAAAAAATGATATTTCCAACAACACTGGAACAAAAAAAATCACAAGCTGCCCGACGTAGTCGGTGCCAACGGGTGCGAGGTCGTACGAACCACGCACTAGGGCAAGACCGACCATCGCAAGAACACCCTAATTGAAAACGTCTTCGCCGAGGTGCGACGTACACTCTGCACCTGCTGTTTGCCGGTAAAAACAAACCGGTCAGAGGGGGGGCGTCACACCGCCGGTCGTCGAGCACAAAAAAAATATCCGAACACTTTCACCTCCCCGGCCGCCGCCGCAGCTTCCAACGTCGACGCCAACAGGTCCGCCAGGAACACCCCCGCCTTGCCAACGTGGCACATCGTCACGCAGAGGTGGAGACACGGGGGATGCTGGAGCGCGTTCAGGCTCCATCCCCGGTGGCTCATGCGGTCACCCTGCAGGTTTTTGATTAAAAACAAATAGATACAGTATGTGTTTGTGAAAAAGTTGTGGGGAGAGTTTTTGAGGAGACGTAAGGTCATCGTTGCTTCTATACGTGAGATGCGGCCGCTATTGTCCTTGCGTTCCCCCGGCTCCTCCGAGTGAGGTCGTAATTATTGTCTACTGATAGCGTGGGGGTGTAGATCCAGCGATGTTCGGAAAAAATGGTTTCACATCGATGTTTCTTCCCTGCTCCAAGGTTGTGGTCAGAGAAGAAGGAAGGTGAGACGGGGAGAGCAGGAGCCAAGACTCTCTTGCGCGTGATCCTGGCGTGAGAAAAACGTTTCCGACGCGACTATCGTTGGGACTACCGAAGTCCCCGCGAGGCACTCACAACTTTGTAAATGTTGACGCCGCCGTCTCCGCGGAAGCACACCACCATTGCCCTGGGTTCCCCCAACAAAGAAAGGCCAGAGATGTCGGAAACACCTTGCGCAACTTCCTGCGCGCGACGGCAAGACGAAAACACACACACGGTGGACATCATGACAGGAGAACACAAGCTAGAAGATACCTCGCTGGTCCGCCACAGCCAACTCGGCGGAAAGCGGCACATCGCGACTACAGGGGTTCGAGGCGGGTGGTGGGAGCTCAGCAACATCAGTCGCACGCAGATGGAGCGAGTGAAGAAAAAATATATATGACGCTCCTCTCGTGTTCTACGCAGCATGCACCCTCGCGCTCGGACGGAGGTTTTACCTACCTACGATACCAACCCCCGTGGGCCGAGTTAGAAACCTCGGCTACGTTGTGACCAAGCGGATATCGTATTCTACCATGCGTAATCGGAAAAGTCCCCGGTGAGATGGTTTCAAAGCCATTTTTGGCATCATTTCTGGTGTGGAGCGATCGAGCTTAAGAGAGCGGTCCAGGGGGGCTGTGATATCTTATGTCATATACGGCATTGAGACAGACTGGCTGTGCTTGGCGTCTAAAAGTAGCGAGACCAGCGCACTTGCCTTGACCGTTTCCATGATGCCCGTGACCGCCTTCTCGTAACCGTCCCGGCCCATGCCGACCTGTATAAAGGCAAGGGTTCGAGGACGTTCGGAACAGGGGGGGCGCCGTGGAAAAGAAGGAGGGGCAGGCAGCGGCGTACTCATGTTTCGCATGCCGACCATTGGCGGGCGGGCCGGGGGAGGGGCCGGGGGATAACAAAGATGATGGGGGAAAAGTTTTCGGGAGAAGAGCACCATCTGCCTGGTGGCGACGTCGCCACGAGTTGTCTATCGATGGAGGAAAAGCTAGGACATAAAAAACGGGGAACGCACAACTTCCTCGACGTGAGAAATAGGGACCGAAAGGAGGCTGCGTGTGGTTGTTGGTTGTCTAGTATTCCGGGGACGTGCGCTCTCGTCGTTGCGCAGGGCCGTAGCGTCACACACTAAAAGACCCGCGGGCCTTGATCTTTGTCCGGTGCGGACACTTGTAGAGATAAACAACCACGGAACCATGTCTGCACAGCAGTACCCCTGTTGGGTGCCTATCTGCATTAACGGGTCCACCCCCACTGCCAAAGAGGCAACAAAAACGGATGACCAGGGATAACTACATATGCTGTAGGCATGTTCGCCGTGTGAGGCCACCGGCAGGCGCTCACCATGGATGCCCAGCAGGCCGCGGACAGCCCGCCAGGGCGGCTTCCGGCGATGGTGGGAGTGACGTACAGCCCCCCCGTCCACTCCGGGAAGCAGAAGTACGCCTGGTGTCGCAGCTACAGAGGGAGGAGTGGAAGGGTGCGGAGAAAACAGCGAAAAGTTTCCTTACTGAACAGCGAACTTGGTGCGGAGGAAACATGCGTAGGAGGCGCCGCCGTCCGAACAGAAGGAGCAAACCGTTCAAGCAAATGAAACAATCTTCGAAGCGAAGCGTCCACAAACCTTTATTAACTCGTGACTGACCAGTTAACACCACCACACAACCGGCAAGAATCACAAACGAGCTGCAATCCCCTGAGCGCCGCCTCTCCGCTTGCGCCTTACCTCCTTATTCCTGAACAGCGCCACCGACGTCCCCTTGGGCGCGTACCCGTACTTGTGCGTGTCGGCGGAGATGGAGGTGACTCCCTCCACCCCGAAGTCGAAGGGCTCCACCGAATAACCCAGGCTCTTCGCGAACGGCAACACGAAGCCGCCGAGGCAGCAGTCCACGTGCAGGCCGCACTGCAATGGCGTACACAGCGGCGTTGAACTCCGTCAAAGTGAAGGAAAAGAGTCTTGTTGCGTGGGGGGGGGGCGTGACCAGATTTCTTCGCTACCGTGAGCTTTGCGCGTCCCAGGGGTGATTCACCCCGGGGTCATGTGTGGACATATACAAGCCACGACGACAACAACAACAACAACAACAACAACAACAACAACAACAACAACAACAACAACAACAACAACAACAACAACAACAACAACATAGCAGCAGAAGCAACAGCAACGTCACGAAAATACCCACTGTGTGTTGTATTGCTACTGCAGCCCCTCACCCCGTATCTTGTGGCCAGCCGTGCCAACTCCTCGACAGGATCGATCACGCCGTGAGGGAAGCTCGGGGCCGACGCGTAGACCATGATAGTGTTGGCCGACATCGCGTTGGCCGTGGCCTTCACGTCCGCTTTCATCGTCACCGGATCCACGGGCACCTGCATGCACAAGACGTGCAATATTATAGAGAGACGTGTGCCGTTCCGTGCATCGGGTAGTGTCTAGGAGAATCCAAATACCGGTCCACCATTTCCGTGTGGATTAACCGGGCGTGAAACTAGGAAATGTGCCTCGTCCCGTTTGCAAGAATGGGTTACGTTGAAAAATCGTGGATGTTTCCACGGCCATCGCGACGGGCAGTAAGTCAAACGAGCGGAAGCGAAAGATGACAATCAATATATACTTCTTCTTGCTCCGACAAACGACGAACACTCGCGCACCTAAGCCAACGGGCTTCCACGGCCACGGGCCACCGATGTCGTGTGTACAATGACCTCAAGACCGCCGAACAAGCGGTGGTAACCGCTGCCAATATGCGCACCAATCGCTTCACGTCGTGCTGGCCACAGTTGTGCGGGTACATAATTCCGGTGGATTTGGAAATTTCTCGCGACGAAGCTGAGCACCACTTGATGACGCAACAACTCAATTCCCCTCCGTACCCCTCGCCTCATGAGAGGCGTCAACTTTGCTGCACTAACGAGTGTGCTTCGACACGCGACAGCTTCAGGGGATAAGAATACGGACACAAGGTACCATACCCCGTGGATCGATTTCCAAAGCTCGGCCACTCCACGACGAAGAGGATGCCAAACTCAAGCGATACAATATATGTTTGTTTTCGGAAATATTTCGACGAGACGGATCCAACGCCGTCAAATTCGGTACCGCAACTCCTTGTGTTGTGGAACACTGGATCTTAAAAAGTCGGTTGTATCTTGCACAACACTCCCAGCCACGAAGGCTCGCACCATCCAGACTATTTAGACTCTTGGCCCACCTTGATCAGGCGTATCTTCATGAGCGAGCACGCCTTGTCGATTGCCGCGTGTGCGGTAGTGGCCGCCACGATCTCCGGAGACGTCACTCCTCTCTGGCAGCGACAGCAACGAACCGGCACGTCGATTGGGCACGGAAAACGGCGTGGTGGAGGGAAAAACAATGAAGCACAGAATAATTACTATGTGCGTGTGAGCCACCCGGCTGCCAAAACTAGACAACACCGTACCATGGACCTGCGGAAGCCGTCTCTCACACAAATGCCCCGCAATACGACCAAGACATCTTGCAAGGCAATACGTTCTCTCTTCCGGCTAGCATCACGGTAAAGGAAAAGTGACAAGCGGGCATGGCAAAAGACGAACACGCCAGCCTGCTCGGGCGATGAAGGGGGAAAAGGCATTTTCATCGCCAACAAGGCCACAAACCGACCAGAAGAACGTCCGGGCAACACACGCCACCAAACCGGAACGGAGACTCCACCTCTCTGTAGAAATCCCGATGAGCTTTGGCGGCCAGGACGATGCTCTCTGTCCCTCCACTGGTCAGGACCCCGCAAACACCGGCATCGCCCCCGTCCAGCAGCCTCGCGGTCATCGAGATCACCTGAGGAGCACCGTTTCTTTTGTCGGTTTGTTGTGGTTTTCACGTTGTTGATGGAGTTGACGGCCGAAAGGGATTACACAGACGCAAAAAGGGTGGAAACGAACAAGTAGGAGAGAAGCTTACGATAGTCCAAGGACAAAAACAAGCCAGGCCGGTACAATACAACAGACCGAAACAACGACACGCGCCTACACAGTACTCTAATCTTCGCCCCTGGCAGCTACAAGTGAGGGGAGAGGATTGGGGTTCACGTGGAATGGGCCGATGTCGCAGATACCCCCGCATACCCCCGCGAAGTGTTGCAAACCTGGCGCGCGATGGGGATATGCATCGGCCTACACATTTTTCAGAACCAATACCACGCTAAGAAGGGGTTCACCTCCGCCTCGAACTTCAGCCCCGACGGCCACAAGTCTGGGTGCAGCGGGTTGCTGCGAGAGAAGAGGCGGTAGGCTTCGGTGACGGTGGACGAGTGCTCCTCGTCGTTGCTGTACACCGCGCCGCTAGCCTTCCCAGCGTCCCACTTGGCTCGCTCGCGCCGCGCCAGGAGCTTCATCTGTTTGTCACGCGGGGAAAAAGACGAAGGACGGCTTGGGGTTTGCTGCGCGAAGTTGTGACGGTGGCGATGGTTGTGGTCAACAGGTACCTGGTCGTCAACGGCGTTGCCGTCGCTCTTGTTTGGTTTGTGGTGGTACTGCTGTTGATATTGTTCTCGTAAAAGTCGTAGCTACGACGGTTGTTGCGTGATTCTACGGCAACATTTCCATGTGTCGCGGAAACTCTTGAAACAAATACGGTTGCCCGCGCGCAGTTCGCTTCAACGCTAACCCCATCGAGCCCGCCGACGGGTGGTGTTCCCCTTCATCTTAGAATTCATTCGCGTGCGCTCGTGCCTCGGCGATAACCTCTTCCCGCTGCTTTCCCTCTGCCGGGAGAGAGCGCAGAGTCTCTTCGTCATCCTTCCCGGGCCTCAGGGTGGCTTGGAGGTGGGCCTCCGTCTTCGCAACCTGCGACAAGAAGGGGGGGGTGTTCCATCGCAAAGCGTGATATGAGGAGTAACACGCGGCAAAACGGGGGAGGCTCGCTGGTGGCGTCGGAGAGGGTCCCCGCTCAGAGGCAAGCGGCCTTCGGGTGTTTTGTCCGCCACCAAGCGTTGACATGACAATCGAAGCCTAGGATACCATCATGCATATCGGCACAGACACACCCAGCCCTCAGAAAAACGAGCGCGTGGGTGGGTGAGATTGTCTTGTCTTGGCTACGCCAATGACGACGATAAGCATGCTGACGTAGCTTGGAGCAAACAAAACACTACTGGGTAGATCATCTTGTCGTACCTCTTTCTGCAGGAGCCGTGCTACTGCTGGCAGATTCCGCACCACTGCGAAGCCATGGTCGGCGACGAACGCCTGTCCGATGACAAGAGGGAAAGCCCGACGAGAGAGTGAGAAGCATGAAACGGTTTCTCAAATAACTCCAAGACACCGAGGAGGACACGATCAAAACAACAAAGTACAAGGATGCTCTGGTGGAACTCTGCGACAACATTCCGACATGAGAGGTCGAACCCAGAGCGCAAAAAAAAACAACGTATCGCGTACCTGTTTCGCCGCTAACGGAGAGGCGAGTATTTCCCACACCTGTCGTAACGCCCTCACCGCTACGGCCACGAGAACAACCTGGTTCAATAGGCGTCGAACCGATCGCTAATACGTGTCAATGTGATTGCCGCATGCGTGTATTCCCTTGCGCACTCTATACGTAATACGGCATGGCAGTCGAAACAAGTCGCCCCGAAACGGTGTGGGAAAAAAATGCACGGATGTTCATCGCCACACACCCTTTCTACACAACCCCGTCCACGACCTCTTGATTGTTCCTCTCTGCAACACCGTCGCGCTCTACCGTTGTCTACACGTCACGTACAGCGAGTGTGTCTTCTACGAACAGGAGGCGGGGGCCCTCGGGCACCGCCCCACGGAGAGCATCGAGCAATTCCTCCAAGAAGCTGTGCTTGATTGGCTGCTCCCCGTCTTCTCCTTTGCTCTGTCCGTAGTCCAAGGCCTAGGGAACGTCGAAGACCCATCGACGGAGAAACAATAGATAGTCCAAAACGGCGCGTGCGAAAACAGCAAGAGGGTCACACGACCTACAAAGGTACGTGCCGAGGTTGGAGATCGCGAGCAGAAAACAATCTCCAGCAAAAACCACGAAGGGCTACATAACAGCATGACTCCATGGAGGCGTGTTGTGCTGCCGTCTCTTGCTTCAGCTCCGAGTCAGGAACCGCGTGTACACCTCGACGATGGCTGAGGCGCAACGATCAAACGTCGGAAATATGCGTTTGGGCTGTAGCACCAGCCGGGAGGGGAGAGATCCACGTCAGAATAATACCTCACCCGCATGAGCAAGATGGTGAACAGGCTTCCCCAGACAAAGGCTCCTCGGAACCGATGGATTGGACGGGAGATGCGTGGATGTATCCAAGGCCCCCGAGTCCGTCCCACCGCCTGAGAGTTACGTTTTTGCCGAAGGGTTTAGGACAACGGAGGGCTTGCTGATTTGTGGCTAGAGTGGTTTCTGACGAACCCATTGCGAAGGCTTGGCGCGGGTTGACATGTTCGGCTCCGAAAGTCGGATTCCCTATTCATAGCAGAAGGCAACGATGACAATAACAAACAAGTATCCAGCGATTGCGAAGCCTTCACAAGCACTGCTGTTTGTTGCTACACCTATTGCAGTGTTGACGACGAGGGCAGAGAAGCAAGGAGTGGACGCCGTGATCATCACCGCGCACAAAGCGAGGCACAGGCATGCGCCTCTAACATTTACCACCAGGCCGTGAGGAAAACCGGCATGGAACAAGGACAGACTTCAACGCAATTGTCACCCCTTCGACGTGTTGAGAAACATGAGAGTGCCACAAGGTGACCACCCCGTCCGTAGAGAGGTCAATCTTGTGGACGTGCCGGTGTGACCATTGGTGGCGGTCTACCTCCACACGCTTCCTTTGAAATCAAGATAGGAATTCACACAAGTTTAACAAGGTCGGTTTCGCATTCTATATTGTCTTATGCATTCTACTGATGCTGCAATATAGACGACACCCTATGCAGCGGGGCGTGTGTGTTGGCGCGCTCTAATCTGCTCCTTGGGGGGTGATACCGAGTGTTGTAGGTGGCCTGCAATCTCCGCAAAGTAGACCGACACCCAGGTGTCTTGTACTGCTTGTGCTCGCCGCAACTGACCCCAATCTCCTGAAACGTAGGTTTACTGCTGTACCTGATGCCACTACCTACTGCTGTCGACCCACCGTTCAGGGGTTTACGGTCCGTTGCGGCGAGCATGGCTGTGACAAATGTTGAGTTTCGGCGCAGATTGCGGACCGTTTTCAGAGACTGCTGCGACCTTCGATATTTCAGCTCCAGCAGCAATCCTGAACATGCCAGCACACACGACGCCTCTTCATGGTGTCCTCTACTGATCACGTAACTAGGGTATACATAGACCGGCGGGAAGGCTGTCTTTTTGCATATTAGATTAAGTATGAAAATAGAGCCAGCGTCATGTTGGCAGGCGTTTTAGACGTCAATGTTGGGTCGAGGCTACAATTTCTTACTTCGTCACCACGGTCGAGCATAGGCCATTCCATAGAGTTTCGTTCGTGTAGGATACACGGCTGAGGTGTGTTTCTAGTAGATTTTTTTATTTATCGCCAAAATCTAAGCCTATGTTTGTTTCTTAACCGCGGGGTCTAACCGCTGCACAGCAGTGGGTGCTCTAACCGCAGACTTGTACTTGTATGTACTGCTGGAGTCCGCTGTAATCCTCGGGAAAAATCACGCGGCTCATTTCCGCCAACGAGCAAAATAGCACTCACCTTATGTGCACAAAACAAGAACCACCAGGTGCCGACGAAGCCGGCTGCCATCGCAGCGAGGCCTCTCCCGCTGAGCCATGTTCGCCGCTCGATGTTGCAGATGCTGCTGACTGCAGCGAAAGACATTCCAGACCTACGCTTATCTGAAGTAGACATGGTCTTGTCGCGTTCAGAAGGATCGATCGCCCAGCGTCGAATAGGTACAATTCGGAGCGGCGGGTAACTCACGGGAACGTCGGTGTTACCAGGAGGCTGTGGATCGAGCCACAGCAGTGTGAGCAGGGGTGTCACAGGCGGACAGAGTTTCCGGTTCGGGCACTTCGTTGCTTCGCGGGATTTGGCGGCGAGTTTTGTGTTTTCCCGAATCGAAACTTTGAGACGCAACGAACCCCACCCTGCTGGTAATCGTGACCGGCGGCAGTCACACAGCCGTGTCTTTCACCCTCTGAGTGCTGTAGGCAACCGAACGAATAATGTGCAATGTTAACATTTAATACCTTGCGTATCCTCGTATCAGAAAATCAGGTGAAGAAAGCCTCACCTCGAAGAAAGCGCGGCGAAAAAAGGTGGTCCACGCGGGTTTCGCGGCGTGTTGGTTTTCCCCACGTCCTCTGCTGTGCTCCGTTGGTTGGGGCGATGCTAGCGGGAAGGGCACGGTTGCAACGTACGCGCCCGGCTGCTGGAACACACAGGAGCAATACCGTGCTCTCACGCTGATCAGAACGAACACTATCACACCAATCGTTCTCCGAAAACCCGCTGCTGCAGAGGACAAGCAACTTCGTTACATACAACGCCAGCAGCAAGGGACGACGACACATGCATATGTTCAACATGATCCGCATGCCACTGCTGCTCCCCCTCGTGGTACTACTACTTCCTCTGCAACAGGCTCAGTCCTTCGTGGGCGGAGCCGTCTCTACTACAACTTCCAGCGCCAACTTGCGATGGCGGGGCGGATCGTCGGTGGATGCCGCCGCCTCGACAGGGCCAGGAGAAGCAGCAGCAGCAGCAGCAGGTCAAGAAGAATCGGACGTGATGATCGGGCGTGGGCCGCAGGAACCGGTCCGGCCGTTCGTTCCCGATCTGCTCAGCGGAAAACAGGCGCTCGTCACGGGAGGCAACCGGGGCATAGGGGAGGCCATCACGGTCGCTCTAGTGAAGGCGGGGGCGCACGTTTGTGTCATGGCTGGCAACGAAGCGTGAGTGTGCATGTTCAATTGCTGACGAATGGATCCGCGAGATGACAAGTAACAACGACGCTGTTCAGGTACCATTATGGTCGTGTGCTGCAACCATAGGAAGGCGGTGTTTTGGTTTAACATCAGAAAATACCGTAAGTATGTCTTGCTTCGTACAACAGTTTCGATGTTTTTTTCCGTCAGTGAGTATCACCTACTATACTGCTGTAGCCTCCGTCGGCTGCATGTAGATCATTGCATCCCTGTGCGGCTCTACATGTAAATGTAGAATGGGTAGTCTTTCTGTGTTTGTATTTTTGTTTCCTAATGTGTGTGACAGAGCTAAACCACCACGCCCCTCCCGGATCGATCGCGTGGCATATGTAGAACCCATCCAAGTCCCGATTCATTTCCTAACCCACACGGTTCCCATGCACACCATCATGTTCAACTCAAGATGCCCCTCCACATCTGTGCTCGTGAGTTGGCTGTGCCTGCCGGAGTTGCTGCGGCAACGGCTCGGCCGCTACTCTATGATCACGCCTGGCGTACAGCAGTACGGGCCCGGAGATATGAAATCAACATCGGGTCTAGGCTCGATTCCTATTTCGTCGCCACTGTCGAGCACGGCCTTTGTAGAGACGTCAGTGTAAGGATCCACCGATCGATGAAGTGTGTTTCTCGACCCATTTTTCTCATTTCTCGTGAAAATGTGAGCCTCCGCTCCCTAACAAAATGCCGCATATCAACTGCGGGCCCGTACTTCTGTATGATTACCCGGTTGAGGCTATCCCTTGGGTTAGTCATTGCGTCGTTCTTGCAAGAACCGCCCCACCGGCCCACCTTGACCCACAACACTTTTTGCCGTGCACGCTCAAGGTGCGGCTGCTTGGCGCGGGGCGTGCGTGCGGGTGTTTCTGGCGGAGTATCGATGCGTCTGTAACGAGAAATAGAGCTGATTGTTGTGCCACAGTTTTTCATGCCCCCGCTGCTCCCGCCCCCGTGTGGCCTTTTCCACGACAGGGCGTATCGGGATATGGTGGAGAGGCACGGGTTCGATGATACCGAGGGCACCGGTAATGTATATTGGGTACAGGCGGACTTGAGGGTGCCTTCCGAAGCCATCGCCGGCGCGCAAAAGGTAGGTGTGACTCCGGGGGGGTAGGTGGACATATCAGTTCACTTTTTGCACGAGGATGGCAAGGTTCCACCTGTAAGTCGTGAGGGTTTCAACTACGAAACCTGTCGGAAGCAACCGCGGAAGCTCTTGATTGGAACAGACCTTGTGCAAAGCGCGTTTATGCACGTCAGCCTAGGTCACAGGCCTTCTCTGTATGTCCAACATCATCACCTTGTGTGGCGTTGATTGCTTTTGGACTCTGCTTTGACCAACAAAAATTGCTTTCATAAGAGAAGCGAGGTCTGCTAAAGCCTGTGCTACGCCTATGCCTCTCTCTCCTGGTAAACACAGCTAACACTCGAGTCCCGGAGGCCGGGTGCTCGGCAGAGTGGATGTACAGGACCTCTGGGGGGTTACGTGGATGATAATATGGGTATGATGGAACATGACGCGCGGGGCCCGTCTTGCCTCATCCTTCATGTCTATCACTGGTAGATAAGTGTACAAGGCCTCGGGTGAACTTCTTCTCTTTGGGCCGAAACTGCTGCACCCAGACAATCTCTGTGCACTGCTTTGCCGCCATCGGCGGCGCCGGGGGTACACGTCGTCACTCGCCTTTTTTTTTTGCCGGTTGCCCCACACACACGCCCCGACTGCTGTTTTCATTTTCTGCCACAAGGGCCCTGTGTGTTTTCTTGTTTTCATTTTACCGAGATGCGGGGTTTTGTCTTTGCTTGTGTGCTCCCGCTTTTGACCTATGTTCGGCCTTGGTTGTTCCGGTTAAGAGTGTGTTCGGTCTCTTTTGCTCTCTACCGCTGATTTTGCCTGAAGGCCGTGGATTGGGCGGGCGGCAGCCTGGACATCCTGGTGAACAACGCCGGCATCTGCGTGCTGGAAGACTTCATGGACATCTCGTCGGACACGTTCGACGAGGTCATCGCCATCAACACGCGCGCTCCGCTGCTGGTCTCCCAGGTACGACCGGGCTTCTCACCGCGAGAGGAGACGGCAGCCACTTGCGCGTGGGTCATGCTGTACAGCAGCAACCCCGTCACAACAAAGGAAACCTAAACCTTTTGGTGCCTTTCAGCAAAGGCGGCAACTGTGCAAGATTCCGCCGCACGCGCGTTTTGGCTTCTTCCGCAGTTATTGGTTGGTCCTTTTACTTTCTTTATTGTCTTGCAGGAACAACACAATATCTTTTTTGTCCTTAGAAAAGGGAGAGTTGAGGGAAAAATAATGGTCCCTGTCCTGTCTTTGGTTCTTTTTCTCATTTCATTTTCCGTTTTTCCGGAGTGGATACAAATACGGTATGTGGGGAAATACCGGACTGTTTTGTATCGGCGGGCTGGTTGTACATATCGTCATGTATATATATATACCGCGTGCCGATCGAATGGTCGTTTTTTCCTCACTCATTGCGAGGGGGGCACCGGCAGTGTGCAAAACGTGTAGATAGTGCACTGAACCCCGCACGATATACACCTCGGTATCCTAAGGTTTGCGGTAAAAACGTTCCGGCCCAAGAAGCGTCCCGGAGCCCTTGGCACTACACGCAAGGGACACGCATCGGAAGTGAGGTCGTGATGGAATTATCGCACACACTGCGATTACTCCCGTGCGATAATATCATCATTTCGTTCCTGCTTGTTTCATCGTCGCACCCCTTGCTTTGTCCCCAGACTGTGGTGCCATAGCGTATAGCATACCAGCTCGCAACCCTGCGGTCGCTGCACACAGCCGAACACGAAACACAAGCTAACAGAAGGGTGCGAGTTGCACAGCTGGTGCAAGCGTTTACGATTCCAGAAAAGTGTAGCCCCGAACATATGCGCACGACGGTTTGTTCCAGACGAATGGCGCACAAAAGAGGGGGGGGGGGGGAACAAGGTGCCATACGCTTGGTGCTTATTTTGGATCACTGTGTTTGGATTTTCGTTTATCTCCTTCCACCTCGCTCTCCCTGAGCCTCTCTAACCCCGACGACACCGACCCTTGGGCAGGTGTGCCTCCAAGGCATGATCAAGAACAAGTCCGGGAAGATCGTGAACATCACTTCGCAAAGCGCCGTCATCGCAACGAAAGCGCACGCGTCCTGTGAGTGGCGACTTAATTCGCACTGCTCTCTCCCCCCCGCCGTGCGGTGTGTAGCGATGAGCCTTTACCTTTTCGGGGGTTGGTAGGAGAGGCATGCGTACGGATGGGGCGATTTCGAGACTCATGCCGGGGTCGAGAGGGGAAATGAGACGCACGGTGTTTGCGGTTTGGACCGCCGTCCCCACAGGCGCATTATCGCCATGATTGACGTGTGTAGCGGCAACGCATCAGGATTGGCCACTCACTACGGGTGGGTTTGACAAGACAAGGAACTTCGACTGGCGAATTGTCATCTCCGAACGTATTTGCCCTAAACTCGAGTGAAACTGTTGGTGATGTGATGATGATGTAGCAGATGTCTGGGGTACGGCAAGTGGCCTATTGGCACGAAAAAGGGGATATGGGTTTGTTTATGACCTTCTTCGGTTCCAGGCGACAGCGATTTTCACAAACATCATAATCGTTTTTGCCATGAGCCATTTTTTTTTCGTGTTGTCCTCCGGAAACGTGTTGTTTTTGTCGCGGCTATATTTTCCGTAGACTGCGCGTCCAAGGCTGCAATGGACGGCCTCTTGCACGGATTGGTGTGCGATCTGGCTCAGCATAACATTCAGGTGCGTGCGCAATGATGGTCCTGCCCTGTGCGTTCAGCGAAAGTCCGCAACGCGGCTTTGGTTAACCATCTATCCAGCATGTTCGTGTACACTTTTGCGTAGCGCACTCGCATGGCCCTCCGTTCCGCGAACGTCGTTCGGTTGCTTCGGTGCTCTTCGCTGGATTCTCCCCTTTGTGTTATGGTGGGCACGTGAGGGGGGGGGGGGGGGATCGTAGAATCACGCCTGCCCGCTGGTGGCGTCGTCTTGTTGCTATTGCGATTGCTGTTGCTGCTGTTGTTGATGTTGTTGATGATGATGATGTATTTACATCAATGAACCGTTCCGGCATGTGCTCAGTACCTGCATTCACCCGGATATCGGTCCAACTGTACACGGACCCCTTCCGTGGTCACAGTCCACCTACCCCAAACGGGTACACGCCGCAAACAAAACAAGCAAGAGGTACACGAACGTGCACGCTGTTCTATCCTGTGGCGTTGCTGCCGCCCTTGCAGCACGCACCTGCGGAAACGACCCCGCCACTAGCGCTTCTGCTGCGCCCGCGCCGCGTGCGGTCAGCAAGCGTCAATCAACACAATATTTTACAAACAATCGTGAAGTCGTTTGGATCGAATGCGAGGAGAGTGGGATTTTAGCTCGCTTTCGCTCATTACTGGTTCGGGCGTTGAGCAGAACAACAACAGTACCGTGGGTTGCGTGAGGTACCACACCCCCCGGACCGATTTTCAAAGCTCCGTTTCTCCACGACCAAAAGAATGCCGATTTCAATTGAGATACGTTTTTGGAAAGCTCTCGACAAGACGGTTCAAACGCTGCAAGTTTCGACACCGTCACTGCTTTTCTCGCCGAGTAGTTGAGCTTTGAAAATCGGTCCAGGGGGTGTGATATCTTACGCGTTGCAACCTACGGTACGCCGGGACCCCCAACTTATGTGCTTGCTTGCTCTTGACCCGGGCGGGGGGGCGGGGGGGGGCTCCGCCGAATGCATCAGGTGAACAACATTGCACCCACCGTGGCGTGGTCCGACATGGGAATCAAGACGTGGGGTGACCCGGCCAAGTCGCGGCCCATGCTGGAGAGGACGCCGATCGGCCGCTTCGTGGAGCCTTGGGAGATCGCGAACATGGTGGTATTCCTGTCGAGCGACGCTTGCACCATGTGCCTCGGGCAGACGATCTGCGTCGACGGAGGGTACACGTGTCTATAGTTCTTCCCTACCGGTATTGTTGTTGGCGTGTTTGCTGTTGGTTACGTGGTGGTCGTCGTCCTTGTCGTTGCCATTTTTTCCCGCTGGGAAGCCGTTGAGGTCCTCACCAATGAGGAACTCCAACATAGAAGAGGATGGGTTGGTTTAATGTACTTTTGTTGGATGGATGAGTATTGAATAGGAAAGCTACGCCTTTGGTTTTTGACATGTCGGTCTAAGAGAGTTGGCGCGTGCCTCGCCTTGATGGTTTGCCAAACTAGCTTGAGGTTGATGATGTGGTTTCTTCGATCGATGCGTGTGTGCGAGCGAGTGTAGACAACGGTCAGTCGCGAGCGTGTACAGTTATACCGCAGCTCCCAATGCTTGGACGGGATCTAGGGTTCTCTCTTCGTCATGTGTTGTTTCGTCTGTACACCTGCTCCAGCCTAAGGTAGACGGGCATGACTAGAACGTAGAGTCGCGTCCGCGACAGGTCATCCGATGTTCTGCTGCCCCTTGCGCTTCGGCGGAGGCCTCCTGCTGTGTTTTTTTTGCGGGGAGGGGGTAACGTTGTGCCAAGTTTTGTTGATTGTTTTCTTCTATGTGTTAATTTTTTTTTTGTTTCACTCAGCCTGGAGGAGGAGATATCGCCAAACGCTGTGAGAAAGATGTGTGCTTACGATTTTGAAGTTTTTGACCAGCAGCAGTGGCGCATGCACAGACAGGTCTGTGGGAGTGAGGATCTCTTTCGACCTGGGGTATCCATTATCCGAACGTTCTGGATGTGTGCACACCACAGGTGCTGTCTGTGTATTGGAAAGGGCTTTTCTGACGAGGTAGGTGAGGGGGGCCTTGTTCTGGTACATGGTGCAGCATTTTGCTTCACCCAAGCTCCCCCCCTCTCCCCCACAAAAGAACGTGGGAGCGCACTCACAGTAGAACCCAGTACCATTACTGGAGCGGTTTCGGACCACACCTATTGGCGTACAATGACAACCTCCTCCTCGTTTCGCGGGAGGACAAAAATCACTCAAGCTTTCCGCTCCCTAGACGAGCGACGATGGGCTTGGCACCAAATAAAAATCCACGTTTTCACGACAACCTCGGAACAAGAATTTGTGGTGGTATGTATGCACAAGGGGGGACAAAACCGATTTTCAAAAAAACAGATCACAAGTAATTGCGCTACACTCTCGCCGCGGTCAACTACTATCGGCATGGCCTTCGGCGGAAAAACCCACGAAGAGGACGCCATTTCCGTCTCTAACCGCACGCAGATGAGGGGAAAAAATCAACGGTACTTTCTATCGTACGGCCGACCAAACCTGTCTTCCACGGCGGATGCCGGCAAGGCTACTTGATTCTTTGCCCCCCACCCCCACCCACCCACCCGCGTCGGTTCCACACGCGAACCCCCCGGAAATGCAACCGTCAACAGCTTCGGGCACAAACAACGCAAACAAGACACAAAAAAAATGCGCAAAAAAAGTTGAAAAAAACAAACAAACAGGACGACAAGGATCTATGTTACAAGCAAGCACAACTCGTTTCGGCTGGTCAACAAACATCTTCGCGGCGGCCACAGTCAGTGCCGCCTACCTACTTCCGTCCGAGAGACCCATCGCTACGAGGTGTATAAATACCGGACAGCCAGTCCATAGCACTATTATATAAGCTTGACAGTAGTCAACGTCAAGTGGACGCAAACGAGGATCGTGACAACGGAAAGAGTAACACACAACCGTGCCCAGTGGATGTTGGGGAACCACCGCCCACCCACCACCACACCATCAGGGAGATCGACAAACCCTTGTGTGGGGGGATTGGTTGGTCACTCCCCGGGAGAGCCAAGGCACCTCGCCAAAGGGCCACCTTTCGTGTGAACAACACAACCTCACCGACCAACTGCTATACTCGCGCAAAGCCTCGAACTCTACGCCGCGTCGAGAGCCCGAACTCGCACACCGTCCCAGCACTCAAGACATAATAACGTTGCAGCTGCCATCGCACCCTTGTTGTCCCCACCACCACCGACGCAAGCCGCCGTCCTCTGGTCGAAGAAGCACCAACCGTCGCCACATCATCATCCGAAAACGCCCGCACTAATGTTGTACTGTGCATTGCGTTTACCGACTAAACAACGCGGACACATTAAAATATCGTCAGGAGGTGTCGGCCACTACACTGTAGCCAACATCTACAACAGGCAGCACCCGCCACCCGTCATGCCCCCAGGGGGGGATTTGAAGCCCCTCGTCCCCCGGCACCGCCGCCTCCATACCCGCCCCTGAATGGACCGGCCCCCGCCTGCGGCGGCGGGGGTCGCTGAGGAGGCATTATCGGAGGCGGGAGGGGCGGGGGACCAAGCGGTGGCGGCGGCCCCGCCGCCATCAACAAGCCGTGGGGATGCGGGGGGTGCTGCATCTGATGATGGTGGTACTGCTGCTGCTGGCCGCCGTACTGCTGCTGGTGTGGGTGCGGCGGCAGCGGCGGCTGTTGCTGCTGCTGCTCCTGCTGCTGCTGCTGCTGTCGCTGCTGCTGCCCCTGCTGCTGCCCCTGCTGCTGATTTCGGTTGCTGTAAGGGTCGAAGGCGTACTTGTTGACCGGCATGGCTTGACAACTGCTGGCGCTGCTGCTGCTGCCGCCGCCATACGCCACACCGCCACCGCCACCGCCACCACCACCACCACCACCACCGACACCGCCACCGTTTGCGGCAGCCACGTCCGGCCCTCCTGGCTGCCACGAGCTAGTAGACCAGGCGACCGCGCTAGTACTGACGTGCACCGGTTGGTGGTGGTGGTGATGGGCAGGAGCGCTGTGGTGGTGGTGCACCTGCTGCTGCTGCGGGGGCGGGGGGTGCCGTGGTGACATCGACATCAACGGGGGGGGTGGGGGCGGTGGCGGGGGTAGCGATCCCGGCGGCGGGGGCAAGTCCGGGCAGGTCATCACGCCCCACCACGACATGGGCTTCTCCTCTCCCTGAAAGCAAAAGGCGGAACCGCAAGATGGGGGGGGGCAAGGGGAGAGTCATCATGTTGGGGAGCTTACTTCATGCGGTGGGGGAACAACCGCCGCCGCAACGCGTGCGACCTGTATTGAGAGCGCCCCTTTTTGCGTACGTCTGAAGAGACAAAACAACAGCAACCTCTCAAGCATGCGAAATCAACAGACTGCGGAACGGGCATTCCACGTACAGTGCGTGAGGTAAGCTCGATGGTTCGCACGGTGCACCCACTGCTCTACAGCTACGCACAACACAAAGTCGGAAAAAGCTAAGAGCCCAAGAAAACACTCGAGACGGTACGTCCCCCTCGTGCTCCTCGGGACGGGGTTGGGTGTAAAACTGCCGACCAAGAAGGACATGTGCGGGTGCTCACAGAAGCGCCAACCAACTCCGGTTGGACCTCGTTCACAAGACGTGTAAGGTTGCGAGACGAGACGAGCACGGAGCACGACACCAACCGCAACGAGGGTTGCTAACCTTGAGCTCCTCGATGAGCATGGGAACGGTCGGCTCCCGTATGACTCTTCCTTCAGAGTCCTTGACGGCGAAATCGTCCAGACGATTCTTCTTGGAGTCCAGCATCGTGCCCATCTGCACCAGCGACGAAAGCGATTTCCATCGGCCGAATGACGGAGAGAAAAAAAATGGAGGGAGGCACACCCATAGGGCGCAATTAGCCAGTATTGGCTGTGTTGCTTTTTGGAAAAAAAACTGTCGATGCACCTTGTACTACTGTATCGTGCACGCTGGTTACTCTGGTACACCAGTACTATTGTTCTGCACGCCAACATAATCAATTGAATTCGTAGGCAACGTACAGCGTTTTCGATGGAAAATCCGGAAGGACCGTTCCTTTGCTGGCTAAGGCCCCGCCGCATGGCAGCATCAACGCAAGAAATACTCAGCGGTGAAAGAGAACGCTAAACAACAACAACAACAAAACGTCCTTCCACGGCGAGGTGGATCACGCAAAAGGTCCGGTACGGTGCCCAGCGGCTGCCTTGGGCTTCCTGCTCCGCGTTTGTTTGAGAGATGTCGAAGCTACAGTCCGTGTACGGAAATGAAGAGAACAACCGCCGGTACCATTCATCCCACCCCCTCCACCACCAAATCTAGGCTTGATATTTCACCCTTGAGTACCCTCGGTCGCCGTACAAGACCGAAAACTCTACGACTTTTACGAGCCGACACGAAAGCGTGCATTACGACATCACACAAGAACCAGAACCTCGGCAGAGTTTGCACCACATTGGAGAGAAAAAAACAAAGTAGACGAAAAAAGGCTCGTCATTCACACACCTTGTCGATCGGGTCTGAGTCGGTGATGCTGGCGTGGTCGGATCTGGCCTTCTCTAGGGCGGAGCTCTCCCGGATCTTCTTCTTCAGCCTGTTCTCGAGATCTTCTTGCCTGGAAGGGGCAACCAACCGATCGTGGTCGAACCAAACAACCAATCAGAAGCGGCGGAAGCGGCAGGATTACGGGCAAGGGCAACGCAACATCAGGGTGGGATTGTTTAACACACCATTGCCCTCAACATTTACACCACCCCGACAACCACCTCCACCACTACAGTGTACGGCCATCGAGGGAAGGAGGACGGCTTCCCAAGTTTCTGGAACAGGCCACGAATGGGTTTCGCAGCAAGAACGGTCACTTGTTGCCGGAAATTGGACAGTTTGAACGGGGGGGCTGGTAACGGCGAAGAGACCGTGAAAACGCATGGTACAGCAGTGTGGGGGAAGGAATGAGCTCGGGAGAACTACGGCTGTGCCTGCAAGAAAGGAAACCAATTCCCTGTCCACGCAAGACCGCCATGTTCGGAGTCGGCTATGACAACACTAGCAAGTACTGGGCCTTAAGCAACCCCGTCGCCCGCCTGTCGCCCGCCCAGGGACACATGGCTCATTACCCGCTCCCGCTTGCACACCATTTCGGGAAAGTCTGTGGTAGGCTTCCATGACAACCAAACTACCCGTATCTGGAGACAAACAACGACCCACCTCTTCCGCTCCGCCTCCGTCGCCGCGGCCGCCTCCGCCGCTCTAGCCTCCAGCGCACTCCTGGCCGCCGCCACCGCCTGCAACACTGCCCTCGGCGTCGCCACCTTTCCTTCCGATTCTGTGCCACCAGCCCTTCTCCTCTCCTCCAGCACTCGCCGGGCGAGCTGCTGCTGCTGCTGCTGCTTCTCGCCCCTACCATCCCCGCTACCCGAACCTCCGCGGGCAACGACCCGGCGGGTGGAGTCACGGTCGCGGCTCCGACTCCGGGAGCGGCTCCGGCGATTTCTTCGGCCTCGGCCATCGTCGTCGTCGCTTCGCGGGGAGCGGGGCGAAGCCCCGCCGCCGCCGCCGCCGCCCACACGGCGTGGGTCTCTTCTTCTGCGACCATGACCTCCAGTGTCGCTGTCGCTGCTGCTGTAATCCCGATGCCGTCTTCGACGGGAGGACGGGCTTCTCCGTCTCGAGCCCGACCTCTTCCTGCTGCTGCCGCCGACGGTTCCGCTCTTGCGGGGGCGACTGTCGTCGCTCCTGCTCCTGCTCCTGCTCCTGCTCCAGCTGCTGGAGCTGCTGCTGCGACTGCGGCTCCTGCTGCTGCTGCTCCCAGGCTCAACCCCTCGGCCTTTCCTCCTCCTCCCCCCACCCGCCTTGCGGTCATCGCGAGGCCAGTTGCTGCTGCTCTGGCTCTGGGTGCTCGGAGCCTGCTTTTTCCGCGGTATCGCCGAGGGATCGTTGTGCAAGCTGCTGCTGCCACCCACATCGCCCAACTTCTTCTTCGGTATCATCCCCTTGAGGTCACCCCCTCCCGTACCCCTGCTCGCCTCGCCCTTCCCGCCGCCGCGCTTCCTGCTGTCCCCGTCGCGACTACTCCGATCACGGCTACGCCGCTCACCGCCGTCCTCCGACGACGACGACGATAACGACGCACTCCTTTCCCGCTCGCCATCATCCCGCCGCCGTCTACGCCCGGGGCGGGTGCCGTCCGCACCCGCCGCCCTGCCGCCACGGCCTCCCGCCCCCCCGCCGCCTTTGCTGCTCTTCGCAGGGCGTTCGACGCTCCCCCCGCCGTCGCCGCCGCCGCCGCCGCCGCCGCCCAGCCGCTCACCCCGGCGCCTGCCGCGACCATTGCCGCCGCCGCCTCTCCGACTGCGGCTCCTGCTCCTGCTCCTGCTCCAGCTCCGGGATCTGCTCCGTCTACGTCTGCGTCTCCCGCTGTGGTCGTCGTCGTCGCTCGAGCTGCTCCGCCTGCTGTCCTCCCGCCGTGGCCGGGCGGACGACGAGGATCCGCGCCTTCTCCGCCGTCTGGCGCGATGATGGTGGTCACCGCCGCCGCCACCGCCACCGCTCCTACTCTTCGAAACAGCGGCGGCGGCGGTAGCGTTCCACTCGCTTCCGCTCCACTCGCTTCCGCTCTCGCTCCGGCTGCGGCTATGGTCACGCGCGCGGCCGCCGCGGCTACTACGCTGGTGGCTCCGGCTCCGGCTGCGGCTGTGACTGTGGCTGCGGCTGTGACTGCGGCTGCGGCTGTGACTGTGGCTGCGGCTGCGGCTGTGACTGCGGCTACGGCTGCGGCTCCTCCGGTCTCCTTCCTTGACGACCCTCCTCCGTTTCTTGCCCTGCGAGTCTGCTTTCGATACCTGTGAAAGCAAAACGTGAGACGAAGAGAAGCGCGTGTGCGCACGATCAAGTAAACCTTCACTCCGCAAGTAATGCGGTGTGTCAGGAAGGAATGGCTATCGACGCTCGTGTAGGAAGTGGCGTCCAAAACACAGCACCATCCCTTCAAGCACCGGCTACGCACGGGAACGAAACAAACAACAAGTGGCTCGGTCGGTCATGTCTTGGAACTAAAAAATAACACCCGGGGCAGTACTGGCGGCGACAAAAACATCTCGAAAACGGACCGCGGCCCTTCACACCTTTCGAGCAGTGGCCGTCTTTTCGTCTTTCACATCTCCGGCGTCACCGATTGCTTCCTCCGCCTTCCGCTTCCCGCTCTTCTTCTTCTGCTTCTTCGTGCCCGAAGCATCAGCAGTGGTGGCCGACCTCTGCCCGGAGCCATCGAGGCTGTCAGCGTCCCTCTCCACAGCCAACGCCACCGCTGTCGCCCGCCGCCGCCGCTCGCCTTTTTCCGCCGCCGCCGCGGCGGGCGAAGAAGCCGACAACTGTGCCTCGGCGGCATCGTCCGCCTCCCCCGTACCTTCCCCGCTATCTTTGTCACCTCGTCGGTCCTTCCCGCTCCTCTTCTTCTTTTTCTTCTTCTTTTTCGTCCCGGAATCGGAATCAGCGGCAGGAGGCGTTCGCCCCCGCCGCCGCCGCCGCCCCCGCTCCCCTCCATCGGAGCCGTCGCCGCTGTCGTCGTCCCCCGCTCCCCGGACCGCCCGCCGACCTCCGGCTGACGTCTTACGGCTTCTCGATGGACTGCGGGACCGCTCGCCAGGAGAACCGTCCGCACCGTCGCCGTCGGCGTGAGGACCGCTTGGCTCGGTGTCGTCTTCCTCCTCCTCCTCTACCACCCGTCTTCCCTTGCCCTTCCCGGCATCTCGCTGGCGGCTTAGGCTTCGCCCCTGCAGGGTCGGTCACATGTAGGGAAGTAGTATTCGACAAACATGAAAAAGACGTCGGATGAGGTCGTGCGAGAAAGGCAAAACATGTTGCACGGGCATCGGTTGACTTGTCGGCCATACCCCACTTCGGGTAGACACAGGTCAATTAAAAAAACCCTTCATGTGGGCCATTCGACAATTACCGAAAATCGAGAAACTCCACGAGTGATTCATGTCATTAATTAATAAACCTATCGCGTGTGGTTCTTGCTTGTCTTCACAGCCCCGCTGAAGCTTGCAAGAGGCAAGACCCCCCAACAGACATTTCTCTTTATCGGCGCTTCGTCGCCCCATAGCCGCCTGCCACCTCCACAGGCCCACCCAGCCTCCCTCTCCATTCTCACCAAGCAGCCGAACACCACTCACCTTTCTTCTTTTCCCCTTATCCGGGGCCATTTTAGCAGACCCCCCAGGCTCTCCCTCGCGCTCGCTCCCTTCTTTGTGTCTCTCCTCGTCCTCCTCCTCCTCCTTGTCCTCCACGCAACCATCCTCCCACTCTGCCTCTTCCTCCCCGCTCCCGCCACCCCGCTCCGTCTCCGACACAGCTGCTGCGTCCTCCTTGGCTCGCTTGCGGCGCTTGCCCCCGCCGCCACCGGCTTTCCTCCCACCTTTGTGTTCTACCCAGGCCTCCTCCTCCTCCTCCTCCTCCTCCTTTTGCTTCTTCTTCTTCTTCTTCTTCTTGGCGTTGCCGCCCTTCACGGGAGCGGGCGCGGGGTCGGCCGCCCCCTCCCCGTCGTCCCCAGAAGCAGCAGCCGGTTTCGAGCCACCGTCCCCCTCGGCTACCTTAGCTCCGCCGCCAGCGCCCTTTCTTCGACCCTTTCGGCTCGCAGGGGCGACGGGCTTCGTGGTCGCGTCCTCCATGTCCTTCTCTTCCTGTTCATCCCCCCCGTCGACCCCGAACTCCTCCGCTTCTTTCTGTTTCTTGTTCTTCTTCTTGGTGTTGCCGCCCTTGACGGGGGCGGGCGCGTGGTCGGCCGCTCCCTCCCCGTCGTCCCCAGAACCAGCAGCCGTCTTCGAGCCACCCCCATCCTCGGATGCCTTGGAGCCGCCGACGCCCTTTCCTCGACCCTTCCGGCTGGCAGCAGCGACGGGCTTGGTGTTTTCGTCCTCCACCTCCTCGTCTTCCTCCTCCTCCTCCTCCTCCTCTATCGCCGCTGCCGCCTTTCTCTTCTGAGCACCACCGCTTCGCGGACCCGCCCGCGCCACCGCCTGCTGCTTAGCCTTCTTCCCTCTCCCCGGAGCCGCGGCAGCACCCGCTTTCGGGGCAACGGCGGCCGCTGGCTTGGCCTTGGCTGCTGCTGATGAGCTCGGCAAGACCTTCCCTTTCTTGGTCGATCTTCGGTTGCTCTTTGTGTTCACAGCTGCGCTGCTCGGCGGTTCTTGAGAGTCGCCATCGTCCCCTTCTTCGCCATTGCTTCCTGCACCGTCGACATCAACCTCCGGCTCGTCGACCGGTGCTTCTCCTCCTTCTCCTGGAACATCTTCGTCCTGAGCGTCCTTCGCGTTCTCCGCAGCGGCAGCTCCCCCTCGCTTGCGGGAGCTCTTGCTCTTGCTTGCTCCCTTCTTGCCGCCTCGCTTTTCCGATTCTGACTCTGCTGCTGCTGCTGCTGCTGTTGCTGCTGCCGCTGCTGCCACTTTTTTTGATGCAGCGCCCCCCCGACCTCTCCCGCCGCCGGTGGTGCTATTGCCTTTCGCTGCTGTCGCCGGAGCCTGGCCAGCCTTAGCTCCAGCGCCTTTGGTCCTGGCTGGTCTCTTTCCCATCTTGCCTCTCGACCCGCCGCCGCCGTTCTCGTCCCCACCCGTTTCCACCTTGGCCGCCGCCGCTGCCGCTGCCGCAGCCGCCGCTGCCGCTGCTGCTGCTGCTGCTGCTGCGGCCTTCTTCTCCTGCGCCAGCTTCGCTTTAGTCTTGGGCGACGGTTTCGGCGGGGACTTTTTCGGCGTCACCCTGCCCTTACCAGTCTTGCCGGTAGCTTTGGCGTTGTTGGAACCGCCCTCCCCCTCCGCGTCCGTCTCCCCTGCTGCTGCTGTTGCGCGATTGGCTCCCTTCCCAACCCCCCCAACGGCCTTGGCACCCACACTCCGCGACCCCTTGCCCCTGGCGCCGCCGCTTCCCCCGCCCCTTGGCTTCCCGGCCTTGCCGCTGCCCTTGGCTACGGTCTCGGCTTCAGCCGCTTCTTTCTCGACGACTGCTGCCGCCGCCTTTTCCGCCGCCACTTTTTCCGCCGCCGCATCCCGCGCTGCTTTGGCTTTCGCATCGTTGTTTTCGGCCTCGAGCTTCTTTTTCTCCTCCTTTTCCGCAGCCTGGCCGTGCGGGAGCGAAAAAAATGCCAGTAACGGATGCCAACACGAACGGGGCGAAAATGAAGCAAGGCATCGTAGATTCGACGCGTTCCCACAGCAAACCCAACGTTTAAATCTCCATATATTGTACGACATCGTAGTTTGGCCCTGCTATTTGGTAAGGCCAAACGACTATCATGTACGCCCATGATCTGATCACTCTCCGATCGCCTAAAATTTTAGGTACGTTCTGCCTATCGGCTAAGCTGTACATGGAAGTACAAACCAATTAAAAAATAAATAGAAACGTGTGACAAAATGGCTGCACGGAAGAGCTCACAATTTAGTACGCATGCAATAACGGTTCCGCCCGACGACCACAACAGCCTTCACTGACCATGATCATCTTCATCTGCGCCCTTATCGACATGGGCACCCCGGCAGCGGGCGGGAGTGACCTGCTCGTAGACCGTTTCAAGCCTGGAGGCTTGACCGAACTGGTTGACTCCGATGCCACAACAGCCGCCGCAGCAGGCGGATCGGTAGGAGCAGGAGCAGCAACAGCAGCAGCAGCTGGAGCAGCAACAGCAGCAGATGGAGCAGCTGGAGTAGCAGCAGCTGGAGCAGCAGCAGCTGGAGGAGCAACAGTTGGAGCAGCAACAGCTGGAGCAGCAGCAGCTGGAGCAGCAACAGTTGGAGCAGCAGCAGCTGGAGCAGCAACAGTTGGAGCAGCAACAGTTGGAGCAGCAACAGCAGCTGGAGCAGCAACAGGAGCAGCAGGAGGAGAATCGGTAGCTGTCGGGACTGGGTCCGGGTCGGAAGCCGCAGGAATCGGCTCTACGGGGCTCGGTTCTACGACCGCGACACCAGCAGCAGCAGGAGCCGCAGAAGCGGAACCAGCAGCTGACCGAGCCGTCGCCGCCGCAGCAGCAGCCGCAGCAGCAGCAACGGTAGCAGAAAGGGCCACGGGCGGCGTCTGTACCGGCGTCACTGGCGGCGGAGGCTTGATCTCGGTTCCCTCCACCCCGGCGGTTACTCTTGCCCCAGCGGAAGGGTTAACTTCCTTCTCCCTTGAGGCGGCCCCCACGAGGCTGTCGGACGATGGGCCATCGACGCCAACGCCTACGTTCTTAGCGGCGGCGGTGGTGGCGGCGGCGTCGCCGTCCCCGCTGCTCGTCGGCTCCGTGGTGGTGGTGGCTGCGGCGGCGGTGATCGTGGCGGTCCTGCTGTCGACACCGTTTGTTGTTCTCGGTGGCGCCTGCGCAGCCAGTGACGACGGCGGGCGTGAAGAGGATACAGCGCTCAGTAAAAAAAAAAACACAGGTGCGCGATTTGGTTAATTAGGACAAAGATCGCAGGCGCAAGCGACGACAAACCGGGCGCAGAAAGTAGGGCAAGGCGTACGGGGGGGTTGCGGCACACACGGGCAGCAGTCTGCTGACGTAGCAAACGTCAGTTAGCGCAGAAAACGCCACCCATCCTCCAGAAGGTCTTGAGCCAAAACAGGGGCTACTTCGCCGCCAAAGCTCCTTTGCGAAAAAGAGCGAGAAAGTAAATTTTCTATGAAGCCAAGAGAAAGGCGAGGGCGACGTAAACGCCCTGGGGGTGCGCTCTGCACGCTTGGGAAAGAGGGCGCCTCGCGTACATTCGCCCAACCTTGGTACACGGCGTGCTGCCGTAAGTGGGGCGACACGTACACCGTGTCTTCCCAAGGCAACGAGCGAGCAGAGGTGTGTTTTATAGCCTCCCGCTGCGAGAATAAAAGCGACCCGACCGCTACCAGACAGATAGCCCCACGTAACGAAGCCACCAATGCCACACCGCACCTCATCCACAGTCACAGCAGTAGTCGTGGCGATAGCGGCGGGATTAGAGGCCCCCTCCTCTCCCGCCCCACCGTCCATGGCCAACACCGGCAGCAACTGCCGACGTCTTCGGACAGCACGCCAACGACAGCAGTAGTATTTTCCTCGCTAGTAGTATCTGCACAGCAAGAAATAGAAGAACCAGATTAGACCGTTGATCCGGCGGTTCCGTAGCCGCTGCCCTTCCGAGAGCCGTCTAAACAGCGGTTAGCAACCGCCGGTTTTAACGGCAGCAGCAGCGGCGGTGTATTGTTGGCCGAACCTGCTGCACACATGCGCGATGATGGACCCCCGGCGAACTGGTTAAATTTTCGTGTGCAGCAAACAAAATGCGCGCAGACACAATTTTTTCTTCCTAAGAAACACGTCGAGAGCTTGGGCACGCCGACAGGATGCTACTGCTGTGCTACCAACACATGAAGAGGTTGCAAACACGTGATCGTTGGGCTACACAAGCACACCAGACGAGGCACCAGGCGAGAAAACATCGTTGGCAAGCATCATCCGTTGTAACAATACTGCTGGCTGTCGTCCACGTTCACCATTCGGGGGCGATGGTTGGTGGCAGGAATGGTGTGAAGCAACCAGCCTAGCCTGTGGACACTCGAGACTAGGCCAAGTTTACTTCCTGGACACAACCTGGTTGCTTGTTCGGGGGTGCTTTTGAACACCTGCTCAGGAAGCAGTCCCGTCGTTTGCATCAACATCTTTCTGGGGCGGCGAGTTCAGACAGTTTGGGCGCTCGTATGCAACGAACCCCGCTCGTATGCAAGTAGCCAGCAGCAACGCTGACCCCAACCTTTCGACACATCATCACACAGCTGGAGTGTAGAAGCACCAGGATTCTTCGCAAGGCCCTGACCGTCTTCTGTTTCCTCACACTCAACCGGGCATGTTGGTCACGCCAACAGGCCGTAACCAGCAACGCTCGCGGAAACCTGGCGGTTTGAAGGGGAGCAAACAAAAAAACTGCCTCAGACACCAACAAATTACATCGACCGCTGCCTCGACAAGCTTACCTCTCAAGCCAGTAAGAGCCCAGCGAAACCTCTCGATACCTCTCAGCACATACAACTCCGTGTTCTCCGTGCTGCCCTGGCTTTTGCTCCCGTTGCCTGCCTCGTCTCTGGACTCTCCTGTCTCGCTCCTCGCTCTCTCGCTCGGAGTAGCACACTAGCTGACAGCATGACTAGGGGGGGAGGTACACAAAATCTCCGCTGCCGTCCCCCGAGAACAAGTTGCAAGTTCCAACGAGTTCTCGCTCGGCCGCAATCCATCCAGCAGGAATCGTGCATGCCATCAATGTGTCATGATCCATCGGGAGGTGTGGGGATGGGGGTCAAGCACTTGTTGTCAACAAGACCAAAACCTGCAGGTACAACCTACTTCGGAAACAGCAGACTACATAGTCGTCTGCTGTATCCTGTAAACAAGTCGACTTGGCAATTGGTGTTCCCACGATAAGATGCAGGTCATCTCAAACACCCCTACATACCGTATATGACACAAGATAACACACCCCCTGGCCCGATTTTCAAAGCTCGATTACTCGGTGACGAAGAGGATACATAAACGAAATGATACATTTTCGAAAAGCTCTCAACGAGGCGGTTCCAACGCCGCCGTTTTCGGCGCTGTGAGTCTTCCTGCTGTTGAGAAATAGAGCTTTGAAAATCGGTCAAGGGGGTGTGTTATCTTGTGTCATATACGGTATATAGGCATATAGGCTGGCTTCAAAGCTCATTGTTCGCTCAGGGAACGATATGCCAGGCAACTGTTGCAGTAAAAGTACAGCAGCGCTTAGCACCTCTCCGTGCAACGAACGCGCCCGCGGACGAGATCTTCCCTCGATAAACCACCCGCTGGTTGTCGTGGAGCTATTCTACGTAAAGTGGTTCTTACGGCGTGCGACGGCGAGCGCCTTCACGGCGTAGGTAACGCGTGGGATCATGCATCGCCCGATCTCGACGGGAGCATGCTGCACTGCTGAACAGAACGGGCCCGCCCGTAAGCTGACAAGCATCCAAATGGAAACATCGAATTCGGGTCTTCGTCCGTTTTTTTTCGTCACCACCGCCGACCACAGCAGGTCAATGGACGGTGGCTTGTTGTGTAGGAGCCAAAGCTGAGCAACCTACTTTGTATGATTCGTGCCCCCACCGTGGTACATACAACTACATATTAGAACAGACACGCACACACGAGCATCTGCCTTCTTCACGAGAGTTCTGCTCTTGGCACAACAAGAAAAAATATTATTCTCACACGCCAAAGCCTCTGTGGCACGCGGTCAACAAACAATCAGCTGAAACCAAGCCATTCATTGACCCCAGCTCGGAAACGATATTGCCAAGTCAGGGCGAAGCTTCATTCCCACCACTACAATCATAATGCCAAATGAGTCAAGCTTCACTTACACGACAACGATAGTGCCCCAATGAGGGTGCAGCTTCACTCCAGCAACGATAACCATAGGGCCTAGAAAGGGCAAGCTTCACTCTCGACACGAAAATCGCAGCAATGCCGACTAGTTTAAGCTTCACTCGGCCACCACAACGATCGTGAGAAACAAGGGGTAGCTTCACTCCCACCAGACAGCGATGGTCACAAAGCAAAGAGGGTGGAGCTTCACTCCTACCACTACCACGACGGTTTCGGATGAGGGCGAAACTTCACTCCTACCACCACAATGGCAGCAGTGCCAAATAAGGGTGGAGCCTCACTCCCACCACGCCAATGGTGGTGCCCACACAGACGGTGAAGCCACACAGGCGCCACAAAAACGATAGTATAATAGCGCAAAACAAGGGTGGAGCCTCACTCCCACCACGCCAATGGTGGTGCCCACACAGACGGTGAAGCCACACAGGCGCCACAAAAACGATAGTATAATAGCGCAAAACAAGGGTGGAGCCTCACTCCCACCACGCCAATGGTGGTGCCCACACAGACGGTGAAGCCACACAGGCGCCACAAAAACGATAGTATAATAGCGCAAAACAAGGGTGAAGCCTCACTCCTACCACCACAACGGTGGTGCCCAAACGTGATGGTTGAGCTTCCTCTCCCGCCACGACAACGCAGGCGCCACATAAGGGAGAAACCTTCCCTAGCGCCACAACAACGACAGCGCTAAACAGCAGTGAAGCCTCATTCCCACCACGACAAGAGGCCTAGGCCTTCTTCGTTCATGCTGCCAGTGATGGTCATGGCGGAAGGCGCCTCCTCGACGTCAGTTAGATCTACGCTAGTCCCTCGTTCTCTGCGAGAGCGCGGAGCAAGCGAGCGGGGGTGGGGTGGCCGGAAAGTTTTGGGTTGTGGTTGCTGTGGGTTGTGCACGGTGGGCTTTTACAAAGGTTTGGCGTGTGTGTAAAAGCCAGTTGTGTATGACAATCTCAAAACTAACCATGTGTACGGTATGCTGTTGACTACCCGCTAGGGGTACGAGAATTAGCTTCTTCAGGCCTAGTTTGATGGTGGCATGTGTGCATACGTCGTCTGGCTCGGCTTTCATGTGACATTGTGGGTCCCACGCCATTTTCGTTCTCTTGGCTTTCGCTGCCTGAGGAATTCTGGACTTGCTACTGTACGCTAGGGACGTTCAACGGTTGATGCGTTTGTCTCTTCGTCGATCGCCGGTCTTGTTCAAATTTGTGTGATGTACCATGCTTTGGGCTCGTGGCCCCGGTAAATTGTTGGCCTATTGTCGCTGTGCATTCTGACGACGACGGGAGAGGGGTACTTGATATAGGCCAGGCCGTTTGTTGAAGACGACAACCAAACAATAACAACAACAGCAGAAGCAGCAGCAACAACAGCAAACAGCAACAATAAAAACAGCGCTGCCGACAACGTGCAACAAACAGTGCACCCTTTGGCGGCGCTATCCCGGAGCTGTCTTCCAACAACGTCGGCCGTAGTTGTTCGGATGAAGAGCAATAGCTCACGCCAAGACCACACGGAAAAAAAAAGGGACAGCTGATGTCGACGGCGCAACAACCAGTGTTCTTTATCCGCTGTCTGACCGAAAAGCTGTACGTATTGCGTAGTGCCAAAATACTCATGTGGGTGGGTCAAGCACGGGGGCACCTGAAAAAATCGAGAAGGACAACGGCGCCATCCACACATTGTCGAGCACAGTAGGCGGAACAAAGAACTTTCCAATCGAAAGAAAACGTTTTCTTTGTTACCAAAAAATATGATACGATACTCACCTCACTACTGGTGGCTGCCCCCCGTTCCCCGCCGCACCGCCGCCTCTGCCCCCGCCCGCACCCCCCCCGGAGGCGCCTGCTGCTCCTCGCGCCGTGGACACCGTGGTGGCCTGCAAACTGCCCGTTGCTGTCGACGTCACCTGTTTCGCGTCATAACCGCGGTACGTCACGCACAGAAGTCGGCCTCAGCGCTTGTCTATTCTACGCTTCCGGACCCCAAAAAGACTATACCACCACGAGGATACGTGCAACATGGGACAGAGAGTTGTAGGGGGGAGGGGGGGGGGCGTACTCTCATGTTTTGCATGCCTTAGCGGTTCGACCATTGACCACGTGTCCTCGAGAGGACGGAGCATTGTGCCCACAGGACCGATCACCGATGGCCAATCGTTCCTTCCTACTTTGTAGGGGGGGGGGGGGGGGGGGGGGCCCCCCCCCTTTCCTTTGCCCTGGGGGAAAAAACCCCCCGGGGGAAACCCCCGGTTTTCCCCCCGAAAACCCCTTTTTCGGGGGGGGGGCAAAAAAAAAAAATCTCCTTTTCCCCCCCCCGGGCTTTCCCCCCCCTTGGGGCCCCCCCCTTTCCTTTCCTTTTCCCCCCCCCCCGGGCCGGGGGGGGGGAAAACCCCCCCCCCCCCCCCCCGGGGGCTTTTTAAAAAAGGGGGGAAAAATTAAGGGGGGGGGGTAAACCCCCAAAAAATGGGGGCGGGGTTTTAAAAAAAAAAAATTTAATTTTTTTGGAAATTTTTTTTTTGGGACCCAAAAACCCCCAATTTTTTTTGGGAGGGGCCCCAAATCCAACCCCCCGAAACGCTTTTATTAAACCCCCATTTAAAAGGGGGGGGGGCCCCCCCGGCGGGCCCCCCCCCGGAGGGCGAAAAACAAAGG